TTTGTCATGAAGTGTACACTGATACGTCTAGTTGTGTGGGTCATACAACATACACTGTATTTGTCATGATGTGTACCCTGATACGTCTAGTTGTGTGGGTCATACAACATACAATGTATTTGTCATGAAGTGTACACAGATACGTCTAGTTGTGTGGGTCATACACCACACACTGTATTTCTCATGAAGTGTACACAGATACGTCTAGTTGTGTGGGTCATACAACATACACTGTATTTGTCATGAAGTGTACACTGATACGTCTAGTTGTGTGGGTCATACAACATACACTGTATTTGTCATGAAGTGTACACTGATACGTATATTTGTGTGGGTCATACAAAATACACTGTATTTGTCACGAAGTGTAAACTGATACGTCTAGTTGTGTGGGTCATACAACATACACTGTATTTGTCGTGAAGTGTACACTGATACGTCTAGTTGTGTGGGTCATACAACATACACTGTATTTGTCATGAAGTGTACACAGATACGTCTAGTTGTGTGGGTCATACAACACACACTGTATTTGTCATGATGTGTACACAGATACGTCTAGTTGTGTGGGTCATACAACATACACTGTATTTGTCATGAAGTGTACACAGATACGTCTAGTTGTGTGGGTCATACACCATACACTGTATTTGTCACGAAGTGTACACTGATACGTCTAGTTGTGTGGGTCATACAACATACACTGTATTTGTCACGAAGTGTACACTGATACGTCTAGTTGTGTGGGTCATACAGCATACACTGTATTTGTCATGAAGTGCACACTGATACGTCTAGTTGTGTGGGTCATACAACATACACTGTATTTGTCACGAAGTGTACACTGATACGTCTAGTTGGATGGGTCATACAACATACACTGTATTTGTCATGAAGTGCACACTGATACGTCTAGTTGTGTTGGTCATACAACATACACTGTATTTGTCATGATGTGTACCCTGATGCGTCTAGTTGTGTGGGTCATACAACATACCCTAAATTTGTCACGAAGTGTCCCCTGATACGTCTAGTTGTGTGGGTCATACAACATAAACTGTATTTGTCATGAAGTGTCCCCTGATACGTCTAGTTGTGTGGGTCATACAACATACACTGTTTTTGTCACGAAGTGTACACTTATACGTGTAGTTGTGAGGGTCATACAACATACACTGTATTTGTCATGAAGTGTACACTGATACGTCTAGTTGTGTGGGTCATACAGTATACACTGTATTTGTCATGATGTGTACACTGATACGTCTAGTTGTGTGGGTCATACAACACACACTGTATTTGTCACGAAGCGTACACTGATACGTCTAGTTGTGTGGGTCATACAGCATACACTGTATTTGTCATGAAGTGTCCCCTGATACGTCTAGTTGTGAGGGTCATACAACATACACTGTATTTGTCATGAAGTGTCCCCTGATACGTCTAGTTGTGTGGGTCATACAACATACACTGTATTTGTCACGAAGTGTACACTGATACGTCTAGTTGTGTGGGTCATACAACATACACTGTATTTGTCATGAAGTGTACACTGATACGTCTAGTTGTGTGGGTCATACAGTATACACTGTATTTGTCATGATGTGTACACTGATACGTCTAGTTGTGTGGGTCATACAACATACACTGTATTTGTCACGAAGTGTATCCTGATACGTCTAGTTGTGTGGGTCATACAACATACACTGTATTTGTCACGAAGTGTACACTGATACGTCTTGTTGTGTGGGTCATACAACACACACTGTATTTGTCACGAAGTGTTCACAGATACGTCTAGTTGTGTGGGTCATACAACATACACTGTATTTGTCATGAAGTGTACACTGATACGTCTAGTTGTGTGGGTCATACAACATACACTGTATTTGTCATGAAGTGTACACTGATACGTCTAGTTGTGTGGGTCATACAACATACATTGTATTTGTCATGAAGTGTACCCTGATACATCTAGTTGTGTGGGTCATACAACACACACTGTATTTGTCATGAAGTGTACACTGATACGTCTAGTTGTGTGGGTCATACAACATACACTGTATTTGTCATGAAGTGTACACTGATACGTCTAGTTGTGTGGGTCATACAACATACATTGTATTTGTTATGAAGTGTACCCTGATACGTCTAGTTGTGTGGGTCATACAACACACACTGTATTTGTCATGAAGTGTACACAGATACGTCTAGTTGTGTGGGTCATACAACATACACTGTATTTGTCACTAAGTGTATCCTGATACGTCTAGTTCTGTGGGTCATACAACATACACTGTATTTGTCACGAAGTGTACACTGATACGTCTAGTTGTGTGGGTCATACAACACACACTGTATTTGTCACGAAGTGTACCCAGATACGTCTAGTTGTGTGGGTCATACAACATACACTGTATTTGTCATGAAGTGTACCCTGATACGTCTAGTTGTGTGGGTCATACAACACACACTGTATTTGTCACGAAGCGTACACTGTTACGTCTAGTTGTGTGGGTCATACAACATACACTGTATTTGTCACGAAGTGTTCACAGATACGTCTAGTTGTGTGGGTCATACAACATACACTGTATTTGTCATGAAGTGTACACTGATACGTCTAGTTGTGTGGGTCATACAACATACACTGTATTTGTCATGAAGTGTACACTGATACGTCTAGTTGTGTGGGTCATACAACATACATTGTATTTGTCATGAAGTGTACACTGATACGTCTAGTTGTGTGGGTCATACAACATACATTGTATTTGTCATGAAGTGTACACTGATACGTCTAGTTGTGTGGGTCATACAACATACATTGTATTTGTCATGAAGTGTACCCTGATACGTCTAGTTGTGTGGGTCATACAACACACACTGTATTTGTCATGAAGTGTACACAGATACGTCTAGTTGTGTGGGTCATACAACATACACTGTATTTGTCATGATCGAGGTGTACACTGATACGCTAGTTGTGTGGGTCATACAACATACATTGTATTTGTCATGAAGTGTACACTGATACGTCTAGTTGTGTGGGTCATACAACATACATTGTATTTGTCATGATCGAGGTGTACACTGATACGTCTAGTTGTGTGGGTCATACAACATACACTGTATTTGTCATGAAGTGTACACAGATACGTCTAGTTGTGTGGGTCATACAACATACACTGTATTTGTCATGAAGTGTACACTGATACGTCTAGTTGTGTGGGTCATACAACATACATTGTATTTGTCATGAAGAGTACACTGATACGTCGAGTTGTGTGGGTCATACAACATACATTGTATTTGTCATGAAGTGTACACTGATACGTCTAGTTGTGTTGGTCATACAACATACATTGTATTTGTCATGAAGTGTACACTGATACGTCTAGTTGTGTGGGTCATACAACATACATTGTATTTGTCATGAAGTGTACACTGATACGTCTAGATGTGTGGGTCATACAACATACATTGTATTTGTCATGAAGAGTACACTGATACGTCGAGTTGTGTGGGTCATACAACATACACTGTATTTGTCATGATGTGTACACTGATACGTCTAGTTGTGTGGGTCATACAACATACACTGTATTTGTCATGATGTGTACACAGATACGTCTAGCTGTGTGGGTCATACAACATACATTGTATTTGTCATGAAGTGTACCCTGATACGTCTAGTTGTGTGGGTCATACAACATACACTGTATTTGTCATGAAGAGTACACTAATACGTCTAGTTGTGTGGGTCATACAACATACACTGTTTTTGGTCATGAAGTGTTCACTGATACGTCTAGTTGTGTGGGTCATACAATATACACTGTATTTGTCATGAAGTGCACACTGATACGTCTAGTTGTGTGGGTCATACAACATACACTGTATTTGTCACGAAGTGTACAAAGATACGTCTAGTTGTGTGGGTCATACAACATACACTGTATTTGTCATGAAGTGTACACTGATACGTCTAGTTGTGTGGGTCATACAACATACACTGTATTTGTCACGAAGTGTACACTGATACGTCTAGTTGTGTGGGTCATACAACATACACTGTATTTGTCACAAAGTGTACACAGATAAGTCTAGTTGTGTGGGTCATACAGCATACACTGTATTTGTCATGAAGTGCACACTGATACGTCTAGTTGTGTGGGTCATACAACATACACTGTATTTGTCATGAAGTGTACACAGATACGTCTAGTTGTGTGGGTCATACAACATACATTGTATTTGTCATGAAGTGTACACTGATACGTCTAGTTGCGTTGGTCATACAACATACACTGTATTTGTCATGATGTGTACCCTGATGCGTCTAGTTGTGTGGGTCATACAACATACACTGTATTTGTCATGAAGTGTACACTGATACGTCTAGTTGTGTGGGTCATACAACATACATTGTATTTGTCATGAAGTGTACCCTGATACGTCTAGTTGTGTGGGTCATACAACACACACTGTATTTTTCATGAAGTGTACACTGATACGTCTAGTTGTGTGGGTCATACAACATACACTGTATTTGTCATGATCGAGGTGTACACAGATACGTCTAGTTGTGTGGGTCATACAACACACACTGTATTTGTCACGAAGTGCACACTGATACGTCTAGTTGTGTGGGTCATACAACATACACTGTATTTGTCATGAAGTGTACACTGATACGTCTAGTTGTGTGGGTCATACAACATACACTGTATTTGTCATGAAGAGTACACTGATGCGTCTAGTTGTGTGGGTCATACAACATACATTGTATTTGTCATGAAGTGTACACTGATACGTCTAGTTGTGTGGGTCATACAACATACATTGTATTTGTCATGATCGAGGTGTACACTGATACGTCTAGTTGTGTGGGTCATACAACATACATTGTATTTGTCACGAAGTGTACACTGATACGTCTAGTTGTGTGGGTCATACAACATACATTGTATTTGTCACGAAGTGTACCCTGACTTCAGGAGGAGGATGCGACTGAGCCCGATTATTCTTGTTCTGCTTGTGTGTGCGCTGCTGATTCCCAGTGGGGATGGTTTCTGGAGGAGGAGGAGGAGGAGGCCGCGTCCCCCACCGCCAGTAGTCAACACCAACACAAACAGGTGTCACTGTGGGCAGACCTTTGCTGAGATCCTCAGGGTCTTCCAGGCCTTCTTTGCCCACAAACTGCCGCTGGGTAAACGTCAAGTGTCGACAATTCTTGATGTGGACGAGGACGACCCCGACCTACAAGACTTCATGAACTTGAGCAAACGTAAGATGTTTTTTTCTGCACCACGAACAAACATAAGATCAACTTTCTGCAAATCAATTGATGATGTTCACCTTAAAAAATAAGTAAGCACCATGAACAAACGTTGAAACGAATACTTGTTTTTTGTCCATGCCACAATCAATATTTTTCCAGCTATATGACGTCGGTCTGTAAATAATCGACGATATTTAACAAAAAAATATTTTAATTAAACGTAAGAGTCGTTTTGTGTTGTTGAGAAACATATCTTGCAACAATGTATTGTTTGTGAAAGGTATTGTTTTCTAAACTCTTTTCAACAGTCTGAAGCATAATAATATTTTAAAGGATCTTTTGCGACATTTTTTCTTTTCGATAATATCCAACCATCACCATCCCATGAACATAAAATCGTTTGCCCCAAATTATAAATGGATGTGATTTAATATGACATGTTTTTATCAGTATCTGAATGGCTCTTCTTAATTTCGTAACGAAACGCTCTTCGTGTCTTATTAACTTATCTATCGAAAAAAAGACATAATTTCTTAAGACACAGTTCTGGCCAAACCACCTCCGTGGTCTAGTGGATAGCGCGTCTGCCCGGAGACCTCCTCCGTGTTCTAGTTGATAGAGCGTCTGTCGGAGGCCGCCTCCGTGGTCTAGTAGATAGATCGTCTGTCGTGAGACCGCGTATGTGGTCTAGTGGATAGAGCGTCATCCCGCAGACCGCGTCCGTGGTCTAGTGGATAGAGCGTCAGCCCGGAGACCGCCTCCGTGGTCTAGTGGATATAGCGTCTGTCGTGAGACCGCCTCCGTGGTCTAGTGGAAAGAGCGTCTGTCGAGAGACCGCCTCTGTGGTCTAGAGGATAGAGCGTCATCCCGGAGACCGCCTCCGTGGTCTAGTGGATAGAGCGTCTGCCCGGAGACCGCCTCCGTGGTCTAGTGGATAGAGCGTCTGCCTGGAGACCGCCTCCGTGGTCTAGTGGATATAGCGTCTGTCGTGAGACCGCCTCCGTGGTCTAGTGGATAGACCGTCTGTCGTGAGACCGCCTCTGTGGTCTAGTGGGTAGAGCGTCAGACCGCCTCCGTGGTCTAGTGGATAGAGTGTCTGCCCGGAGACCGCCTCCGTGGTCTAGTGGGTAGAGCGTCTGTCGTGAGACCGCCTCCGTGGTCTAGTGGATAGAGTGTCTGCCCGGAGACCGCCTCCGTGGTCTAGTGGATAGAACGTCTGCAAGGGGAGACCGCCTCCGTGGTCTAGTGGATAGAGCGTCTGTCGTGAGACCGCCTCCGTGGTCTAGTGGATAGAGCGTCTGTCGTGAGACCGCCTCCGTGGTCTAGTGGAAAGAGCGTCTGTCGAGAGACCGCCTCCGTGGTCTAGTGGATAGAGCGTCATCCCGGAGACCGCCTCCGTGGTCTAGTGGATAGAGCGTGTGCCCGGAGACCGCCTCCGTGGTCTACTGGATAGAGCGTCTGCCCGGAGACCGCCTCCGTGGTCTAGTGGATATAGCGTCTGACGTGAGACCGCCTCCGTGGTCTAGTGGATAGAGCGTCTGTCGTGAGACCGCCTCCGTGGTCTAGTGGATAGACCGTCTGTCGTGAGACCGCCTCCGTGGTCTAGTGGATAGAGCGTCTGCCCGGAGACCGCCTCCGTGGTCTAGTGGGTAGAGCGTCTGTCGTGAGACCGCCTCCGTGGTCTAGTGGATAGAGTGTCTGCCCGGAGACCGCCTCCGTGGTCTAGTGGATAGAACGTCTGCAAGGGGAGACCGCCTCCGTGGTCTAGTGGATAGAGCGTCTGTCGTGAGACCGCCTCCGTGGTCTAGTGGATAGAGCGTCTGTCGTGAGACCGCCTCCGTGGTCTAGTGGAAAGAGCGTCTGTCGAGAGACCGCCTCCGTGGTCTAGTGGATAGAGCGTCATCCCGGAGACCGCCTCCGTGGTCTAGTGGATAGAGCGTCTGCCCGGAGACCGCCTCCGTGGTCTACTGGATAGAGCGTCTGCCCGGAGACCGCCTCCGTGGTCTAGTGGATATAGCGTCTGACGTGAGACCGCCTCCGTGGTCTAGTGGATAGAGCGTCTGTCGTGAGACCGCCTCCGTGGTCTAGTGGATAGACCGTCTGTCGTGAGACCGCCTCCGTGGTCTAGTGGATAGAGCGTCTGCCCGGAGACCGCCTCCGTGGTCTACTGGATAGAGCGTCTGCCCGGAGACCGCCTCCGTGGTCTAGTGGATAGACCGTCTGTCGTGAGACCGCCTCTGTGGTCTAGTGGATTGATCGTCTGCCAGGGGAGACCGCCTCCGTGGTCTAGTGGATAGAGCGTCTGCCCGGAGACCGCCTCCGTGGTCTAGTGGGTAGAGCGTCTGTCGTGAGACCGCCTCCGTGGTCTAGTGGATAGAGTGTCTGCCCGGAGACCGCCTCCGTGGTCTAGTGGATAGAACGTCTGCAAGGGGAGACCGCCTCCGTGGTCTACTGGATAGAGCGTCTGTCGTGAGACCGCCTCCGTGGTCTAGTGGATAGAGCGTCTGCCCGGAGACCGCCTCCGTGGTCTACTGGATAGAGCGTCTGCCCGGAGACCGCCTCCGTGGTCTAGTGGATAGACCGTCTGTCGTGAGACCGCCTCTGTGGTCTAGTGGATTGATCGTCTGCCAGGGGAGACCGCCTCCGTGGTCTAGTGGATAGAGCGTCTGCCCGGAGACCGCCTCCGTGGTCTAGTGGGTAGAGCGTCTGTCGTGAGACCGCCTCCGTGGTCTAGTGGATAGAGTGTCTGCCCGGAGACCGCCTCCGTGGTCTAGTGGATAGAACGTCTGCAAGGGGAGACCGCCTCCGTGGTCTACTGGATAGAGCGTCTGTCGTGAGACCGCCTCCGTGGTCTAGTGGAAAGAGCGTCTGTCGAGAGACCGCCTCCGTGGTCTAGTGGATAGAGCTTCATCCCGGAGACCGCCTCCGTGGTCTAGTGGATAGAGCGTCTGCCCGGAGACCGCCTCCGTGGTCTACTGGATAGAGCGTCTGCCCGGAGACCGCCTCCGTGGTCTAGTGGATATAGCGTCTGACGTGAGACCGCCTCCGTGGTCTAGTGGATAGAGCGTCTGTCGTGAGACCGCCTCCGTGGTCTAGTGGATAGACCGTCTGTCGTGAGACCGCCTCCGTGGTCTAGTGGATAGAGCGTCTGCCCGGAGACCGCCTCCGTGGTCTACTGGATAGAGCGTCTGCCCGGAGACCGCCTCCGTGGTCTAGTGGATATAGCGTCTGTCGTGAGACCGCCTCCGTGGTCTAGTGGATAGAGCGTCTGTCGTGAGACCGCCTCCGTGGTCTAGTGGATAGACCGTCTGTCGTGAGACCGCCTCTGTGGTCTAGTGGATTGATCGTCTGCCAGGGGAGACCGCCTCCGTGGTCTAGTGGATAGAGCGTCTGCCCGGAGACCGCCTCCGTGGTCTAGTGGGTAGAGCGTCTGTCGTGAGACCGCCTCCGTGGTCTAGTGGATAGAGTGTCTGCCCGGAGACCGCCTCCGTGGTCTAGTGGATAGAACGTCTGCAAGGGGAGACCGCCTCCGTGGTCTACTGGATAGAGCGTCTGTCGTGAGACCGCCTCCGTGGTCTAGTGGATAGAGCGTCTGCCCGGAGACCGCCTCCGTGGTCTAGTTGATAGAGCGACAGCCCGGAGACCGCCTCCGTGGTTTAGTGGATAGCGCGTCTGCCCTGTCGGTTGTTCGACTCCCTGGCTGTCTTATTCCAAACTTCGTGAAAAGATGGTATTTGTTGTTAATACAATCGCACTGGCAGCCTCGGTTTAATCTAGAACTGGTCGTCTCAGAGTCAACATAATGTGTCCGAGTGGGGTTAGGGGACGAACACAAACAGACACACGCGGTATGCGCGTCTGTATGAGAGTGAAATAACCTCTGGTCGCTACGTATAAAGCAAACACTGACAACAATCGTCCACTAGTGCTACACCATACTCCGCAAACAGTCGCAATGTTAATAATGCGTCTTTTTTATAAATCTGAATTGTAGAAAATGTTTGAATGCTTCAATTATTTGCCATTTCCAGGTGACGGATTGGTTGACAGTGGTGATCTGATTGAGGCAGTAAAACGTACAGGTTTGTACAAAGCTCACATCTGCTATACATTGTTTTAGAATTGAAGAAACTTTATGTTCGGTATTAATGATTTATTATCCAACTTAGCCTTAACTCATAACGTATGAACCACCATTCTGTACACAGGCATTTATTTGCAAGTAATATGTTTTATCATACAATGGGTGACGTTTCATAGACTACGGTTATAGTAACTCTCCTTTGATAAGACAGTTACTCTATCGGACAGACCGATGGACCGCGAGGAAGGCAAGTAAAACACTTTGTGTAGGCAATTGTTGTTTTACATGCAGTGACGCTACTTAATAACAAACAGGTTTCAGTTGGAACTATATTGGCTACTGTCACTGTCCGACTGACACAACACTTACCCTCTGACGTAATGTATATTAATGCGCACATTCCAGGAAAACATGCAATGTGTAGGTAATGTTTTTTGAGAGATGGAAAGAAATTTCAGAGCTCAGAATTGAAGAATGACATTATATGATAAAGGGGTTACCACGCTTGTATGCCTGGGGATGGTAAATATCCTGTATTAGGAATAAACACCATGTATTAATCTGGCCGAGGCTTGCTAAATACACCGTTTATTCCTACTACAGGATATTTACCATCCCCAAACACCTTCGCGTGCTCACCTCTATGTGCAAACATGTGAGTGAGTGAGTGAGTGAGTGAGTGACTGAGTGGGTTTAACGGCGCTTTTAACCGTATTCCAGTTAGATCACTGCGTGTCAGCTTAATGTGGGAGGAAAGTGATGCAGGTCTCCGACGGTTACCACTTCGGTGAAACCGACGAGCACGGGTATGGTGCTGACGAACCTAGAAACAAAATCGGGGCGAACCGGGATTCGAACCGGGTTTCTGTCGTGTCCAAGGGACGTAACCCTGCACAACTTGTACATGCATGTGTCGCCAGGGATGATGGTGTGTATCTGTATTGTTGCCAGCACACAGCACGAGAGCGGTGAACTCCAACACTAACCACTGCCAGTGTGGACGGATGGTGCTAGAACATGCTCTCACCACCATCTGAATACAGAGCCGTTCTACGTCATGCACAGGTACGTGTGTACTAACACAACCAACAAACACACAATAGTAAACACGCTCTCACCACCATCTGAACACAGAGCCGTTCTACGTCATGCACAGGTACGTGTGTACTAACACAACCAACAAACACACAATAGTAAACACGCTCTCACCACCATCTGAACACAGAGCCGTTCTACGTCATGCACAGGTACGTATCTACCAACACAACCAACAAACACACAATAGTAAACACGCTCTCACCACCATCTGAATACAGAGCCGTTCTACGTCATGCACAGGTACGTGTGTACTAACACAACCAACAAACACACAATAGTAAACATGCTCTCACCACCATCTGAACACAGAGCCGTTCTACGTCATGCACAGGTACGTGTGTACTAACACAACCAACAAACACACAATAGTAAACACGCTCTCACCACCATCTGAACACAGAGCCGTTCTACGTCATGCACAGGTACGTATCTACCAACACAACCAACAAACACACAATAGTAAACACGCTCTCACCCCAATCTGAACACAGAGCCGTTCTACGTCATGCACAGGTACGTATCTACCAACACAACCAACAAACACACAATAGTAAACACGCTCTCACCACCATCTGAACACAGAGCCGTTCTACGTCATGCACAGGTACGTATCTACCAACACAACCAACAAACACACAATAGTAAACACGCTCTCACCACCATCTGAACACAGAGCCGTTCTACGTCATGCAAAGGTACGTGTGTACTAACACAACCAACAAACACACAATAGTAAACACGCTCTCACCACCATCTAGACACAGAAGCTGTTCTACGTCATGCACAGGTACGTATGTACTAACACAACCAACAAACACACAATAGTAAACACGCCCTCACCCCCATATGAACACAGAGGCCGTTCTACGTCATGCACAGGTACGTATCTACCAACACAACCAACAAACACACAATAGTAAACACGCTCTCACCACCATCTGAACACAGAAGCTGTTCTACGTCATGCACAGGTACGTGTGTACTAACACAACCAACAAACACACAATAGTAAACACGCTCTCACCACCATCTGAACACAGAGCCGTTCTACGTCATGCACAGGTACGTGTGTACTAACACAACCAACAAACACACAATAGTAAACACGCTCTCACCACCATCTGAACACAGAGCCGTTCTACGTCATGCACAGGTACGTGTGTACTAACACAACCAACAAACACACAATAGTAAACATGCTCTCACCACCATCTGAACACAGAGCCGTTCTACGTCATGCACAGGTACGTGTGTACTAACACAACCAACAAACACACAATAGTAAACACGCCCTCACCACCATCTGAACACAGAGCCGTTCTACGTCATGCACAGGTACGTGTCTACTAACACAACCAACAAACACACAATAGTAAACACGCTCTCACCACCATCTGAACACAGAGCCGTTCTACGTCATGCACAGGTACGTGTGTACTAACACAACCAACAAACACACAATAGTAAACACGCTCTCACCACCATCTGAACACAGAGCCGTTCTACGTCATGCACAGGTACGTATCTACCAACACAACCAACAAACACACAATAGTAAACACGCTCTCACCCCAATCTGAACACAGAGCCGTTCTACGTCATGCACAGGTACGTATCTACCAACACAACCAACAAACACACAATAGTAAACACGCTCTCACCACCATCTGAACACAGAGCCGTTCTACGTCATGCACAGATACGTATCTACCAACACAACCAACAAACACACAATAGTAAACACGCTCTCACCACCATCTGAACACAGAGCCGTTCTACGTCATGCAAAGGTACGTGTGTACTAACACAACCAACAAACACACAATAGTAAACACGCTCTCACCACCATCTAGACACAGAAGCTGTTCTACGTCATGCACAGGTACGTATGTACTAACACAACCAACAAACACACAATAGTAAACACGCCCTCACCCCCATATGAACACAGAGGCCGTTCTACGTCATTCACAGGTACGTATCTACCAACACAACCAACAAACACACAATAGTAAACACGCTCTCACCACCATCTGAACACAGAAGCTGTTCTACGTCATGCACAGGTACGTGTGTACTAACACAACCAACAAACACACAATAGAAAACACGCTCTCACCACCATCTGAATACAGATGCTGTTCTACGTCATGCACAGGTACGTATGTACTAACACAACCAACAAACACACAATAGTAAACACGCTCTCACCACCATCTGAACACAGAGCCGTTCTACGTCATGCACAGGTACGTGTGTACTAACACAACCAACAAACACACAATAGTAAACACGCTCTCACCACCATCTGAACACAGAGCCGTTCTACGTCATGCACAGGTACGTGTGTACTAACACAACCAACAAACACACAATAGTAAACACGCCCTCACCACCATCTGAACACAGAGCCGTTCTACGTCATGCACAGGTACGTGTGTACTAACACAACCAACAAACACACGGTAGTAAACACGCTCTCACCCCAATCTGAACACAGAGCCGTTCTACGTCATGCACACGTACGTATGTACTAACACAACCAACAAACACACAATAGTAAACACGCTCTCACCCCAATCTGAACACAGAGCCGTTCTACGTCATGCACAGATACGTATCTACCAACACAACCAACAAACACACAATAGTAAACACGCTCTCACCACCATCTGAACACAGAGCCGTTCTACGTCATGCACAGGTACGTGTGTACTAACACAACCAACAAACACACAATAATAAACATGCTCTCACCACCATCTGAACACAGAGCCGTTCTACGTCATGCACAGGTACGTATCTACCAACACAACCAACAAACACACAATAGTAAACACGCTCTCACCACCATCTGAATACAGAGCCGTTCTACGTCATGCACAGGTACGTGTGTACTAACACAACCAACAAACACACAATAGTAAACATGCTCTCACCACCATCTGAACACAGAGCCGTTCTACGTCATGCACAGGTACGTGTGTACTAACACAACCAACAAACACACAATAGTAAACACGCTCTCACCACCATCTGAACACAGAGCCGTTCTACGTCATGCACAGGTACGTATCTACCAACACAACCAACAAACACACAATAGTAAACACGCTCTCACCCCAATCTGAACACAGAGCCGTTCTACGTCATGCACAGGTACGTATCTACCAACACAACCAACAAACACACAATAGTAAACACGCTCTCACCACCATCTGAACACAGAGCCGTTCTACGTCATGCACAGGTACGTATCTACCAACACAACCAACAAACACACAATAGTAAACACGCTCTCACCACCATCTGAACACAGAGCCGTTCTACGTCATGCAAAGGTACGTGTGTACTAACACAACCAACAAACACACAATAGTAAACACGCTCTCACCACCATCTAGACACAGAAGCTGTTCTACGTCATGCACAGGTACGTATGTACTAACACAACCAACAAACACACAATAGTAAACACGCCCTCACCCCCATATGAACACAGAGGCCGTTCTACGTCATGCACAGGTACGTATCTACCAACACAACCAACAAACACACAATAGTAAACACGCTCTCACCACCATCTGAACACAGAAGCTGTTCTACGTCATGCACAGGTACGTGTGTACTAACACAACCAACAAACACACAATAGAAAACACGCTCTCACCACCATCTGAATACAGATGCTGTTCTACGTCATGCACAGGTACGTATGTACTAACACAACCAACAAACACACAATAGTAAACACGCTCTCACCACCATCTGAACACAGAGCCGTTCTACGTCATGCACAGGTACGTGTGTACTAACACAACCAACAAACACACAATAGTAAACATGCTCTCACCACCATCTGAACACAGAGCCGTTCTACGTCATGCACAGGTACGTGTGTACTAACACAACCAACAAACACACAATAGTAAACACGCCCTCACCACCATCTGAACACAGAGCCGTTCTACGTCATGCACAGGTACGTGTCTACTAACACAACCAACAAACACACAATAGTAAACACGCTCTCACCACCATCTGAACACAGAGCCGTTCTACGTCATGCACAGGTACGTGTGTACTAACACAACCAACAAACACACAATAGTAAACACGCTCTCACCACCATCTGAACACAGAGCCGTTCTACGTCATGCACAGGTACGTATCTACCAACACAACCAACAAACACACAATAGTAAACACGCTCTCACCCCAATCTGAACACAGAGCCGTTCTACGTCATGCACAGGTACGTATCTACCAACACAACCAACAAACACACAATAGTAAACACGCTCTCACCACCATCTGAACACAGAGCCGTTCTACGTCATGCACAGATACGTATCTACCAACACAACCAACAAACACACAATAGTAAACACGCTCTCACCACCATCTGAACACAGAGCCGTTCTACGTCATGCAAAGGTACGTGTGTACTAACACAACCAACAAACACACAATAGTAAACACGCTCTCACCACCATCTAGACACAGAAGCTGTTCTACGTCATGCACAGGTACGTATGTACTAACACAACCAACAAACACACAATAGTAAACACGCCCTCACCCCCATATGAACACAGAGGCCGTTCTACGTCATGCACAGGTACGTATCTACCAACACAACCAACAAACACACAATAGTAAACACGCTCTCACCACCATCTGAACACAGAAGCTGTTCTACGTCATGCACAGGTACGTGTGTACTAACACAACCAACAAACACACAATAGAAAACACGCTCTCACCACCATCTGAATACAGATGCTGTTCTACGTCATGCACAGGTACGTATGTACTAACACAACCAACAAACACACAATAGTAAACACGCTCTCACCACCATCTGAACACAGAGCCGTTCTACGTCATGCACAGGTACGTGTGTACTAACACAACCAACAAACACACAATAGTAAACACGCTCTCACCACCATCTGAACACAGAGCCGTTCTACGTCATGCACAGGTACGTGTGTACTAACACAACCAACAAACACACAATAGTAAACACGCCCTCACCACCATCTGAACACAGAGCCGTTCTACGTCATGCACAGGTACGTGTGTACTAACACAACCAACAAACACACGGTAGTAAACACGCTCTCACCCCAATCTGAACACAGAGCCGTTCTACGTCATGCACACGTACGTATGTACTAACACAACCAACAAACACACAATAGTAAACACGCTCTCACCCCAATCTGAACACAGAGCCGTTCTACGTCATGCACAGATACGTATCTACCAACACAACCAACAAACACACAATAGTAAACACGCTCTCACCACCATCTGAACACAGAGCCGTTCTACGTCATGCACAGGTACGTGTGTACTAACACAACCAACAAACACACAATAATAAACATGCTCTCACCACCATCTGAACACAGAGCCGTTCTACGTCATGCACAGGTACGTATCTACCAACACAACCAACAAACACACAATAGTAAACACGCTCTCACCACCATCTGAACACAGAGCCGTTCTACGTCATGCACAGGTACGTGTGTACTAACACAACCAACAAACACACAATAGTAAACACGCTCTCACCACCATCTGAATACAGATGCTGTTCTACGTCATGCACAGGTACGTGTGTACTAACACAACCAACAAACACACAATAGTAAACACGCTCTCACCACCATCTGAACACAGAGCCGTTCTACGTCATGCACACGTACGTATGTACTAACACAACCAACAAACACACAATAGTAAACACGCCCTCACCACCATCTGAACACAGAGCCGTTCTACGTCATGCACAGGTACGTGTCTACTAACACAACCAACAAACACACGGTAGTAAACACGCTCTCACCACCATCTGAACACAGAGCCGTTCTACGTCATGCACAGGTACGTATGTACTAACACAACCAGTAAACAAACACTAGTAAACATTGCGTACAAACAGCAAATGGAATCACCAATGTATCCACTGAGGTCATGTACGACATCTATGACAATTCTTCTTCTTCTTTTTTCCAGTTACCGGAATATTGCAAGACCTACTGACAAATAAATGATGCATCAAAACGCATTCTTACTTCTGATGTTTGTTTGTTGGCGAGCCTGACCATCCGATCCCGTTCGTCGCCTTTTACGACAAGCATAGTTGCCTTTTACGACAAGCATAGTCGCCTTTTACGACAAGCATAGTCGCCTTTTACGACAAGCATAGTCGCCTTTTACGACAAGCATAGTCGCCTTTTACGACAAGCATAGTCGCATTTTACGGCAAGTATGTCCTGTGCGTCAGTAATCAATAATAATGATTTCTTACAAAAATAAGCAGTTGTTGATTTAGCGTTGTGGAGTTGTCAGGGGCCATCTCAAAACAAAAGTGACAGTTATCAGAATTTACTGAAACCTGATAATTATCCTTTGATATGGATGACACGGAAATGTGGCTTTGCTAATCCCTTATATAACAAGCCGCGTTGCCAAGGCATCCCGTGACAACGTCATCCTGCGGCAACGTTTACGCTGTTGGCGTCTGTTTTGTTTGTTTCTTTGTTTCTTGTTCATCGCCTTACTCAGCAATATTCAAGCTGTATGACGGCGGTCTGTAAATAATCGAGTCTGGGCCAGACAATCCAATGATTGACATCATGAGCATCGATCAACGCATTGGGGATACGATGACATGCATCAGCCAAGTCAGCGAGACTGACCACCCGATCCCGTTAGTCGCCTCTTACGACAAGCATAGTCACCTTTTACAGCAAGCATAACTTGCTAAAGATCTATTCTACCCCGGATCTTCACGGGTTTGTTTGTATCTGGGAATGAACATAAGTAGGCAAATCACCTTGACCTTTCGGAAAGAACACAGAAATTGCCAGGCTGAATTTGAATGCGTTGAAATTTCAATCTATACCTATAAATATACAAACTATCACATTAGTATTTGTTGCATATGTGACCATTTATTAATTCAATGAAACATGTATCTGTGAGGTGTGTGTCAGGCTATATGGTGGCGGTCTGCACACAATCGAGTCAGGACCAGACAATCCAGTGATTGACATCATGAGCATCGATCTACTTCATTTGGATACGATGACATGCATCAACCAAGTCAGCGAGCCTGACCACCCGATCCCCTTAGTCGCCTCTTACGACAAGCCTTTTCATGGCAAGCATGGGTTGCTGAAGACCTACTCTACCCCGGATCTTCACTGGGAGACAAGCATGGGTTGCTGAAGACCTATTCTATCCCGGATCAATCACGTGATATTGCTCTTCGTGAATCTACTTGTAAAATATAATGCGAAGTAAGTGTTTTCAGTGTTCCTCAATAAAAGCGACAAAAGCCTTTCATTTTCAATAGAATTCTAGTGTTCATTGTAAGATTCTGACCATATCTTGAGCATGTGTTGATGAATCAGCATCATGCAGCGATGACACCAGGTGTTCGCGATGAGGTGAACGTATCCAGCCCCATTGGTGGCATCCGTCACAAACACATGCAAAGGCAAGTCAATTATAACGGCTAGTACTGGTAAAAAAAAATGATAGTGTCCAATTTGAACAACTCACATATCCCTGTGTAAGGTAAACACCTTGTCCAGGACTGCATGACATCGATGTTATAATATTTTATAAACAAGAAAGGATAATTTAGATAATTTCCTGGAGAGTAATTTTGCCCCAAAACATGTCATTCTCATTTTTAGCTATGTTTGATAGATGGAGTCATCCAAGATCCCCATGCACAAGGAGTACTTTTTCTAACTGACAAAAGATATTTTATAAAACGTAAATTGACAGCTTCTGGAGTTCCACAGAGAGAGAAGAACATGTTTGTTTTGAACATATTCTATTGCATTAAGTCAAATGGATTAGCCACAAGTGACACACTTACGAAACACTCCCCAACATACATTTCATTATATTGTAATATGTCAATAATGATATATGTACAGTGCACGTTGAGTGAGTGAGTATAGTTTTATGCCGCTTTTAGCAATATTCCAGCAATATCACGGCGGGGGACACCAGAAATGGGCTTCAGACAATGTACCCTTGTCGGGAATCGAACCCAGCTAAAACCATAAGGCTACCAAGCTAAATGATGGCCGTCTGTAAATAATCGAGTATGAAACACACAGTCCACAGATGACATGCATCAACAAAGTCAGCGAGCCTGACCACCCGATCCCGTTAGTCGCTTCTTACGACAAGCATAGGTCCCTGAAGATCAGTTCTAACCCGTAACTTCATGGGTCGAGTACATTGTGTGTAAAATGTGAGCACTATATTCATCTATACTGTGGTTGACCAGTCATTCACTACGAGCCCGTGCTGGCCATGAGGGGTCACGCAGCAGGTTAGGTTGTCAGGCTTGGTGATTTGTTGACGTCATCCGTGGATCGATGCTCGTGTTGCTAAAGACTGGATTGTCCAGTCTGGACTTCAATATTTACAAGTCGCTGTCATGTCGCTGGGAAAATCCTGTTTGGGGTGTTATTCAACAACGAAAATAGACACTGTCAGCAATCTGCTCAGTCCACCTTAGTGGGCACTTACGACAAATAGGACATCCTGGTGACCTTCTCGAATATTGGTGAGTGCGGCGTTAAATAACTAACAAAACAAATTTACATGAGCAAATAATCTGAAATAAATCTTTTAGACAAATGACCGCCTCCGTGGTGTAGTGGATAGATCAATCTTGGTGGATCGACCTGGCAAAGTCATAATAAAATACGTCAAAAGATAGTACTGTTATTATTGAAGGGTTGAAGCAAGGACTGGTTGGTATACAGTGTCTGGGCAAGGCTGAATAATGATGTTGTTGTTGTTGTTGTTGTTGTTGTTGCATTACGTGTTTAAGAGGGCGCCTTCTGCCTAATGCTACCATCCTAACAAAGTAGTTCTATCCCGTTCTACCCCGTTCTGGACAAAATACTAGAACGGGCTGTGATCACGGTAGAACGCGTAGTTTGGCGTAGAATACGATGAAAGTTCGTTCACAGGCAGTCCTCAATGTGTGTATCTCGTTCTTATCTCGTTCTTAGCCAGTCTGCAGTCCGTTTGTATCGAGTTCAGATCGTGTAAAAGTGCCCGTTCACTCACCCCGACAACGTTTCGAACAGTTCGAGCACGTCCATAGCCGTTCTGAACCCGTTCTTAACCAGTTCAACCTCGTTCTACCTCGTTCACAATACGTCCAAGCCAGTTCTAACTAATTCTTAACCCGACCAACTCGTTCGCAGTACGTCCTCATCTCGTCCCAAGTGCGTCCTGGCCCGTCCTTGTCCGACTCCTATGGATACCGAGCGCGTTGTAGCCAGTCTTCATTCAAGTTCAGTGCTCCGAGCTGTACACATCATGCCTCCAAAGAGAAGTCGACCCGGTCGGTGTGCACACGTACTGAACTTTATGTTGGACTTCACCACGTCGTAACGGCGTAAAGGTTCGAAGTACGGCAATTCCGTTCGTAATACTCATTTTAAGTACGTTGTCAATCCGACTAATTGCAGAACGGGATGGACGGAATAAAATGTTGAGCTGACTCAAAGTTCTGGAGCACTCTCCCCCTCCGAGCCCGTCCACGACGTTCATACACAGTTGGAGCCAGTTCCACAACATTTTCACGAACGTATTGAGAACTAGTTTGGTGTGATGGGGGTATAATCAATTTCGGCTACCCTGTCCCACTTGGGGACTCATGTTTGTAAGTGGGGTACACATATCTATTGTTGGTTTGGTATTCAGAGAATTTCTGTTTTGGTATTGATATGATTTCTATTTTCGTATATTCATACAATTTCATTTTTATCCTTGGCTGGATATACGTTCGAGCAGCTGTCCATCTCTCAGAAATGGAGTTAGTTTAGCCTTCGCTATTACGTCTCTTGGCTTTAGGAGACCTATGACAGATAGCGGATCTAACTGCAATTCTTGTTTTAACCGAGCCCGGGCTGGGGCATGGTCTTGACATTCTAGTAACAGGTGGTCAGTGGTTTCAGTCTGATTGCAAGATGAACAAACCTTGTCATAGTGCTATCTTGTGACCGAGTCTGAGGCGTGAGAGGGCAATTTAAACTTTCCTTTCATTTGAGTATAAGTTTGGCTTTTGTTGGATCTTGGGTTGAAGTTTGTACAGCCATCTGCCCACTGGGCTTGCCATCTTTGGTCTATGGAGGCTTTGAGTTTGCTTTTTATCTCTAGTTTACTGAAGGGAATAGGCTGTATCTCCGCTTTGTCTAGAGCTAGCTTCGCCAGTGTGTCTGCTTTTTCATTTCCATGAATATCTATGTGAGAGGGGATCCAACACAGCTCCACCTGTGTGCTCCACCTTGGTCCGATAGTTTTGTATATTCGTATAGAATATTGTTGACTGTGTTTGGCCTGGAGTTTGAGTTTCTGCCACTGATGGCCTGAAGTGCACTTAGCGAGTCTGATAGGACGACTGCCTGCCTTTGCTTCCGGAAGTTCCGGTAGGAGTTTGAGTGCATGATGAATTGCCTCCAATTCAGCCGTGAATACTGACTGACCATCAGGCAAGCGAACTGAATGTGCTTGGGGTTTGGAGCTGTGAATATGGATCCCGTAACCAGCACTGTTGTTGATAGGATTCTTGGATCCATCAGTGTATATATGGGCCCAGCTGTCCCAGGTAGTTTGAATTTTAGTGATAGCTGCTGATCGTAGTTGGGTTGGGTTTCCTTTTGAATACTGAGCTTGGTACAGAATGTATATAGTAGGTCATCCTCCCGAGGCAAGGGTGTTAACTGACTTTAAAAGTCCAGTTTCCACCCTTGCCGAACTAGGCTGGAATTCCTGGGCTCGATCGGAGCGCCACCAGTGGCTATTACGAGTTATGTCCTTTCTATGCCTCTCCTCTTGACGAATCAGATTCAACCTCTCGTATTACTTGCATTTGCTTCAAACAAAACGGTGGCGCCCAGTCAAGACGATCTGATCGATAATCAAGATCTATATTGTGATAAAACGAGTCTTACATCGCAAAGTGCATCAAATCACGTGAGCACCTTGATTAAAAACATGGAAAGATTTAGAAAATATCTGTTGACAACGAGTTAGCAGTGCACATGCTTTGCAAATCCTGCAGTCGACCGAAACCTGCATGGCAATCTACGAACCGGATTTCGATTTCGGAGCGCGATTTTGATTGGACTATGCATAGACTCGTTAGTCCAGCCAAAATGTAACTCGATAATACCAGCCCAGTTTGGCAAGGGTGGAAACTGGACTTTTATAGCCAGTTAACTCACTTGCCTCGGGAAGATGATAGTAGGTGGAGGATTAACAGTAACAACAATGGCATACATGAGGGAGATTAACATCTGTAGGTTAAGTAATGACAACGTTATATATCTATACCGAAACGTCGCCTTTACAGTAAGTAACGAAGTTTTTTATCCTTAAGTCGTGTCTACTTTGTTATAGACGATAACGGTTTTTTTCTTTGATAATAGTTTTTTTTCGTGTGTGCGTCAGAAGCTTCATGATGTGAGCTCACTTTATGAGGCATCAGCACGTTATATACTTTAGTGTCATGTGTGTAGATCCCTGGGCTGACCATGTAATAAAACTTGACTTTATACAATGACGTGACTTTCTATATCTAGCAAAATGCCACCACTGTTGGTAAGTAAACATGTCAAGAGAAGACGATCACAATAACCTATAAACTGTAAAGTGGTAAAATATGATTCTTATTAGAATTTATGGCGTACTTGATCTGAATATCTGTGAGTGAACTTGTACAATTGCCAGAATTGGTTGCATTCAACGTAATCCACCCTGGGAATGATGATATTGAAGATCAATGGTTGATCACTAATGGGACTTCTTGTTTACTCGCATGTTAGGTCCGTCGCTGCAGCAGATGGTATCCTCAACCAGACCTGGTAGTTCCTATGCGTCCCATATAGACCTCGAGAGCGGAAGGTCCGGGGTTCGATCCCCGGCCGCGTCATACCAAAAGACGTTAAAAGATGGTACTTGTTGTTACCCTGTCTGGCGCTCGGCATTAAGGGGCTAAAACAAGGACTGGTCGGCTCGGAGTCAGTTTACTGTGTCTGAGTGGGGTATTCATGTTAAACTGCGGCATGGTATCTCAGTGAGCTATCACTATAAATCGGCATCAGTCCGGACTAGTACAAGCAGCCACACAAACACATACACGTACATGCACGTCGCTATATAAGTGCAATAATCTTGAACGCTACGTTAAACCCAATTTCACCTCACCTCACCTCACCATGTAGACTTCGGAAATGTGGCGGATATATGATTGGATGGATTTGAAGAACAAGTTGTAGAGGCGAAAAACGGGATTGGGTGGTCAGGCTGGCTGACATGGTTGATGCATGTCATCGATCCCAATTTCGTGGAACGATGCTCATGATGTTAATCACTGGATTGTCTTGTCCAGACTCGATTATTTACAGACCGCCGTCATATAGTTGGAATATTGCTGAGTGCGGCGTTAAACAACAAACAAGCAAACAAACAAACAAATCTTCACGGGTCTGGTAGTGAAGGTATTATATTATCCACCTGGTGAAGATACAGGTGGTAAGATACTTAATCCGTACGTCACACGTGTGTCGTACAAGGTTGGCCTTGTTTTATTCGTTTTGATTGGATAACCGTGACCTCTGTCACAACGGGACTACTTTTTTCATTCATAAAGAATCGCGAGACGTCATTCATTTAGCAACTGCAAGGCAGAACGGATGCAATCTCATGAGCAGCGAGAGATATTTACAAACACTTTATTAAACCAAACAAGACAGTCAACGCATCATATTCGGTTTGCATTCTATATAAGTTATGCACAGAGCTTCTACAGACATTATATAATCGAGCTATATCCATTTACAGGGGCGATCGGGTAGCCTAGTGGTTAAAGCGTTCGTCGTCACGCCGAAGACCCGGGTTCGATTCCCGACATGGGTACAATGTGTGAAGACCATTTCTGGTGTCCCCCGTCGTGATATTGCTGGAATATTGCTAAAAGCGGCGTAAAAACATACTCACTCACTCACTCACTCCCATTAACAATGTACGAGTACCGATCAATAGATCTAGGGTGCCAATCAGCGTGACGCACCCGGCCACTTTTGTAAGGTAAATGGATAAGCTTGGTGAAATGAAGTCAATTTAAACTATCTGGACAGATATCTAGACTTACTTGGGATGATCCGGTTGTGCCATCAGTGTCCCCTTCGAAGCGTATTTTGTGGCACTGTTTCGGGAGTTGTTTGTTCACGACTGTACGACCAAATCACTCAAAGTGAACATTTCCGATACAAATCATTCGACAACTCTGTAGAACGGTGCCTGATTTCTGATTATGTGGCCAAAAATATCCCATATGAGAACAATAACATTCCCAGTCTCTAGTGGTAAAACGCTGTGAGTAGACCACGATTGTCATTTCTTATTCCGGTGATGACCTTGCCCTTCGTTCGAAGCTGTCACTGACATGCAAGCAGACTTGAGTTTGTTGATTTTCACGTCTTCGGTATAGGGTGGTACAGTTAACATGAATGTCTTTGGCGAACACTCTGATTTCCCTCTTCCAAAATGGTACGGACAGGATATCAATTCAGCTGATAGATCAAGGAAACCGAACCATTTTCATTGCACAGACGGGATCCCGGCAGTGCGAGTGATCGACTGTTGGTCCGATAGTCAAAGCGCGGCGGTAATGTGACTTTTTAAATTTTCTTACAGGTGTCCTGGGTACTAACAACATAGCGCTTGAATTACCATAAGTTGAAGAAATTCTTCCAAAAGGATCTTGAGCGTCGGTGCAGTTATGTTTGCAAACACAACTGCAGGCGCATGTTGCGAATGCCTATGCATAGAAATGTCAACAATCACCATATTTAGGCATATATCAATATTCATGCGCAACCAGATTTTGCAACCGGTTTCAGTTTGGTCTGTCAACGAACGAAAGTTGTCATGTATTTACACTTAAATATATATTTAACGTGGGTAATAAATAAAATACCACACTTCTTTTCGTAAGATACCATTTTTACGAAACTCGTGAACTTTCTATCGTATTTGACATCTCTTTAACTCGGTCAGATATCAAGGAAAGTCCATTCGTTCGTTAAAATGATATCTAACGAGAATGAGTGTAGTACTCTCTATTTATCATCCCAAACTGGCTCCAACAGGAGATATCGCTTGGTTGAGATAAAGCGATATTTACACTGTAGATATTGCTGCAATGACATTGTATCACAATGCTTTGCAGATTATTGTGACGTCATTGGTTACCACAGATCCTCACGGGTCAATGTTTGAAATAAGTGAACAATAGAAAACATCGATTGTATCAATTGATATATTTATTTTCCGATTACGTCTGTGAAATCATACAAAATAAAGACCACATTTTACAATATAACGAGTAACGATACCAAAAATTAACGAATTATTTTCAAGATTTAATTTCAAAAACTAGAAATTACATGTTGCCGATATTCCATTCATGTTGCACCCCAAGGCAACAACAGAGAGCCAGAACTCATAGCCATTGGGGATGATGTTGGAGGGGCTGATCTCAAAGTTAGCTTCCCTTGGACGCAGCTCATAGGTGTAGGTGTATCGCGCTCCGCCTCCCAGCATCCCCCAGTCGTCGCTAGCCCCGGACACAGGGTCTGTAAACATCATCATCATCATCATCATCATCATCATCATAAATAAAAATAAAATAAAATAATAAAATTAACAATAAAAAAGCCACATATTAAGTACGCTACGTGACAATTACAGAGAGCAAAATCACGTAGATACAAACGGGAATAATAAGTGACAGAATGAAGAACTTGTCCTTCAGGACAGGGGCGGTGAGGTAGCCTAGTGGTTAAAGCGTTCGCTCGTCACGCCGAAGATCCGGGTTCGATTCCCGACATGGATACAATGTGTGAAGCCCATTTCTGGTGTCCTCCGCCGTGATATTGCTGGAATATTGCTAAAAGCGGCGTAAAACCAAACTCACTCACACCTTCCGGACGGTTTTGGAACAGGCGACTAACGGTAACTGACGGGATAGGATGGTCAGGGACATTGATTTGCCATCGTATCCCAATTGCATGGATCGATGCTCATCATGTCAAACACTGGATTGCCTGGTCCACACTCGATTAATAACCGACCGCCGTCATATAGCTGGAATATTGCTGAGTGCAGCGTGCAACAAAAAACAAACAAACAATCAACTGTAGATACACACGATGAGGCCCAGCCTGAACAGGGTAGAGTGTACGTTGGTTGGTTGTTTGTTTTGCGCCGCACTCTGCAACATTCACGCTTTATGGCGGCGGTCTGTAAAAAATCGAGTCGGAACCAGACAATCCAGTGATTAATATCATGAAACAACGTTTCCAACTTTTCCACGTACAAAGGGTTAATACACGGGCATCTAACATCGTGGTGTACTTACACAGGGTGGTGGGGCCGTGGCCCCATCTGTAATCTGTGTTGAAGGGAAGTCTCAGCGCGTCCGTCATTTCTGCAGCAGCCGCTTCCTGAAACATCGGATGCGTAACTTTATTCAACCTTATGGAGACTTCAGTGAAAACATATGACTTGTAACATATTGGGACACATTCTCAAAAAAGGAACCAAGCCACAACCAGAAATGTCTTGTGTGTTTGTTGTTTAACGCCACAATAGTCCAGCTGTATGACGGCGGTCTGTAAATAAGCACAGTCGCCATTTACGGCAAGTATAACGGGGTCAAAAAAACAACTAGAAATGTAATTGGGTGTAAATTCATCTGTCAAAATACACTGGATGTCTGTTGCTTTGAATTCAGAGGGTATCCTAGGAAGGATTAGATAGATTTATCAACCGAAGATACAATTATCGATAAGTCAATTTGCATTGTATCATGTTGAAAGAAACAATACTTTGTATTAATGGTTTAATACTCAATGTACCTAAATGAAGTATATGCTAACGACGAAATTAAGAGAACTAATTATTTGAATGTAGCTAAAGCCGCACTCAGCAATATTCCAGCAATATGACGGCGGTCTGCTCATAATCGAGTCTGGACCAGACAATCCAGTAGTGGACATCATGAGCATCGATTCATGCAATTGGGATACGATGACATGCATCAGCCAAGTCAGAGATCAAGCGATCAAACGATATCTACATGGTCGATATCGCTGCAATGAAATTGCATCACTATGCTTTGTAGACCATTGTAACGTCATTGGGTACCATGACTTCACTTAAGAATTGACCTTCACTTTGTGTGAGTTCATTGGAGTATGAACCTTCATAGAGTGAGGGTGAAACTGTATGAACGTCAAATTGTGTCGTTCATACACTTATGAACGTCAGTTTCGCGGTCATGTGACCGCTGTCTCGTCCAATGGAAAAGCCCTATATCGTGTAAACTTCGAATTAAAAAATTATAATCAAATGACATGACTAATAACTTACGACTTCAACAAAGTTGTCTGGTTTGACGTAGTCGTACGAGTAGGGCGTAAGTACAAGCTGAGAGTAGGAGTGAACAGCGAGGTAGGCGTGGAGTCGCTGACCTCCGGCGTTGATCTCAGATACTTTGTTTCTGATACCCTGAGCCTCCGCCTCAGAGAACACAGACGGGCCGCAGTAGACGTCGCTGTTGCAGTTGTTGCTCACGCCCGAGGCTACATAAATACATCGTCACGTGACTTTCAGTTATTGTAGGTTCGTTTGTTTGCTTGCGTGCTGTTTAACGCCACACTCAGCAATATTCCACCCATATGACGACGGTTTGTAAATAATCGAGTCTGGGCCATTATTAGCATCGATCTACGTATTGGGATGTGATCCCGATCCCGTTTGTCGCCTCTAATGACAAGCATAGTCGCATCTTACGGCAAGTTTGGTGTTGCTGAAGCCCCCCTTTCTCTTAACGGGTCCTCTACTTACGTGCGAGTACGGGTGACTCAGTGGTCTAGGCCATAAAAAACAAATAAGACCGTTAGGCAAACAGTGAACATCGCCGGGTGTAACACCTATGTGAACAGTGTTGCAAGTTATATCTTTAATGTGGGAGGAAAGGCAATAGTTGTGGATGGTCTTAGCGTCAAACCAAACATTCACGCCATGACAGCGGATACCATCACAATGAATGGAAGGGAGAACCCCCGGGTGTCCAGTGCCCCAGCAGAAACATGAAGCGTCACATGTTCCTTCATGAAAAGGAATACTGTGTTTGACATAATTCTTGTTTTGTTTGTGTGTTTGTTGTTTAACGCCGCAATGAGCAATATTCCATCTCTAAGACTGCGGTCTACAACTAATCGAGTCTTGACCAGACCATCCAGTGATTGATATCATGAGCATCGATCCAAACAATTGGGATACGATGACATGCATCAAACCTAATCAGCGGGCCTGACCACCCAATCCCGTTAAACGCCTCCTACAAGCATAGTAGCCTTTTACGGAAAGCATGGGTTGCTGAAGACCTACTCTACCCAGGATCTTCACGGGTCTGCTGCAGTACCAAAGAATGTTGCCATGATATTCATCTGATATTCTTTGGTGGCAACTGCATGTCCGGCTATGACACTCGGACTATTTGGTTCTTTACATCCACTAAAACACGAAGTACACTTAAAGATAGCTCCTCTAATCTAAGTCGGGATCTGGTTGTAAATGTGTTACTTGAGACGTGAAACTTTTATAGTCCATCGTAATTGATTACCTTTTGTTCGCCTTAAGACCGTGTGGATGTCAGCTGTGAGACAGTCGACATCAAGCCGGGTTGCTGAAGACCTATTCTACCCCGGATCATCACGGGCTGCGTTGGATCATGTGAATGGATTGTGTGTTTGAAATAATAATACTTACTACCCCAGAAGGCATCGAAATTCCTGTTCAGATCAACACCACGGCATCCATTGCGAGGAACGGAACGGTTCTTTCTCCAAAGCCGTTGCTATTGAAACAGAAAGGTAATGTTTAATTCAGGAAGACATGATAACCTTGTATATCTTCAGCAACCCATGTTTGCCGTAAAGCCGACGGTGCTTGTCGTAAGAGGCGACTAACGTGATCGGGTGGTCAGGCTCGCTTCCTTGGTTGGTGCATGACATCGTATCCCAATTGGATCGATGCCCATCAATCACAGCAATATCACGGCGGAGGACACCAGAAACGATTTCACACATTCAACCCATGCAAGGAATTGAACACGGGTCTTCCTGTGACTACGGAACCCGTGAAGATCCGGGGGGGGGGGGGGGGGGGGGTGGGTTATAGGTCTTCCGCAGCCCATGCTTATCTAACATGATCGAGTGGTAAGGCTCGCTGCCTTGGTTGATGCATCCCAATATTGCGTGGATCGATTCTCATGACATCAATCACTTGATTGTCTGGTCCAGACTCGATTATTAACAGACCGCTGTCATGTAGCTGGTATAGTGCTGAGTGCGGCGTGGACCATCAACAAACACATCATTCCGTCGGGACTCACATGTATTACATGCAGTGAACGATGATACCTTGCCAATTAGAGTTGATCAAATGTAACTTCAAAAACTTACCCATGATAGGATTATTTACAGACCGCCGTCATATAGCAGGAATATTGCTGACTGTGGCGTTTGTAACCAGCTAATTAACGGATAGTGGACACGGTGACTTGGTTTTACGACTTACAGAAGTATGGCTGGACTTACAGAAGTATGGCTGGACTTACAGAAGTATGGCTGGACTTACAGAAGTATGGCTGGACTTACAGAAGTATGGCTGGACTTACAGAAGTAAGGCTGTACTTACAGAAGTATGGCTGGACTTACAGAAGTATGGCTGGACTTACAGAAGTATGGCTGTACTTACAGAAGTATGGCTGTACTTACAGAAGTAAGGCTGTACTTACAGAAGTATGGCTGGACTTACAGAAGTATGGCTGGACTTACAGAAGTAAGGCTGGACTTACAGAAGTATGGCTGGACTTACAGAAGTATGGCTGGACTTACAGAAGTATGGCTGGACTTACAGAAGTATGGCTGGACTTACAGAAGTATGGTTGTACTTACAGAAGTATGGCTGTACTTACAGAAGTATGGCTGGACTTACAGAAGTATGGCTGGACTTACAGAAGTATGGCTGTACTTACAGAAGTATGGCTGTACTTACAGAAGTATGGCTGTACTAACAGAAGTATGGCTGTACTTACAGAAGTATGGCTGGACTTACAGAAGTATGGCTGGACTTACAGAAGTATGGCTGTACTTACAGAAGTATGGCTGTACTTACAGAAGTATGGCTGGACTTACAGAAGTATGGCTGGACTTACAGAAGTATGGCTGTACTTACAGAAGTATGGCTGGACTTACAGAAGTATGGCTGGACTTACAGAAGTATGGCTGTACTTACAGAAGTATGGCTGGACTTACAGAAGTATGGCTGTACTTACAGAAGTATGGCTGTACTTACAGAAGTATGGCTGTACTTACAGAAGTATGGCTGTACTTACAGAAGTATGGCTGGACTTACAGAAGTATGGCTGGACTTACAGAAGTATGGCTGTACTTACAGAAGTATGGCTGTACTTACAGAAGTATGGCTGGACTTACAGAAGTATGGCTGGACTTACAGAAGTATGGCTGGACTTACAGAAGTATGGCTGGACTTACAGAAGTATGGCTGGACTTACAGAAGTATGGCTGTACTCGTAGCCATCTGGATTTGTCACCGGCACCACGTAAAAGTCGTACGTGTCAAGAAGAAAGGTGGCCTCAGCGTCCAGACCGTACCGGCTGAGCAGCTGTAAATACAAAGGGTGGTCTTCAGTATATCAGCCCGTGTGAAATACGCAGTGTCTAATGTTAGCCCTGATTGGATGTGGTTTTTTTAAAAGCTTCCTACCCGTGAGGTGGATTCAAACTCCTTCTGTTCATTCAGTAGCTAAAACTGCTGTAATAAGGACATACATTTACCGTGATTTGAGACCCGTATAAGGCATGCCGTATAAGGAGACCCGTGAAGATCCTGGTCACGATTGGTCTTCGGCAACATGCGTCCCGTATAAGGCGACTATGTTTGTCCTAAGATGCGACTAACGGGATCGGGTGGTCAGGCTCGCTGACTTGGGTGAAGCACGTCATCGATCCCATTTGAATGGAAGGCGACTATCCTTGTCGTAAGAGGCGACTAACGGGATCGGGTGGTCAAGCTCGCTGACTTGGGTGAAGCAGGTCATCGATCCCAGTTGAGTGGAAGGCGACTATGCTTGTCGTAAGAGGCGACTAACGGGATCGGGTGGTCAGGCTCGCTGACTAGGTTGATGCATGTCATCGTATCCCAGTTAAGTGGAAGGCGACTATGCTTGTCGTAAGAGGCGACTAACAGGATCGGGTGGTCAGGCTCGCTGACTAGGTTGATGCATGTCATCGTATCCCAGTTAAGTGGAAGGCGACTATGCTTGTCGTAAGAGGCGACTAACGGGATAGGGTGGTCAGGCTCGCTGACTTGGTTGAAGAATGTCATCGATCCCAGTTGAGTGGATGTCATCGTCATATTTTATTCCATACTATGAACCCATGAAAACAGGGTGTTGAATTGTGTCAATTCCTTTGACAGAGACTGGGTACATCATGTAGAGTTTCTGGACGAATGGGTTTCAAGAATTAAAATGGGACGTGTTCATTTCATCGTAAAAAACAAACAAATATAAACATATGGAATCACCTGATACAATGATACAAAAAGTCCATGCGCAAGCTGGCCGTCTTTGCGACATGGATTTACACACGTACTGTTTCATGAATAATTTCCTCTTAAGATTGTAGACGATATTTGTATGATTATTGTTAATGACAGGACACTTACCCTGTCCATAAAGTACATGAGGCTGCCGCCTACAATCCACTCCCTGGCGTGAATCAATCCCTCGATAAAAATCACTGGCTTATCTCCCCCTGTGCCGAGCTGAAACAGTCGCCAAAAAGAAAAAAACTAAGGCTCCATTTCAATATTGTCGTGTTTTACCATGTCGATGTCACAGATAACTTTGACAATAAAAATATTCAAAGTGATTGCCATATAACAAAGCATTTTATATGACTGAAGTAGACTTTTCAATATCAATTCAACTCAATTCACCTGTGAAATCCGGGTTGGAATAGGTCTTCAGGTGATAGAGGTGAAATGGGGTTTAACGTCGCGTCCAAGATTACTGCAGTTATATAGCCACGTGCAAGCACGTGTGTGTGTGTGTGCGTGCGTGCGTGCGTGCGTGCGTGCGTGCGTGCGTGCGTGCGTGCGTGCGTGTGTGTGTGTGTGTGTGTGTGTGTGTCTGCTTGTACTAAGCCGGCCTGATGCCGATTCATAGTATGAGGCAGTTTAACATGAATACCCCACTCAGACACAGTATGCTGACTCCTAGCCCACCAAAAGGAAACGGGTTTCAGACTTGCTGACTTGGTTCATACATGCCATCGGATCCCAATTGCGATGATCGATGCTTATGATGTCAATCACTGGATTGTCTAGTCCAGGCTCGATTATTTACAGACGGCAGTCATATAGCTTGAATATTGCTGAATGCGGCTTTAAACAAACAAACAAATCATGTTTTTCTTCGAATGTTACATTGTTATCCAGAACGTGGTCCTCATAATTAGTGTCACCATTTTCAGCAGCATCTTTTAGAGACTCCGTGTGTTAATTTCCTGTTATAAAATTAATTGATATCAGGTACATCAGTATCGACATCTGCAATCCAAGGAGAAACCTGGCGTAACGGGTACTTGTTGGCCATGGTCGACTCAGGCCCCAGACCTAACTGAATGTTTTATGGTCGGTCCGCAATTGACTTTCTCTGATGTAGATGATGCTGGTCGGTCCGCTATTGACTTACTCTGATGTAGCTGATGCTGGTCGGTCCGCTATTGACTTACTCTGATGCTGGTCGGTCCGCTATTGACTTACTCTGAGGCTGGTCTGTCCGCTATTGACTTACTCTGATGCTGGTCGGTCCGCTACTGACTTACTCTGATGCTGGTCGGTCTGCTACTGACTTACTCTGATGTAGCTGATGCTGGTCGGTCCGCTATTGACTTACTCTGATGTAGCTGATGCTGGTCGGTCCGCTATTGACTTACTCTGATGCTGGTCGGTCCGCTACTGACTTACTCTGATGCTGGTCGGTCTGCTACTGACTTACTCTGATGTAGCTGATGCTGGTCGGTCCGCTATTGACTTACTCTGAGGCTGGTCTGTCCGCTATTGACTTACTCTGATGCTGGTCGGTCCGCTACTGACTTACTCTGATGCTGGTCGGTCCGCTACTGACTTACTCTGATGTAGCTGATGCTGGTCGGTCCGCTACTGACTTACTCTGATGCTGGTCGGTCCGCTACTGACTTACTCTGATGCTGGTCGGTCTGCTACTGACTTACTCTGATGTAGCTGATGCTGGTCGGTCCGCTATTGACTTACTCTGATGTAGCTGATGCTGGTTTGTCCGCTACTGACTTACTCTGATGCTGGTTGGTCCGCTACTGACTTATTCTGATGCTGGTCGGTCCGCTACTGACTTACTCTGATGTATCTGATGCTGGTCGGTCCGCTACTGACTTACTCTGATGCTGGTCGGTCCGCTATTGACTTAATCTGATGCTGGTCTGTCCGCTACTGACTTAATCTGATGCTGGTCTGTCCGCTACTGACTTACTCTGATGCTGGTCGGTCCGCTATTGACTTAATCTGATGCTGGTCGGTCCGCTACTGACTTACTCTGATGCTGGTCTGTCCGCTACTGACTTAATCTGATGCTGGTTGGTCCGCTACTGACTTACTCTGATGCTGGTCGGTCCGCTACTGACTTACTCTGATGTAGCTGATGCTGGTCGGTCCGCTACTGACTTACTCTGATGCTGGTCGGTCCGCTACTGACTTACTCTGATGCTGGTCGGTCTGCTACTGACTCACTTTGATGTAGCTGATGCTGGTTTGTCCGCTATTGACTTACTCTGATGTAGCTGATGCTGGTTTGTCCGCTACTGACTTACTCTGATGCTGGTTGGTCCACTACTGACTTACTCTGATGCTGGTCGGTCCGCTACTGACTTACTCTGATGTATCTGATGCTGGTCGGTCCGCTATTGACTTACTCTGATGTAGCTGATGCTGGTCGGTCCGCTACTGACTTACTCTGATGTAGCTGATGCTGGTCGGTCCGCTACAGACTTACTCTGATGTAGCTGATGCTGGTCGGTCCGTTATTGACTTACTCTGATGTAGCTGATGCTGGTGTGTCCGCTATTGACTTACTCTGATGCTGGTCGGTCCGCTATTGAGTTACTCTGATGCTGGTCGGTCCGCTATTGACTTACTCTGATGTAGCTGATGCTGGTCTGTCCGCTATTGACGTACTCTGATGCTGGTCGGTCCGCTATCGACTTACACTGATGTAGCTGATGCTGGTCGGTCCGCTATTGACTTACTCTGATGTAGCTGATGCTGGTCTGTCCGCTATTGACGTACTCTGATGCTGGTCGGTCCGCTATCGACTTACACTGATGTAGCTGATGCTGGTCGGTCCGCTATTGACTTACTCTGATGTAGCTGATGCTGGTCGGTTCGCTACTGACTTACTCTGATGTAGCTGATGCTGGTCGGTCCGCTACTGACTTACTCTGATGTAGCTGATGCTGGTCGGTCCGCTACTGACTTACTCTGATGTAGCTGATGCTGGTCGGTTCGCTACTGACTTACTCTGATGTAGCTGATGCTGGTCGGTCCGCTACTGACTTACTCTGATGAAGCTGATGCTGGTCGGTCCGCTATTGACTTACTCTGATGTAGCTGATGCTGGTCGGTCTGCTATTGACTTACTCTGATGTAGCTGATGCTGGTCTGTCCGCTACTGACTTACTCTGATGTAGCTGATGCTGGTTGGTCCGTTACTGACTTACTCTGATGCTGGTCGGTCCGCTATTGACTTACTCTGATGTAGCTGATGCTCCTTCCCTCGTAAGTCTGCGTGTTGAGAACTCCAACCTCCTTCACCAGAGCAGGGAACGAGTTCCGCATACCAGTCAGAAGGTCTACAAACTGAAAACAACACATGCCACATCCACATAAACATACAAGGTATCTCGAGCGAGAATATTCAAAATACAAATTGCTTCATATGCATTTCATATCTCAATAAATATGTCTGTAGACCCGAGAAGAGGTAGGTGCATTAGGGCTTCTTGGTTATGTTATTGCTTGTGTCACAATAGCTAGGCCCTTGTCACCATCCTCCCTTCAGTGTACTTAATAACTATTCTCCTGTTAATCTAGCTGTCTTTGTTGATCCTATCCCATCGGCTGCGTCGTTATATTGTTATCTTTGTTTGCTGTTTGAGGCCGCAATCAGCAAATATTCCAGCTATAGGACGGCGGTCTGAAATATAAACGACTCTGGACCAGAAAATCCAGTAATTGACATCATGAGCATCAACCCACGCAGTTGGTATACGATGACATGCATCAACCAAGTCAACAAGCCTTGACCACCCGATCCCGTTAGTCGCCTATTTCGTCAAGCATGGGTTCCTGAAGACCGATTGTATTCCTGGTCTTCATATGATAGGTATTGAGTTTTGGGTTAACTGTAGCTGATTGGGAAATGCTTTGATTTGTCATAAATTAACACATTTCCTCAAATTTGAGCCATGTTGAAGAAAGTGACCCTGCTGACCTTGACCTAATATAGAGGTCATCAATTAACAAAGTTTGTTTTATTTGTAACAGAAGTAATACAACTATATTGAAATGGCTTCTCCACACACCTCTTGGTATCGCTTGTAGGCTGTGTGGGTGGTGATGCCGCCAGTCCAGCCAATGAATGGGGAGGTTTTAGCGTGTGGGCCGCTCACAGGCATGCGGGAGCGCTGTAGAAAGCTGCAATAACGAACAATGAACTTCCAGAAAAAAAAGTAAAAATTACAATTTAAGAACTAATTCTAAGAAATATGATACAAATACTATAAACTGTTGACGAATGAATTACATAAAAAATAAAACCTGTGAGGTGTGGATTAAGTTGTTTTAAAATGTCTGTTTGTTGTTGTTGTTGGTTTGTTGTTTTACGCCACACTCAGCAATATTCCAGCTATATGAAGGCGGTCTGTGTAAAGAATCCAGTCTGCACAATGGTGACATGGTTCAGGCATGTCATCGTATCCCAATTGCGTAGATCGATGCTCATGATATCAGTCACTTGATTGTCCCTTTCAATCTCGATTATTCACAGACCGCTGCCATATAGCTGCAATATTGCTGAGCGCGCTTTTAAGCTAGCGTTAAACGCTGTGGGTAGATCACGGTTGTATTTTCTTATTACGGTGCTGACAAGCAACACCACAAACAGTTCAAGGCGTTGAGATAGTGCTTGAAGCGTTCTGGAAAGGCTGGGTTTTAATCTCCACATGAATACAATGAATTGCATATGTTTTCCCAGCCGGAGTTTGACTGCACTGTTGTTCAAAGCCAAAAAATCCTAACTCATTCACTCGATAATGGCATTCTAGGAAAACCGTCGAAATATCAATTGACATACTCCTCTACATCGTTCTCCTTGAGCGTGACGCCGATGTTGGCAAGGCCCATCCTCTTCACGAACAGGTCATAGCTGCCAGGAGGGACCCGGATGACCGATGTCTTATTGATCGCCGGTAAGCTCCAAAAGTCCAGCTGTAACATACATAGAGGGTCATTTGGCTCAAACGTGTACAATTTTGGTAGTTTACTTCTTGGTTTCTTTAACGCTGCACTCAGCAATATTCCAGCTACATGACGGTGGTCTACAAATAATCGAGCCTGGACCAGACAATGCAGTGATTGTCATAATGCGCATTGTTCCACGCAATTGGGATACGATGACATGCATCAGCCAAGTCAGCGAGCCTGACCATCCGTCCCGTTAGTCGCCTCTTATGACAAGCACAGTCGGCTTTACGGCAAGCTGGAGTGAGTGAGTCAAACGTAACGTCGCATCGGCAACATCTCTGCCATGTAGCGACGAGGGGTATTATACATTCATTTAAATATATAGTGATGACGTAGGGAAAACATTACAGATGCTATATGAAAGAGTGAGTGAGTATGGTTTTACGCCGCTTTTAGCAATATTCCAGCAATATCACGGCGGGGGACACCAGAAATAGGCTTCACACATTGAACCCATGTCAGGAATCGAACCCGGGTCTTTGGCGTGACGAGCGAACGTTTTAACCTCTAGGCTACCCGACCGCCCCATATATGAAAGAAACCTTACGGTTAAAAGTAAGACATTTCCAGACAACCACATGAACTAATTAGTTACAATACAAACCAATTTCTCTGAAATATTTCAAATTGAAATGTCCGCTAACATTGGTCAATCGATGGCATACTTCATAACAAGGAGGCTCTTCATCTTGTTTCAGCGAAGTGATCGCAGGTTTGGCTTTAGTGATTGACATAATGAGCATCAATCCACGCAATTAGGATACGATGACATGCATCATCAACCGAGTCAGCGACCGTGACCACCCGATCCCTTCAGTCGCCTCTTATGACAAGCATAGTCGCCTGAAGACCTGTTCTACCCCGGATCTTCACGGGCCTTAGATGAATGTTATACTGACTTTGTCACTGGAGTATACCAATATACCCCGTCGTTGCCGAGGACCATCTATCATGAGCATCGATCCACTCAACTGGGATCGATGACATGCTTCACCCAAGTCAGCGAGTCTGACAATCCGATCCCGTCAGTCGCCTCTTTCGACAAGCATAGTCGCCTTCCATTCAACTGGGATCGATGACATGCTTCACCCAAGTCAGCGAGCCTGACCACCCGATCCCGTTAGTCGCCTCTTTCGACAAGTGTAGTCGCCTTTTACGGCAAGCATGGATTGCTGAATGCATAGTATCCCAATTGCGTAGATCCATGCTCATGATATCAATCACTGGATTGTCTGGTCCAGACTCGATTATTTACACAGACCGCCGCCATGTAGCTGGAATATTGCTGAGTGCGGCGCTAAACAACAGTACGTCCCATTGGCGTACTATCTGGTGCAAAGCGTATAATCTCCAGTACCCATGGTTGAGCTGTCTTGAGCATCTGATCCAGTACATCGAACTGTTGTCTGTCCACAGCTTTCACTGACACAAGTCGGTGCCTGAAACAAGGAAGTTTGTTCAAAGATAGGTGTATTCTTTTCATTACTGACATTGGACCATTAATTTTGTTATTTGCTTTTAATATCCAAACACTTGGCACATGTCTTTAAATTAATTATGGCCTTGATCGAGTCGCGGATGTGAATACTGTCTTTCTCGTGAGGGAGTTCTAAACTGGGCGGCAAAAGGAAGTATAGGTCGAGTTCCATGATTGATAAAAAAATAACAAGAAGAGGTTTTTTGTGAATTATAATATAATCTAGAGATGGTTAACAAATGATTGATCAACCACAGTTTCAATGAAATTGTGCAATCACAGGTAATGTAAGCTCAAGGTAAACAATGGTGGGGTAAGAAATTTCATTTTCAAAAGTTGTCTGAAATGTCACCTTCAATCGCGTGTATGACCTTCAGCTGCCTCAATGCATTTTGTATGTAGCACCATTTTTTTGTCATCGCACGAGCGCCGTCAAAGGTGGCGCGTTCGGGTGAGGTGTTTTTTGGTACCTGTTCCTGTGAAGTCATATTCCCAATACCCACTTTCCACTAGTTATCGCTGTTTTTAGGAAAATTACAAATTGCCAACCTATACTTTCTTTTGCCGCTTAGCTTATTTAACGCCGTATTTAGCAATGACACAGCCATGTCACAGCGGAGGACACCAGAAACGGTTTCACACATTCTACCCATGCAGGGACTTGAACACGGGTCTTCGGTGTGACTACCGAACCGTGAAGATCCGGGGTGGAAAAGGTCTTCAGCAACCCATGCTTATCTAACATGATCGAGTGGTAAGCCCGCTGCCTTGGTTGATGCATGACATCGTATCCCAATATTGCGCAGATCGATTCTCATGATATCAATCACTGGATTGTCTGGTCCAGACTCGATTATTAACAGACCGCCGTCATATAGCTGGAAAAGTGCTGAGTGCGGCGTTAAACAACAAGCAAACAAATCATTACGTCGGGATTCTCATGTATTACATGCAATAAAAGATGATACCTTGCCAATTAGAGTTGATGAAATGTAACTTCTAAAACTTACCCATGATAGGATTTCTTTGCAGTCGCGATACTTGCGACGACCACAAGTAGGAGGGTTGCTAACACCTTCATGGCTCTGGTGGAGCTTGAAGTCGACTGTCTCACAGCTGACATCCACACGGTCTTAAGGCGAACAAAAGGTAATCAATTACGATGGACTATAAAAGTTTCACGTCTCAAGTAACACATTTACAACCAGATCCCGACTTAGATTAGAGGAGCTATCTTTAGTGTACTTCGTGTTTAAGTGGCTGTAAAGAACCAAATAGTCCGAGTGTCATAGCCGGACATGCAGTTGCCACCAAAGAATGTCAGATGAATATCATGGCAACATTCTTTGGTACTGCAGCAGACCCGTGAAGATCCTGGGTAGAGTAGGTCTTCAGCAACCCATGCTTTCCGTAAAAGGCTACTATGCTTGTTAGAGGCGTTTAACGGGACCGGGTGGTCAGGCTCGCTGACTTGGTTGATGCATGTCCTCATGACCCAATTGCTTGGATCGATGCTCATGGTAGTTTGCTTCTTGCTTTCTTTAACGCCGCACTCAGCAATATTCCAGCTATATGACGGCGGTCTGTAAATAATCGAGTCTGGACCAGAAAATCCAGTGATGGACATCATGGGCATCGATCAACGCAGTTGGGATCGATGACGTGCATCAACCAAGTCAGCGAGCCTGACCACCCGATCCCGTTAGTCGCCTCTTACGACAAGCAAAGTCGCCTTTTTTGGCAAGCATGGATTGCTGAAGACCTATCTTTATTGCTATCTAAGACCACAGTGATGTTAGATTTTATACCAAAATGGTAATATTTCCCCCCTGTAACATCACAAACATCATAAGATGTGGGTGTGCCAACTAAAGTTCGGGTATCTTTGGGAGAGTCTTGGAAGTGTAGTCCTAAAATGGTCAACAAACTGTTTGTGTCTGACAGTGGAAAGCCACATCTTACGGTCCAGTCAGCAAGTTTGTCCCCGAGACTTACGGCCTCGTGATTGACTGACATGCTTTTATCTCTCACACTTCACCCTTAGAGTCGGCCAAGAAAGTTTCATGGCCATATTATTATACAGACCGATTTCTTTCAAATAGCTGATAATGAGATGCCCGCTGCCACGGGAAAAAAGATCTTTCAGATTTACGCTTGATAATGTGAATCCCTTGCGATCGCAAAGTCCACACAGTCAAGAAATATATGCTTGACGGTGAACCTTTCATCACAAGGGATACACTTAGGAGGTTCGTCCTCATCTGTCTTAAGCAGATATTCGTGTGGAAACCGACTGTGGCCAATACGACACCGTCGTAAAACGACCTCGTCATGTCTTGACTGACAACCCAAGTAGGTATGACCGATTGTTGATTTCAATTCGTGTAGTTTATTGCTTCCTTCTTGGGTGTCCAACCTCTTTTGCATGAGATCCCCAGTATAACTCTTGATGGTTGGTTTGAAATCACTGTACGGGATCAGTAGTGGAGATAACGGTTTGTCAAGAGCTGCTTTAGCTGCAGCATCTGCTTTTGAGTTACCTGCTATGCCTACATGACTTGCTAACCAGCAGAAGACGATGTCACATTGGCCAGTAGAAAGATCATTCTAGAGCTCTAAAATGTCAAGGATAATAGGGTGATATGGTGAGACACTTTTGGTGCCTGAAGGCAAGATAACGAATCAGAGAAGATGATGAAATGTTTAGATTGGTTTTGTTGTTGAATATAGATCAAAGCTGTTAACATTGAACTAACATTTGGGATTCTTTAGGAGACAGTTCTGGATTCAATGATGGTTGCACTTGCAACTTTGCCACCATCCATGGACCAGGCTGTAAAAATGGACCTGTGAGAATTATATTTGGAGCGTAATTGGTTATATGATTGCTGATATACCAAAGGATTGGCATCCGCCTTTTTTAGATTGGTAAGAGTGAGGTCTACTTCTTGCTTCACAATCTGCCAGGGAGGAGAAGACAGAAGACGGTGAGGTGATATAATATTTATATCTATTTTAGCTGCAGTGATGTGTGGTTGAATTCTGATTCCAAGTGGTGGAACCAGGTTTGATTGATTTGAAACAGGTTTTCATATTCAGTGTGGAAAACACAATTGTATGCTGGATTAGATTTATTGGAGTGCAATTTAGTGATATATTGCAGTGAAAGTTGAATGCGGCGCAGTCGAGTGAAGGTTCATCTGCCTCCACACACAAACTGTCCACGGGAGAGGTCCTAAGCGCTCCAAGACAGAGTCTCAGGCCTTGATGCCATATAGAAAGTGGTCAAATGTAACTAACCTAAAAAAGTACTAGAATCTGTACTTTACTAAGAAAGTGTTATCCCAAATATGACATTAGTTACATTTGACCACTTTCTATATGGCATTGTGTATTCATAGCTTTCGGCCATGGGAGCCGTGCCAATTTAAACTTGTCAAGGGGTACTCAAAGTACGTGATCTAGACTACCAGTTGTCAGACTTTCATTTTTGTGGAAGCCTCGGTGGCTGAGTGGGTTAGATCGCTGACTTTGTGTGCTGGCGATTAGGTGCCTCACCCTGGCAGGTGTGGGGTCGAATCCCGGACGGGACTCAACCTAAAAAAGTACTAGAATCTGTACTTTACTAAGAAAGTGTTATCCCAAATATGACATTAGTTATATCAGACACATGCTAAATTGTTGCCTTTTGCTACTTATGAATTTTAGTAATTTGTATTACTGAGCATTATTTCAAGAAATATTTCCTTGCCAAACATTGCATGTCTATATAAAGAGAAATGTTGGGTCAGTTACCTGGTTTGGGACTATAACGTTAAAAATGGGCGGGGGATATAGATGACTTTGTCAACTATACGCTTGTCGTACAGGTTCATGCATTCCATGTTACCTTGTGAATATATTGGTTTCACTGTTAGGATTCATGATGTATTTTGAGTGATAAGAGCGATGTTTGTCAGGGACTATTTCTTGGTTTGACATTTGATCTAGATAAACAATGGCCTGATACACTGTTTATTGAAGATTTTCCGATAACTTTCTTGCTCTGAAATGTTTCACAGTATATTTCACTTTGGGTATTAATGATAATTACACTTGATCGCACTGAATAACTAATTTGATCTGTTTGACATTTCTGAGGTTACGGTGACCTGTCAATTATGTTTACGCTTGGCACAGTGACATAGTGTCCGTTTTCACATCAAAGTCATAGATTCATGATAAAGTATTTTCCTGCATTCTAATCTAGATTTGCAATATTCAGACACATAGAGGACAACATATACGTTCCCATATTTCTTGCATTTGTACCTGCAATATGACAGTTCAGGGCAATATTGACAATCTGTTTGTCCGTTTCTCTGTTAATATTTGCCAAGTATTTTAATGAGTTGCGTTACTGTCCGAATTATGAAAGGACATATTGGACAACATCAATACTTTGAATGGGGGCATATTGTCTCCTATAGGCCTATATTTGTCAATGGTCTTAGCGTACGTTTGACGAATGTCAAACTGTCCTCCCAGTAGCTTGGTCTGAAGCTATCCTTGTCCTTAATATCATTGTTTCAGACATTAGCACAAATTTTGTTCGTTCTTCGTGTTCGATCTATTCGGACACTTTGTGCAGTATCAGGACAATACCAATTGATAAAAGAAACGGATTGTTTTGTAAATTTCACTTGTTATGGCGAGGACCACCAACCAAGATGGCGGCCACTGACGCTACGTGGGCGTAAATATATTGTCCATTTAAATATAACAAATAGTCTCGATTTCCTGATTATTTCTACACTGTCCTAATTGTATTCGGACAAACAGGACAAAGCAAGGACATTTTGTAATCACTTACTTTTGTTGGAAATGACATTACCTATGCCATGCTTGTGATATGAAGGCCATCCATCCTGTGTTCTGAGTGGCTAAGAAAGGTCACATGACCTGTTAACTTATAATAACATTTTCTCAAAACAATAAAGCTAATATAACTAAATATTATCACTTCTTTGGAGACTGAGCCCTGTTAATATAATCTAATAGACTTAATAGTATTTGATCAAAACTGTGGGTATTATTGCCATCATTTTAATATCACATTGTTAATAATTTATGTCAACATTGTTGACATTCATACCATATTAAACATAAAGTTTGTAAACGCCATTACAAACTTGGACTGCCAGACTTCATCTTTGCTTGTGTTATTTGTGTTTTGGCTAGCACCATGAAGGGTGTTACAATATTAAGTCCTCAACTAGTTATCATTTTCATGAATGTACTTGTTAAAGTCATGGAGGACTGTGGTGGTAGAGGGAGTATAGGGGGGAAGAGGGGGGTAGTAAGGTGGTTGATGGCGGTAGAGGCCTATTTGTCTTTCCAAGTTATTAATCTGTATTTGCTTTAATGTACGCAGGTGATATATCGGCAATGGCTGATTCTATTGTGTCTGACTTCACAACTAATAAAGCTCTAATGTCCGTTTATCGTTAATCCCAGGATATCCCCTGTACAGATTTGTTCACAGTATTTGATAGCACGGTTGTCCCCATATTGTATTATGGTTAAGAAATAAGGGAAGTAACATATTGTAAAGATATGCAAACAATACAAGGAAAACTATGTAAATGATTGCTGAGGGTGGGTAGTAAAAGTAAAAACAGTATGGTTCTCCATGGATGTGGAAGAGTCCCTCTCCAGATTGTTTATATGACCAGGTTACCGTAACAATGATATCAGATGTTGTTATCCTTGGAAAACTATGCCTGTCGTAAGAGGTGACTGACGCGATCGGGTGGTCAGGCTCGCTGACTTGGTTATCCCAATTGCGTTGGATCGATGCTCTGGTCCAGACTCGATTATTTGCAGACAGCTGTCATATAGCTGGAATATTGTTGATTGCGGCGTTAAACAACAAACAAACAAACAAACAATACTCCAGCTACAACCACTTAAACGTGAGGTACACTAAAGATAGCTCCTCTAAGCTAAATCGGGATCTGGTTGTAAATGTGTTACTTGAGACTTGAGTCCGGCGTTATATTTGTCTCTGTGTTTGGGACAATTTATATCTCTATACTCGGATGACACAATGTATGTGTCTATGCTCGGGAACAATCATTTGCCTCCATGCTCAGCAAAGGTAATGTATGTCTCCATTCTCGGAGGGGCGGTCAGGTAGCCGAGTGATTAAAGCTCGTCACGCCGAAGACCCGGGCTCGATTCCCGTCATGGGTACAATGTGTGAAGCCCATTTCTGGTGTCCCCCGCCGTGATATTGCTGGAATATTGCCGAAAGCGGCGTAAAACCATACTCACTCACTCACTCACTTTATTCTCGGAAGAACAATGCTCTTGAGGAACATGGGTGTTTCTGGGTTCCTGAGAAATGATGTCAGTACGCTCATGAAATTCTAATGCACTGTAATATTATATGTGACCAACCATCAGAAGAGGAACCTTATGGGTGAGACATCACGTTTTAACTTCTCATTATATCTTACAGTAACTACAGTATCTCAGGAACAAAACAATACAAATCAAATTGTTAATTAATACATGGTACCAAACATTTGAACTTATGTTCTACGAAGTCCCATTTGCAGACTTATATCTGTTTGTGTAACAATTGCAGGTTAAAATATAATGTGAGATTTATTGACATGTATGCTGAAATGTTTTAAAATAATGTTTTCATTACATTACGAACTAACGAGAGCAATCTCATTAAAATCAGACCTCAGTTCTCGCTACCGCTAGACAAAGATCTGAGGACATCCCAATACGGGTGACGTCAGACTTTGACCAACTAATGGTATGACCAATCAGAAGGCAGCTTTCTCGTGCTTTACGGCACTAATTTCAAATTAGCGACTACGCTTCGAAACATATTTTGGCAAATTCTCGATTACAAATTTGAAACCTAAACAAAAGAACATTCTGGAATGGCTAATAGATGGTCTAGATTGTATTGATTCAGTCGTTAAACCCGTAACTATCGTTCGGAGTTAAAGTTTTCGAGGTTGCATGATTAGTCACTTTCATAATCTGGTAAGCGATGCTCTGACTGGTCGGATGAAAGGTCGTTCTGACGTGACCCCTAATGGGATGTCCTAAGATCTTTGTTTAGCGGTAGCGAGAACTTAGATCTGATTTTAATGAGATTGTAACGAGAGAAAAATAAGATTTATGTACAGTCTGCACGCATAGCGATTATTACGCATGTATGTTGACGTCAAACATCACAGCACAGTCGGATCTTAGCGACCATGGTCTCTATGTTCGGGTGACGTAATAAGGTGTGCCTTTCAGCTTCATGTATGTCTGTCTGGTGGGTAGATGTGCGACTTGGCTGATTGTGTGTGATCATACCCTAAGAGCATGCTCAAGCTTCATACTGACTGACTCAATCATTACTCGATATACACTCTTCAAAAAAAGAAACGGAGAGGTGTTTTGAGAATTCCAATAAGATTTTTGTTCCCCCAAAAATCGTCGTAAAGAGAATTCTTATGTTTGATTCCTCTTAATCATGTCATGCTTGTTATGCATTGCGCGCAAACACATCTAAAAAACATTTTTTGGGGAAGAGTGTACATTTGGAAATTGTAAAACAGCCAAATACGACCTGCAGTCGCTTGGAATCCTCCAAAAGTAAATAAATAATAATTCAAATAAATGACAAAGATAACTTTTTATTTCAAGTCTCATTTGATCTGTATCCTCTTTAAATATATTCCCATGTAATAAGTTTTCAATTCAACATTGGCTAATCATGTTTAATCATGTTTAAGGTAATTGACATATCTGAAAAACCATGGCCATATGTCGGATATGAACCCGATATTGATATGTCCCTGTACAACCTACACGGACAAGGACTTTAAATATATCTGGCTTTTCCTTTTCAGCTAAGATGATTACTTTGTGACAGATAAAACAGATACTTTCACGTTTCGTGCAGTTTTAAAGTGTTCACTTGTCTGGTCACGACATTACCCAAATATTTGACAAATAAATAAATATAAATGGTGTATTAATTATTAGTATTTTCTGTTTTTAGTCCGAAGACAATGGCGTCAATGAGTCAGATGGAAAGTAGATCCGGCATGAAGTACTGTTTACCTCGAGTGTAAGAACACGTAATTTTCCTGAAGGGAAATGTCGATTATATAGTCACAAACTATACATAGTATCAATAAGTATACAATAAATTTGCATTATATACATCTTCATCCTCATCGGAGACCAAACATGAAACACTGGTTGGTTTAAGTTGGGTAGGTCCATTCTACTCTAGGAAAGCCTTGTAAGAAAATGGGCGCATGTTTTTGTCTCTGACGGTACGTTACGTGAACAGCCATTAAAGACGGGAGTTGGCGTTCTGTTCTGTGAGCCAGTCTTCAAAGATGTTATAGTTGTCTCCGAGCCACCGTATGTTAGCACGTGTTCTATCCATGGCTTGACTGAAGGCGTCCCCTGCCTGGGACAGGTCATCTCCACTGTTCATGAAGTCTTCAATCTGTGAATGAGTGAGTGAGTGAGTGAATGAGTGAGTGCGTGAGTTGAACAGTTTTTCATTTACATCTCTAAGTGATGCAGGTCTCAGAAGTGTAACACTTTAGTAAAACCCAGGAGCACGGATACAGTGCTGACAAGTGATGATGCTGATAAATGTGGGGTTCGAACTATCGCAGTAATCTGGCACTGCGGGATGACATGGCGACTCTTGTCGCCTTCAGACTGTGAGAGAATCACATGACCTGAGACACGTGCTGGTCGAAAGCAGAAAGTGAGGGACTATACTGCAAGGTCGCAGTATTTCAGTTATGTCGGGGCTGTCAGGTTGATGTGGGAGGAAAGCCGGAAGTTATGAAGGTCTCAGATGTTTACCACTCACGTTTACAGATGAGCACCCGTGAGGTGCCCACAAACTTAGAAACATAATCAGGGCGCATCTGCGTTTCGAACAAGCCATCACAACAGACCTGTGAAGAATAGGTCTCCCGCAACCAAAGGCGACTATCGGGATCGGGTGATCAGGTTCGCTGGCTTGGTTGATGCATGTCATCGTATCCCAATTGTGTTAATGGATGCTCATGATATCAATCACTGGATTGTTTGGTCCTTACGTGATTATTTACTGACAGCCGTCATATAGCTGGAATATTGCTGCGTGCGGCGTTAAACAACAAACAAACAAAAGGATACGCAACTCTGTAGAGCGAGTTGCGGCGCCTACGACTGGACCTCTCAGATATTCAAACTGCCCTCGTGTCTTTAAAAATTGCTGTACCTGTTTGTAGTCCTGCTCAGTGTTGAATTTACTTGTCACATCACCCACGAGGCGAGACATTCCAGAAAACGAAGTCACCCTGAAAATACGATAGTCATCCAGAACACATCGACAATACTTCATTTCCGGCTTTGTATCACAGGAACTCGTTATTGGTCAGTAAAACATATATATACCCCCTATGTATAAGATGAGAAATAGATGCAACTAATTTCTGCATGTACAAGTCTTCTGAATTCGATTACTGTCCCTTACGATTTGAAAAAATTATTTCGCGAGCTGGAAAATGTCACGAAAGGCGATCGAAAGTAGATTTTAGACACGGGCAGAATCGAACGAGTCACCTGATTGGCTTACCTACTTAGACTAAGTCAGTATCAAAACAACAATCCCACGTGGGTCCAAAATGATAGTTTGACTGACGAACAAGTGTATCCATTGATTTTGAAATACAGATGGACATAACAACATAATCATTGGCCAGGCTGGCACAGAAAAAAATGTTCTCATCAAGGAAATAGAGGAGCAATTAAGAAGAAATGGAAAGATATTCTCTGCTTTGTTTAGTTGGGATTAACACCGCTTTTGGAAGTATCCCAGGTATACCACGGCGTGTCAGCTAAATCATGACTGGGTGGTTTGATAAGCATTACCTGGAAGTTGACGGATGAAAAAGTAGAGACAATTTGTGGAGAACAATTGCGTGCTTGACAACGGTATAAGGATCTGAACAGAAACGTCACCTTAACAGTAAATATGGAAGTTGTTATCCATATGTTGTCTCTACTTTGTCTTCATGATTGGGCTTGGCTAGGAGACAGAAGGTACAAACATCCTGGCTTATATGGGACACCTCTCAGTCATGAAAGGAAGAATGTCTTACAGGGGATTAAAGACGTTGAAACGCTTATAATTGATGAGTGAAGCATGATTAGTATATGTATATATAATCCAATTTAAATCATCTTTACAATTCCCTCGCACAAAATATAATATTAAGACCAATAGTTTAAAACTTGAATCTAATGATCAATACACGTTAACAAAGGTTGTCTTTAACATGTTAATAGGAATGAATGAATAAATATCTTGAATATGGCAACACTCACATGATTTAAAATACTTTTACATGTTAAAGTAATAATCAAATTATTTTGCTGCAATACAAAATAGTATTTTGATCACTTTTGAGCTGTTGCTGTAAATTCAATATTTTGTGTTTTTTCACATCTTACTTTGATGCCACGGTAAACTGTTAAATGTTTGCGCCAATCACTAGGTTTTCCGTGCCTGGTTGTTGTGCTATTTTGTAGCCTGGTTGATTAAATGTCATCGTACCTCGTTTGCGCCTTCATAATGCCGAGCGCCAGGCAGGGTAACAACAGATAGCGTCTTTCAACGTCTTAATGTTTGACTTGCCCGGGGCGTGAGCCACCGACCTTCCAATCTCCCATCTTCCCGAGGCAAGGGAGTTAACTGACTATAAAAGTCAAGCTTCCACCCTTGTCGAACTAGGCTGGTATTATGGCGTTACATTGTGGCTGGATTAACGAGTCTATGCATAGTCCAATCAAAATCGCGCACCGAAATCGAAATCCGGTTCGTAAACTGTCAAGCAGATTTCGGTCGATTGCAAGATTTGCAAAGCATGTGCACCGCTAACTCGTTGTCAACAGATATTTTCTAAATCTTTTCATGTTTTTAATCTGGGTGCTCACGTGATTTGATGCATTTCGCGATTTAAGACTCGTTTTATCACAATAAAGATCTTGATTATCAATCAGATCGTCTTGACTGGGCGCCGCCGTTTCGTTTGAAACAAATGCAAGTGATACGAGATGTGGAATCTGATTGGTTCATAGGAGAGGCAAAGACGGAACATTACTCGTAATAGCCACTGATGGCGCTCCGATCGAGCCCAGGAATTCCAGCCTAGTTCGGCAAGGGTGGAAACTGGACTTTTAAAGTCAGTTAACGCTCTTGCCTCGGGAAGATGCCACTCCCCGGAAGAAGTCCAATCCACCAGACCACGGATACAGTCTCCCGACAGACGCTCTATCCACTAGACCACGGAGGAGGTCTCCCGACAGACGCTCTATCCACTAGACCACGGAGGCGGTCTCCCGACAGACACTCTATCTACTAGACCACGTAGGCAGTCTCCCGACAGACACTCTATCAACTAGACCACGGAGGAGGTCTCCCGACAGACACTCTATCCACTAGACCACGGAGGAGGTCTCCCGACAGACACTCTATCAACAAGACCACGGAGGCAGTCTCCCGACAGACACTCTATCAACTAGACCACGTAGGCAGTCTCCAGACAGACACTCTATCAACTAGACCACGTAGGCAGTCTCCAGACAGTCACTCTATCAGCTAGACCACGGAGGCGGTCTCCCGACAGACACTCTATCAACTAGACCACTGAGGCGGTCTCCCGACAGACACTCTTTCAACTAGACCACGTAGGCAGTCACCCGACAGACACTCTATCCACTAGACCATGGAGGCGGTCTCCAGACAGACACTCTATCAACTAGACCACGTAGGCGGTCTCCCGACAGACACTCTATCAACTAGACCACGGAGGCGGTCTCCCGACAGACACTCTATCAACTAGACCACGGAGGAGGTCTCCCGACAGACGCTCTATCAACTAGACCATGGAGGAGGTCTCCCGACAGACACTCTATCCACTAGACCATGGAGGCGGTCTCCAGACAGACACTCTATCAACTAGACCACGTAGGCGGTCTCCCGACAGACACTCTATCAACTAGACCACGGAGGCGGTCTCCCGACAGACACTCTATCCACTAGACCACGTAGGCGGTCTCCCGACAGACACTCTATCAACTAGACCACGTAGGCAGTCTCCCGACAGACGCTCTATCAACTAGACCACGGAGGCGGTCTCCCGACAGACGCTCTATCAACTAGACCACGGAGGCGGTCTCCCGACAGACGCTCTATCAACTAGACCACGGACCAATGTATCAGGCAAGATGCTATGTCTTCTCTCGGTCATTTCAATCCTTCCTGACAAACCCCTTTGTAAATATACAACGTGGACTGCTACATACGCTGCGCCCAAGTCACTGAATCTGTTCTTGAGGAAGTTCCAGGCTAGATCCCGACCCCACCGGCTGTTAGCCACGGCAGTAATGGTGGTTCTCGTGTCCTGGGGTCGAATCTCGTCAGGGTTCAGCGACATCTCCAGTAATCTGGATGACGAACATAAATGGTAGATATCATGGTCCCATTAGACTAGGTTTAAGCAGATAGACGGAAGGTCAGGCATTAATTATGTGAATCGTGTTTCAATTAACTGTGTTAGTGTTCCATGTCAACATGTCCCTAAGACAAAATCCATACTGGATCTGAAATCAAACGAACTTCAGAGCCATGCTATGACTCCTCTGAAGAAAAATATGGATCTGATTCTGCCGACCTTTGTAACTCTCTCGGCTGCCACCTGAGAGCTCCTACAAACCAAAACTAAATCTGATTCTGCCCACCTCTGTAATTGTCTCGCCTCCTGGCCGATGGCCTCTCCAAACCAAGAATACTTCTGATTCTACCTACGTCTGTAACTGTCTCGGGTCCCGATATAGGGCTCCTCCGAATCACGACCAAATCTGACCCTGCCTACCTCTGTAACTGTCCTGGCTCCCGACTGCATGCCAGGGCTTCTCTCAGTCGAGACTGTTCAGAGCTGGAGTCGGCTACTTGGAGCTGCGCGTAGGTGAACTCCCAGTCCTCGTGCCCGCCACTCCTCACTGCCGTGCAGTACACGGTGCTCTGCAGGTCTGGGTGGATGCTAAACATACGTCGGAGAAACAAGTAGTTTTATAGGAATAATTAGAAGAACATGAATAAGTCCAGGACGAATTCTGTGATTCCGCGATCGGTGAAACATTTGCAGAAAATGAAGCTCACGGCAGAATTGCAGAAAAATCGCGGAATGTTACCTTCTTAACTATTCAGTACACTAATTTTCATTGTTTTCAAACTTTTTTCCAATCGAATGATGCCCGAACATTTAACATGCGATTCAAACATACAAAATACGATCCCTACAATAAAAAGAAATTTGAAATAAATAATTCTCATATTATAACGTTCTTGAGGTATTATGACTACATAAATTATGCAGAAACCTGCAGAAGTTTCGTAATCTTATCCGCAGAATTCGTCTGATATATAGGCAGTTAGAAGGTGCAAGAAAATGAACACGTGACACTTTTTATCGATAAAGGGACTTGCTATCCATGAAAACAGTGTCATGTGTTCGAGGAACATGTAGTCTTTATAGGAATTTAGAAGTTGGAGTATTGTTATGGATAACTTCTTCATGTTTCCACCTGCTCACTTGTGTTGGTGGACAGACGGCCAGCCTACAGTCAGCATGTATGTATATTTATGATGACCTTGGTAACAAAAACCTCCTTTGTTTTATAAATATAATTTGTATCTAAAATAAAATACTAAATTGACAATCACAATTAGTTTAATAACCATCCTAAATCAGTCCCTGAATTCTGCGATTCCGCTATTGCAGAAAAATCCCGGAATTTATATTTTTTATCAACCAATACACTATGTTTAATTTTTTTAAGGCTTTTCTATCGAATTGTCACTCGAATGGCGTCCAAACATGTAACATCCGATTCAAACATACACAATATTAATCCTACAATAAAACGAAAATAAATAATTCTCACTTTTAACATTTTTGCGGTATTATTTCGACATAAAATTGATCAAAACTTGAAATGTCTAAATGCAAGATAATTAAACTTGTAAACAAACAAAAATGAGTTTGTATTCATTTTGAAGTAGTAAATGGTTATATATATATATCGCAGATGTTTGGTAATTTTACAGCAGATGGTTGCATTGGTAATTTTACCGCAGAATGTTGGTAATTGTACCACAGGAATTTGATAATTTTACGGCAGACTTCGTCTGGGACTGCTGTCACAGTCGTGGTATATTTAGAATAAAGCCATGCAAACCTGCAAAGAAAGGGCGGGCGGGTACAAAACGTGGACTATTCGTTTCGCTGTCCCCTCGTGTGTGAAGAGGGAACCATTTCAATAAAATGGTCTTTCGGCTTGTCCCGGAAATACACGAGTGGTCACGAATGTCTAAAGCACAACCGAGGAAGACCGGAAGTACTCACGGGTTGATGTCAGGGTTCGCCATCCACTGATTGAACAGTTGCCTGGCAACCTGGACACACTCAGGCAGGTCGTGTCCACAAGCCTGGGACGCCATTTGGGAAACGGTGAATCTAGACAATACAAGTTAATACATAAAAAACACACATGTACTAGTTGGTGTACCTGTGTCTTTTGTCATCTACGGCCTATTGTGTTCGAAACATCTGACGAAATGTATATAATCTGCATTAAATATATCGCACCAAATCATAGCGTACAGAAAGCACACTCTTGTTTGTAGTGATGTCCCCTTCACACCACAACCCTCACCTCCCGGCCTACTCACTCTGTTCTCTTTCATCTGTTTCACCACAGTTTTTAGTCAGAGTGAGTGAGTGAGCTGGGTTTAACGCCGCTTTTAACAGTATTCCAGTTATATCGCGGCGTGTCAGCTTAATGTGGGAGGAAAGCCCGAAGTGGTGCAGGTCTCAGACGTTTATCACTTCGGTGAAACCCAAGAGCACGGGCATGGTGCTGACAAACTTAGAAACATAATCGGGGCGAACCGGGATTCGAACCCACAATCATAGGTTTCTGGCGTGCCCAAGGGACGCAACTCTGCACAACGAATCGCGGCACCTTAGACGACTGGGCCACCCGTGCCCCCTTTTTTAGTCAGAACATTCGAATAATAAAATATCTGTGACATTGTGATTCTTTCCTTTCCTTCAATGGGTAGAACAAACGACACATTTGAACGCATACATGCCAAGGTAACATCAAAGGCATTCTAATTTGTTCAATACCTCTTCTAACAGGCAAGAGCAATCGTGATAAGGAGCAACATCAATTTTATTCAAATCAAGCAAAATGATTTTTTTTCAATACATTTTTACCTTCTTCTTTTTTTAGAAGAGTTATCCGCCATTTTTATTAAACCAGAGGCAAACCATGTTTTTTTTTTAAAGATCAATCATGGATCATGCTGTTTCTTTTCAAAATAAACTTACTTTTCTATTGGTGCCATGGTTTCCGAGATGTTGGTTCCTATTTGAGCGAATGGAGTGCTCACCGTGTTCCGCATGAAGACCTGTAAATAAATACTTTCATTAAAGGTCAAGGTCATTTGATATTTAGAATTGGTATTGGTTGAATAAAGAATGCGGCTGAATATTATCTATTTCCCTTTTCAGGCTATACCCCCGTAGCGAATCCGGGTTAAAACTGGTCACCATATGACAATGTTTGTCTAAAGAGGCGATTTTATGGATCGGGTTTTCAGGCATGGAGCCTTCGTTTACTGCGTGTCATCGTATCCCGATGGCGTGTGACGTTGTTCAGTGTATCAGTCACTGGATTGTCTGCTGCAAATGTGAATTTTTACAAGCCGCCGTCAAGTAACTAGTATAATGCTGCATTCCGAGCAAAGCATCAAACACACAATACTTTTTACGTTCAATTATTTGTTTGTTTGTTGTTGAACGCCACACTCAGCAATATTCAAGCTATATGACGGCGGTCTGTAAATAATCGAGTCTGGACCAGACAATCCAATGATTAACATCATGAGCATCGATCCACGCAATTGGGATACGATGACATCCATCAAGCAAGGAAGTGAGCCTGACCACCCGATCCCGTTAGTGGCCTCTTACGACAAGCAAAGTCGCCATTTACGGCAAGCATGGGTTGCTGAAGACCTTGTCTACCCAGGATCTTCACGACCGATGAATAAAACACGTAAAATGTTAACCTGAAATATGCCATATAAGGAGGTGCGCTCCAACATAGATTCCACGTAATCAAGTTCCCGGATGAAAGCTTTCCAAGGGACGTAATCCAGGTCTTTGCTCAGATAGTTGACAGTTTTGAGAGCAATGGCCTGGTCCAACAGCCCAGCTCTGAAACGCAAATGTCACTATTTTTAGTTGTGTGTCCTACTGTACTTACTTGTGATGAATTGTAATAGTTTGTTTGCTTAATCAGACGGACGTTGTGATTACGTCACGCTGACATTCCGATGACGTCGCTTTCCGCCAATTACATCAGTGCGGCCATTTGTCGTCGTCATAATGTTGGCATACTTCAAGAACAATCAGAATGTGACACCAATACAAACATCTCCAACTGAGAATGCAGAAAACTGCACAAAATGTGCAGTTGTGCTGAATACTTTTTTATATCAAGTACTGCTGAGTACTAATGAGTGTCAACCAAACGAAGTGCAATATCAAATCGGCCCAGACTCAGTTTTTTTAAGGAGAGGCTATCTGAATGACCACTGCATCGAGTTTATGTGCAATGTATTGAGAAGATCAGCAACCCTGCAGAGTCCTTCTCATGTCACTTCCCACTCGAAACCGTCAATGTATGATTTTGCCACAAAATGTAAACGTGACATGTACGTTATGCAATGAATTTAATGTCCAACACATTGTTAGTGGATGTCCAGCTTTGGCACAAACACACATCTTAAGCGACATGATGGAGTGGCTCGATCATTTCATTACCGCCTTCGCCGTGTTTGTGGTTTTGACACAGAGGTCCATCCATGGTACGACCCAGAATATGAAGAGGTCGTCATGGAAGAACAAACCTCACGCTTGCATCCCAAGTACCAAGTTGTCCGACTGCCCGTTGTTCTCGGTGCCTTAGGTTTGGTACCTCCCAATCTGTTGACTGACATTGGGAGAGTACCCGGGTTTATTGTCAGGAATACAGCCCTTCTCACAATCTGGGTAATGCAGATGGTTGCAGTGTTGGGGAGTCTTCACATTCTCCGAAAAGTTCTGGGTGGGTTTGACTAGGCAGCGCTTTCTGGGAGAAGTCCCATTCGCTGTCTGGGCTGCGTGAAGAGGGGGCATGGGCCCTGAGCTGATGATGAGCCTAACCAGCCTTACTGTGCCAGGATCACCCAAACCCTCTTTGCTGCATTTTCTATTTCAATCTGTACATAATAAACATAATAAACAAAATAATGATGATGATGATGATGATGATGATGATGATGATCTATTTCAATCTGTACATAATAAACATAATAAACAAAATAATGATGATGATGATGATGATGATGATGATGATGATCTATTTCAATCTGTACATAATAAACAAAATAATGATGATGATGATGATGATGATGATGATGATGGTGATAATAATAAAAAGTGTAAAGCTCATACTCTATCCGCAGTGCATGCTCGAAGCTGCATTATTGTTACCCCGGTTAGTGGATCAAAAAACACTCGATGAGTTACAATCCAACTACTTACTTTGCAAGATTCCAGGCATCGTTGATGATCTGAGCTCTGTTGATGGGGTGAATAAGCTGCAAAGAGAATATGTTGGTGTAATGGTAATCTGTAGTTATTTGAAAGGGTTTCTGTCTCTCCCATTGACTTATTACCACCCTGTGGCTCACCGCGAATACATCAAGGGATCAAGCTACATTGTGTGACCTTGTACCCCGTGACTAAGTGACTAAGTTGACTGTGTGAACTTGTACCCCGTGACTAAGTGACTTTGCTGATTGAGTGATCTTGTACCCCGTGACTAAGTGACTTAGCTGATTGTGTGACCTTGTACCCCGTGACTAAGTGACTGAGCTGATTGTGTGACCTTGTACCCCGTGACTAAGTGACTTAGTTGATTGTGTGACCTTGTACCCCGTGACTAAGTGGCTTAGCTGATTGTGTGACCTTGTACCCCGTGACTAAGTGACTTAGTTGATTGTGTGACCTTGTACCCCGTGACTAAGTGACTGAGCTGATTGTGTGACCTTGTACCCCGTGACTAAGTGACTTAGTTGATTGTGTGACCTTGTACCCCGTGACTAAGTGGCTTAGCTGATTGTGTGACCTTGTACCCCGTGACTAAGTGACTTAGTTGATTGTGTGACCTTGTACCCCGTGACTAAGTGGCTTAGCTGATTGTGTGACCTTGTATCCCGTGACTAAGTGACTTAGCTGATTGTGTGACCTTGTACCCCGTGACTAAGTGACTTAGTTGATTGTGTGACCTTGTACCCCGTGACTAAGTGACTTAGCTGATTGTGTGACCTTGTACCCCGTGACTAAGTGACTGAGCTGAATGTGTGACCTTGTACCCCGTGACTAAGTGACTTAGCTGATTGTGTGACCTTGTACCCCGTGACTAAGTGACTTAGCTGATTGTGTGACCTTGTACCCCGTGACTAAGTGACTTAGCTGATTGTGTGACCTTGTACCCCGTGACTAAGTGACTTAGCTGATTGGGTGTTCTTTACCCCCCGTGACTAAGTGACTTAGCTGATTGTGTGTCCTTGTACCCCGTGACTAGGTGACTTAGCTGATTGTGTGCCCTTGTACCCCGTGACTAAGTGACTTAGCTGATTGTGTGTCCTTGTACCCCGTGACTAAGTGACTTAGCTGATTGGGTGTTCTTGTACCCCCCGTGACTAGGTGACTTAGCTGATTGTGTGACCTTGTACCCCCCGTGACTAGGTGACTTAGTTGATTGTGTGACTTTGTACCCCGTGACTAAGTGACTTAGCTGATTGTGTGTTCGTGTTTCTCCCATTGACTTTTTACAACCTCGTGACTTAATTGGTGTTTGTTTGTTGTCTGTTTGTTGTTTAACGCCAGCACTCAGCAATATTCTAGCTTAATGACGGCGATCTGTAAATAATCGAATCTGGACCAGACATTCCAGTGATTGACACAATGAGCATCAATCCACGTAATTGGGACCGATGACATGCATAGATCGATACGAGGCTGATCAGGGGGTCAGACTCAGTGACGTGATTGATTGTGTGTCATCATACCCCGAAAGAGTGGATCTTTGTTTGTTATATCAATCACTGGATTGTCTGGTCCAGACTCGATTATTTACAGTCATACGTCATAAAGATGGAATATTGCTGAGTCCTAGGTTAAACAACAAACAGACAACAAACAAACACAATTTGAAAGTCAGCGTTCACGTTTCATTTACACCGACCTCGTGGCTGCCGTTAGAGAGGAAGTTGATGATGTTGTTCCACGTGTTGACGTCATAGTTGACCCGGAAGTAGCCACATTCTTTAATGTTGACAATGACCCAGCCGTCAGCTGGCAAGGTCTCATTCAGGTCAACGACGACTAATCGTATCGGAGAAAAAGACACAAAAATGTTTTTGGTAACACTTAACACACGTCTTAATGTATTACATTATAATTAAATATATTTTTCTCCTTCATAGTTGTCACAACACCACACATACAATAATTTACTTTTGCATATAATATTATATAGTTTCAAATATTTGTTTCAAACAATGGTAAGCTCGTGGATAGTTCATACGATTAGAGCTGATTTCGTTAATTACATCCAAAAAAAACACTAAATAATCATGGCGACTCAATAAACATGACATATTCATGTTATTCCGGGACAAGCCGAATAACGACTCGTACCCGTCTCATGGCCATTTTTGCGACCGGTTGCCGTCTTAGCGTAGCTAAAACAATTGTCAACTCGTTGCGTAATATTTTCCCATATATTTCATATATTTCAGATGCAATTTAAAGCACACCTGGACATCGAAATTACACAGTATGATCGAACACATTTTACTGTGTCTTGGGTACATTTTCAGATGCAATTATTTCTGAAGGATTCTTTGACGAAGAACTTGAAATCATACGCGCATTCTGATTGGTTTGTCGTATTTTCGCACATAACATTCATCGATAGGGGGACGAGTCTTCTTGCAGGTTACGGAAAGGGGCGAGTGATGACGGAAAGGGGTGAGTGATGACGGTAAGGGGCGAGTGGTGACGAATGGAAATGATCGGTCCCTAAATGGCGCTCCTCTTACGTGAGTCTTCGTGGTACTTCATGTAATGCAGGTTGTGGTGGGTGTAGACTGTGTCAAACTGGGGGTCCACGCTGGAGGTGTACGTGATGGGGATCGTCCATTTGTACCTGTAAGGAAGAGCGAGTTACAGAGTGAAGATTGTTTTAAGTCGCTTATAGCAAAATTACAGCAAAAACACGACATCAGAAATGGGCTTCACATATTGTACTGATGTAGAAAATGGAACCTTTAGCTACGAGGCGACTCCTCCGCTAGTATCAAAAGAAGGGTTACACAAATCGGGGAATCGAACCCGGGTTTTCGGTTTGAGGAGCGAACGCTTTAACCACTAGACCTTCGCTGATGTTGAGATGAACACAGTGGATAAACAACTCGAGGAATCGATCCATGGCGTTTGGCTGAGGAGTAGACACTGTATGCTGTGTCGATCAGTCGTGTTTTATTCCCTCAATGTCCAGTGCCAGGCAGGGTAGCAACAAGCACCTTCTTTTAAATCTTGTATGACTCGGTCGAGAATCGAACCACCGATCTTCCGCTCTCCGGGCTGACGCTGTATCCACTACACGACACAGGCGGTCATTAAATAAGGGAAACTTATCAAAAGCAATGGCCATGAACGAGTATAATGTCACATAATAGAATAGTTACCCGTAGGTTCCTGTGTCCTGAGAGGCGTTTTCTGCTCCAGAAACAAGAAACCGCTGTTGAGTGAGAGTTATCTTCCCTGTTTCCACGGTAACGTTGACGACAGGGTAGTTCATCTGAGTGGCCCAGGGGTCCATGATTTCCGTCATGTTCAACACAACGGAATTAGCGCTCGCTTCCTGAAACACAAAACTGGTATGGTCTTTGGAAGGTCTCATTATATTTATAACTACTACTACTACTACTACTGTTTGTTGTTTAACGCCGCACTCAGCAATATTCCAACTATATGACGGCAGTTTGTAAATAATAATAATTTCGCTTATTTCAGTTATAGAGCAATCGAGTGCAGTTATTTACTGGACAAAATACTAATTTACCACTTTTTTACCTCTGTCAATGCGTCCCAAAGGTCCTGGTGCTCCGTGTTACCGTACGCATGCGTCGCTAGGTATCGCTGGGGGTGGAGTTTAGATTTTAGGTATCAAACATGAAAATATCACCCACAATCAAAACGGCGTATGGTTCGTACAAAAAATATCATCTCAGTGTATCAGTTCTACGGTTTGTTTGTTTGTTGTTTAACGCCGCACTCAGCAATATTCCAGCTATATGACGGCGATCTGTAAATAATCGAGTCTGGACCAGACAATCCAGTGATTGACATCGTGAGCATCGATCCACGCAATTGAGATACGATGACATGCATCAACCAAGTCAGCGAGCCTGACCACCTGATCCCGTTAGTCGCCTCTTACGACAAGCATATAGTCGCCTTTTACGGCGAGCATGGGTTGCTGAAGACCTCTTCTACCCCAGATCTTCACGGGTCCAGCACTATGTTAACTGAATCAATGTTAATAATGCAAACACGTCTCTATGTACAGAAGGTAGACTACATGTATATTAACGCTGACACTTGCCATGTAGATTAATTGTATTAAACAGCATTGACTCATTTGTTTTTGGGAAAGGATGTCAAATGAAAAACATACGATGAGTTAAATGTGTCAGAAGCGGGATGCGCGGGATTTCCGAGCGGATTCAGCTCATAATTCGCTTTCACCTGCTATTGAATAATGTAACGAACTTAACATTAGGTATTCACAGAGATTTATAATATTTAAGGTGAGAAATGTGTGACAATATTCGATTTACCGAGTGACTGCCAACAGTCACTGCAAATGTGAACTTTAATTAGGATGTGACAAGCAGATGGCGTCATATCAAACACTATGACGTCATGATCATCATACAAGCCGACAGACCTGTAAGGGGGTTGGACAAGACGGCGACTAGCCAAGGAGATATTCAGATTTAATTGCCAGTAACGCATGACAATTTTATTATTGTTACTAATGTTATTATTTAAGGTGCATATATGTATGTAAAAGTAGTCTTGACCTCATCCAGCGACATGATGACGTCACTTTGAAATAATTGGAACTCACATTTAATCCTTTGATGAACAGTTCCTGTCCCATCGCTAGATACATCAACCGGACAATTGCAGAACCCTGAAACAATTGTCTCACTGGAATAATACGTTTTGTATCAATGTTGGCAATCGAACCCGGTCCTTTAATTTGACGAGTGAACGCTTTAACTATTGTATATGTCTTCAGACATATATGTTTCAGCTCCAGCACTACCACACAACACCCCTGACGGTAACGAGACGGTCTACATTACACTGACATACGCCACTCTGATGTATACTAAAGCGTACGTAAAATATATATATATATCAAACCCATTTTGTAAATTACTTGAATAATACGTTTTGCATCCATGTTGGCAATCGAACCCGGTCCTTTAATTTGACGAGTGAACGCTTTAACTATTGTATATGTCTTCAGACATATATGTTTCAGCTCCAGCACTACCACACAACACCCCTGACGGTAACGAGACGGTCTACATTACACTGACATACGCCACTCTGATGTATACTGAAGCGTACGTAAAATATATATATATATCAAACCCATTTTGTAAATTACTTGAATAATACGTTTTGCATCCATGTTGGCAATCGAACCCGGTCCTTTAATTTGACGACTGAACGCTTTAACTGCTTGGCTAACCCACCACCTGTTTAAGAAGTCAGACCCCGAGTATTTACTTCATTGTTGTATGGGCCCAGTTGTTAAAGGTGTTGGTCGTCAAGTCAGAGACCAGGGTTCGAGTCCCCATATTGGTACACTGTGCGGAGAATATTTCTGGTGTTCCCGACCGTGCTGTGTAGATTATGGCTACAGCTTTCGTAAAACTAACTTAATTACTTACGAACAAGATTCATGTAGATTCGTTATGAGACCTGAACATTAAATATAATATACGTCACTTCTCTCGTTTTCAAGGCAAATATTACTTTATGCGTATTCAAGAAATACAAATAAGTCTAGTCAATAGTTTTCTTACCTTAGAATAAGTGACTGAGTCAAAAGAAGCGCTGATCTCACCAGGCGACATGACGTCAGTAGTGAGTGGGTGGGATGACCTCAAAGCGTCTGCCCCCATGACTCCGTGCATGTCCCCGGCGACAAAGAGATCCAGCTACATACGGCATATACATGTAGACATCAGGCAACGATACCCAGCTATATAGGGAATATACATGTAGACATCAGGCAAAGATACCCAGCTATATAGGGAATATACATGTAGACATCAGGCAAAGATACCCAGCTACATACGGCATATACATGTAGACATCAGGTACATATAAATATCAAGTACATCCCGCTATATAGGGAATATATACATGTAGACATCAGGCAAAGATACCCAGCTACATACGGCATATACATGTAGACATCAGGCAAAGATACCCAGCTACATACAGCATATACATGTAGACATCAGGCAAAGATACCCAGCTACATACGGCATATACATGTAAACATCAGGCAAAGATACCCAGCTACAAACGGCATATACATGTAAACATCAGGCAAAGATACCCAGCTACAAACGGCATATACATGTAGACATCAGGCAAAGATACCCAGCTACACACGGCTTATACATGTAGACACCAGACAAAGATACCCAGCTACATACGGCATATACATGTAGACATCAGGCAAAGATACCAAGCTACATACGGCATATACATGTAGACATCAGGCAAAGATACCCAGCTACAAACGGCATATACATGTAAACATCAGGCAAAGATACCCAGCTACAAACGGCATATACATGTAAACATCAGGCAAAGATACCCAGCTACAAACGGCATATACATGTAGACATCAGGCAAAGATACCAAGCTACATACGGCATATACATGTAGACATCAGGCAAAGATACCCAGCTACATACGGCATATACATGTAGACATCAGGTACATATAAATATCAAGTACATCCCGCTATATAGGGAATATATACATGTAGACATCAGGCAAAGATACCCAGCTACATACGGCATATACATGTAGACATCAGGCAAAGATACCCAGCTACATACGGCATATACATGTAGACATCAGGCAAAGATACCCAGCTACATACGGCATATACATGTAGACATCAGGTACATATAAATATCAAGTACATCCCGCTATATAGGGAATATATACATGTAGACATCAGACAACGATACCCAGCTACATAGGGAATATACATGTAGACGCCAGACAAAGATACCCAGCTTCATAGGGAATATACATATATATATCAAGGACATCCCGCTATATAGGGAATATATACATGTAGACATCAGGGAATGTACATATATATATCAAGGACATCCCGCTATATAGAGAACAAACATCTAGACATCAGAGAAAAAGGCCCTGCTACAAAGGGAATATGCATGAAGACATCAGACAAATATATCCAGCTGCAGAGGGAATATGCATGTAGACATCAGACAAATATATCCAGCTACAAAGGGAATATACATGTAGACATCAGACAAATAGATCCAGCTATATAGGGAATATACATGTAGACATCAGACAAAGATATCCAACTACATAGGGAATATACATGTAGACATCAGACAAAGAGATCCATCCACATAGGGAATAAACATGTAGACATCAGACAAAGAGATCCAACTACAAAGGGAATATACATGTAGACATCAGACAAAGAGATCCACCCACCTAGGGAATATACATGTAGACATCAGATATATCGCGTGGTTATTTATTTCTTGTTACGAGTTGTTACACATTGGTTCTGATGATCATGGACCTACCGTTCTCCACGTCGGGTTCAACTCTCCAACGATGTGATAATCCCAGAACGAGGCAAATCCTTCATTCAGCCACAGCCAGTTCCACCATTTAGGAGACACAAGGTTGCCAAACCACTGCAAAATACAAGTACTGTTAAACCAGCCAGATGAGAGAAAGTGTAGGGGTAATGTTGTACTAAACACATTATGTGCTCAGGGGTAAGTCGGGGGTGAATTGTATTGTGTGTCCCTGGCCCAGGCTGTCAGTCCTAGTTGTGGAACGACGTCACCATGGATATGTCCCCTCGGGAACTATCATCATTAGGTTTTCATGTCGATGTACATCTGACGCTATCTTGTGGCGGACGGCCACGCAAACATTGACAAAAATAGTGAGTGTGGTTTTACGCCGCTTTTAGCAATATCACGGCGGGGGACACCAGAAATGGGCTTCACACATTGTACCCATGTCGGGAATCGAACCCGGGTCTCGGCGTGACGAGCGAATGCTTTAACCACAAGGCTACCCGACCGCCCCTTGAAAACAATAGATGTGAGATAGCTAACGTGCGGTCTCCCTTCCCTGTGGGAGTATAATTTGGCCATGAGAAAGTCCAGGTTCCACCCTTGCCGAACTAGGCTTCAATTATGGACTTACATTTTGGCTGGAATAACGAGTCTATGCAAAGTCAAATCAAAATCGACATCCGGTTCGTAAACAACATGGATTTCAACTTGCAGATTTAGGTCGACTGACTGCACGATTTGCGAAAAGATGTGTTCCGTCAACCTGGCGTCGACAGATAGTTTCCAAATCTTTTCATACCTTTAATCAAAGTGCTCAGGTGATTTGATTCATCTCGCGAGGTAACCCCCGTTATATTACAATACATATCTTCATCATCGATCAGATGACTTGACTGGGCGCCGCCATTTTGTTTGAAGCACAGCAAGTGATATCAGAGAGGTGGAATCTGATTGACATAGAAGGGACATAATTTGTATAGCTACGGTCGAGCCCAGACATTCCTGTCTAGTTCGGCAAGGGTGGAAACCGAACTTTTACAGCCAGTTAACGCCCTTGCCTCGCGAAGATGTGCCACATTATGACCTTTACAAACCCCCTCCCTACTCACTAGCACCTACTCATGGATCGCGTGGTCAGGTTTGGGGACTTGGGTGGCAGCGTGACATTGCGGCATAATGACGTTGACAGGAAACAAAGCATTGCTTTAGCCCTACTTACCATGTGAGCCACTTCGTGAGAGACAACGACGCCTATCCAGTCTTCATCGGAGGCCGAGGAGACGCCGGGTTCATACAGCAGGGTCTCCCTGTAGGTGATAAGACCCCAGTTCTCCATGGCGCCAGCGTTAAAGTCTGGGATCGCGATGTTGTCTGAAATGCAGCAGTCGTGGTAGATGTAGCTGTCGAAGGAGATGTTGACGATTGTGTCGTTGATGTCCGGGAGTCATACTTTTCGCAATAAAAAGCGGTGTATGTTATTATGGTTTTGTTTGTTGGTTAACGCCGCACTCAGCAATATACCAGCAATATGACGGCGGTCTGAAAATAATCAAGTCTGGACCAGACTATCCAGGGATTGACAATAAGAGCATCTATCCACGCAATTGGGATACGATGACATGTATCAACAGTCAGCGAGCCTGACCACTCGATCACGTTAGTCGCTTCTTGGGCAAGCAATGTCGCCTCTTACGACAAGCATGTGTAGCTGAAGACCTATTCTACCCCGGATCTTCACAGATCTCGCCTCTTTTGACAAGCATGGGTAGCTGAAGACCTATTCTTCCCCGAATCTTCACAGATCTCGCCTCTTTTGACAAGCATGGGTAGCTGAAGACCTATTCTACCCCGGATCTTCACAGATCTCGCCTCTTTTGACAAGCATGGGTAGCTGAAGACCTATTCTACCCCGGATCTTGGCGGGTGTGGTGATTATGGTGACCGGAGGTTGTGGTGTGCATGCATTTACAATTCGGGTGATGGGCTCTCACTTGTCCTTTGATCTGTTGAATTACGCCGCACTCAGAAATATAAAACAGCGTTGTGGCGGCGGCTAGTAAACTCATCGACGAGTGATTGATATTATGAGCAACAAGCTCCGCAGTCTTGGTATGACAACACCAAGTCACTGAACGTGATGTCAACGTATTTTCTGTTTAACGCTTCACTCAACAATGTTCGAGTCATAGGACGACGTCAAGGCCGAACCAGACAAACCAGTGATTAATATTATGAGTACAGAGCCACGCTGTCGGGGTACGATGAGCCTTGCCCGGCCACCAACACATTATGCAGTTCCTGTATTGCACAATGAACGATTTGTGTGGTGGAATGACGTCACATACCTAGTTTGTCATACACGTAGGGAGGGGTAAAGTACTCTGCATATCTGTTGAAGATCCGGACACCATGCTCCTGTGCTGTGGCGGTGAACTCAAGTCTCTGAGGCATGGCCCACGTCCGGTACTGTGTAGTGAACGATGTATCAAGTAAGTAGGTGTGTTTCAACATTAGGGAGCTTGTGTTAAGGTGACAAGAAATGTTGAGCTTGTTTTAAGGTGACAAGAAATGTTGAGCTTGCATTAAGGTGACAAGAAATGTTGAGCTTCTATTAAGGTGACAAAATGGTTTACGCTTGTATTGAGGTGACAAGAAATGTTGAGCTTGTTTTAAGGTGACAAGAAGGTTTACGCTTGTATTAAGGTGACAAGAAGTTTTGAGCTTGTATTAAAGTGACAAGTAGGTTTACGCTTGTATTAAGGTGACAAGAAGTTTTGAGCTTGTATTAAGGTGACAAGTAGGTATGCTTGTATTAAGGTGACAAGAAATGTTGAGCTTGTATTAAGGTGACAAGAAATGTTGAGCTTGTATTAAGGTGACAAGAAATGTTGAGCTTGTATTAAGGTGACAAGAAATGTTGAGCTTGTATTAAGGTGACAAGAAATGTTGAGCTTGCATTAAGGTGACAAGAAATGTTGAGCTTGTATTAAGGTGACAAGAAGTTTTGAGCTTGTATTAAGGTGACAAGAAATGTTGAGCTTGTATTAAGGTGACAAGTAGGATTACGCTTGTATTGAGGTGACAAGAAATGTTGAGCTTGTATTAAGGTGACAAGAAATGTTGAGCTTGTATTAAGGTGACAAGAAGTTTTGAGCTTGCATTAAGGTGACAAGTAGGTTCACGCTTGTATTGAGGTGACAAGAAATGTTGAGCTTGTATTGAGGTGACAAGAAATGTTGAGCTTGTTTTAAGGTGACAAGAAGTTTTGAGCTTGTATTAAGGTGACAAGAAATGTTGAGCTTGTATTTAGGTGACAAGAAATGTTGAGCTTGTATTAAGGTGACAAGAAATGTTGAGCTTGTATTAAGGTGACAAGAAATGCTGAGCTTGTATTGAGGTGACAAGAAATGTTGAGCTTGTTTTAAGGTGACAAGAAATGTTGAGCTTGTATTAAGGTGACAAGAAATGTTGAGCTTGTATTTAGGTGACAAGAAATGTTGAGCTTGTATTAAGGTGACAAGAAATGATGAGCTTGCATTAAGGTGACAAGAAATGCTGAGCTTGTATTTAGGTGACCAGAAATGTTTAGCTTGTATTAAGGTGACAAGAAGGTCTACGCTTGTATTAAGGTGACAAGAAGTTTTGAGCTTGTATTAAGGTGACAAGTAGGTTTACGCTTGTATTAAGGTGACAAGAAGTTTTGAGCTTGTATTAAGGTGACAAGTAGGTTTACGCTTGTATTAAGGTGACAAGAAATGTTGAGCTTGTATTAAGGTGACAAGAAATGTTGAGCTTGTATTAAGGTGACAAGAAATGTTGAGCTTGTATTAAGGTGACAAGAAATGTTGAGCTTGTATTAAGGTGACAAGAAATGTTGAGCTTGTATTAAGGTGACAAGAAATGTTGAGCTTGTATTAAGGTGACAAGAAATGTTGAGCTTGTATTAAGGTGACAAGATGTTTGAGCTTGTATTAAGGTGACAAGAAATGTTGAGCTTGTATTAAGGTGACAAGTAGGATTACGCTTGTATTGAGGTGACAAGAAATGTTGAGCTTGTATTAAGGTGACAAGAAATGTTGAGCTTGTATTAAGGTGACAAGAAGTTTTGAGCTTGCATTAAGGTGACAAGTAGGTTTACGCTTGTATTGAGGTGACAAGAAGGTCTACGCTTGTATTAAGGTGACAAGAAGTTTTGAGCTTGCATTAAGGTGACAAGTAGGTTTACGCTTGTATTGAGGTGACAAGAAATGTTGAGCTTGTATTTAGGTGACAAGAAATGTTGAGCTTGTATTAAGGTGACAAGAAATGTTGAGCTTGTATTAAGGTGACAAGAAATGTTGAGCTTGTATTTAGGTGACAAGAAATGCTGAGCTTGTATTTAGGTGACAAGAAATGTTGAGCTTGTATTAAGGTGACAAGAAATGCTGAGCTTGTATTTAGGTGACAAGAAATGTTGAGCTTGTATTAAGGTGACAAGAAGTTTTGAGCTTGTATTAAGGTGACAAGTATTTTTGTCGTCCACATACTTACAGTGACATTACTGGCCAGAGTCTCCACATACTCGTAATCACACACTATAAATGCCAGAAGGTATGTTGGCATGGTAACAGTTCTCTCGTAGATGTGTTTCACCATTCCAGGAACCCTAGACGAACAGACACAAAAAGAGATGTTCAAAAGAAAGTATAATATATGTTTATCTATATATTCACTGTTTACATATTCAATCTTACATTTTACCCCACACGTGTTCGATAGTGGAAACCATTTGGTGTGTAACTATGTTAGAATATAGGTCACACCGCTACAGTGACACTTTCCTACCCAGAGTTCCCCGTGGTCGATTTTAAGAATAGTCACACGTGCTTCAATGAGAAGTCGAATCTAGATAAACATAAATGTATGAAATGAAATTGTTCGCTTTCTGGCACAGAAGGTGAAAAGTATTTCCATTTGCGTGTTAATCTTAAATATTCAGTGGCTGCACTCTTCTACGTCCAGACATCGAGTTCTTCTGGATGGCTGACGATACAATCACTCTGATGTCTGTAGATATATTCCGACATTGCTCGTTTTCAGATTGTAGAAGGGCGTCATTATAATTATGACAGATAATCTGTAAATCACGCTGAAAGACGTCCTCCTCTGGTTTCAGTATCAGCGCGCCCGATCACGTGATGCACAAATTAGCTTGTGGCAGTGATCACTGTTTATTTGTTGGTTTATTGTTTAACGACCATCACGTTAATATTCCAGCCAAATGACGGCGGTCTGTAAATGATCGAGTCTGAACCATTAATCCAGTGATTGATATCATGAGCATTGATCCACGCAATTGAGATACGATGCCATGCATCAACCAAGTCAGCGATCCTGACCACCAGATCCTGTTAGTCGCCTCTTACAGCAAGCATTGGTTGCGGAAGACCTGTTCTACCCCGGATCTTAAAGGGTTCAGTACTACTGGTGACTGTGGTGTGGTAACTGTAGGTCAAATATATATGACGTCACACATGGTTTCATGACTTTCCACAGTGACATAAAATATGACAATTATATTACGTAGCATTTCCAAATCACAATACCATACCACAAGCTGGGTTCCGTCTGTGTATGTCACAGTTCACTTGACGACGTACAGAGGAGAGGGCAGGGTACCATTTAACAACATAAGGCCAAATCCATGTCACATCGTCATGTGATTATATTAATGGTATCACGTGACTTATCACGTTAAACCTGAGGGAACGTTATGTTTCAAACAAACAAATTATTTTTTTAAAGAAAAAACAGCAGTAAATGGCCTACAGCCTTCCTACCCTGTGAGTTCGGTAGTTTTGAGCTTGTTGTTGGAGAGGGAAGTATAGTTCCTCCCTGTATCGTCCTTCACAACCAGGGCAATGTCAAACTCAGCTTTCAGACCTGGCTCGTCGAAACACGGGAACGCCTTCCTTGCGTTGGGCGCTTGGAACTGGGTTGTTGCTAGGTAACTGCAAGGAAACAGTATCTGCAATTATCTAAACGCTTATAAAAAGAAATAAAATGCAATCTATGATGTTAAACCAGTGCTACTTTTCTCTAGACAAAGTGTTCGCTCCTCTCGCCGAAGGTCCGGGTTCGATTCCCGACATGGGTACAATGTGTGAAGCCCATTTCGTGTGTCCCCCGCCGTGATATTGCTGGGATATTCTAGAAGGGGCGTAAAATCAAACTCACTCACTCACAAGGCCGTGCAGGAATCGCTGGTCGTTGGTTCGAATCCCATATTAGCGTCGACAACAATGACTGGTGGTTAATTTAATGTCCTTACCTTAGTGAGTGGAGCTTTCCTTCTATACCAAAGGACAAAGACACAACCCGCTGTGCGCCTGTTAGGCGAGTCATAAACCGCGGGGTCGAATCGGAGATTTGCTCTGATTATGTTTCTAGCTTTGTCAGCACTTTTCCCATGGCCGAGGGTTATATCAAGGCGTTAAACCCAACTCACTCACTCACTTAACGACAGGCCGAATTGCTGTTGCGAACGTGTATACAAAGGGTCGTTACACTACACACATGAATCGTCATAATGAATATTTGTTAAATTCGGACGATTTTGGTTTATACGGATCAACGAGGTTAACGTTTATGAAAACAGTATGTTTAAAACAATTTTAATGTTTCTGCGACATATTTCCTTTCAAACAGAATATTCTCACACTTTACAGAAATTGGAGTTGTTCGCTGTTTCGAAATCATAGCGACAGATTCGTTAAAACAGAAATAAAGGATGTGGTATTTTATTTTAATGTCTCACAATCTATAGCTCACATTTTGTTATTGTTGTCTTCGTAGAAGCTCAGATAAAGCCCAGTTCCATCTTGTGTCAGAGGGCCCGTGAAGGTCATGCTGATCCTGTAGTGATGACCAACCTCCATGGCTTCAGCAAGATGTAGAGTAACGAAGTGCCTCAGTTCCTCGTACGCCACGTCCACGGCGATCCCTGCAGTTGTGTTGACGTTGAGTACCATCACAGAGGCTGTGTCTATCATCAGCGTCGGGTGGGCATGGAGGACGATGGAGTTGGAGGCAGACTGGGCTACTGTGTGTATGGCTACCGACCCGTTGAAGTCAAACAAAGAGTCATTTGTACCATAGATGTTGGGCTGGAGCTCCACTGAGTAGAGATATGGTAGAACGGTGTTTGGAAGACGGTAGTTGCTTGGTGCCGTGGTGGGTGTTGGCGTGGACGTTGACACGAAAGATGTTGATGCGGTGGTGTTGCTGGGGCTCTCAGAGCAGGCAGCACCTGCGAATTTACAGCAGTATAAAAAGATTGCTAGTAATTCCATGGCTACCTAGCAACTATTTTATAAAAATCATTAAGCCACGCCCACTAAGGACGATTGTTTCCTGATTGGCTGATAATAGAATGGATGGAGCTTGTATTGTATTATTGCGCTGGATGATATGACTGGTGTCGTTGTCTAAAGCTGTTTGTGTTAATGATAAAAAAAGAAGTCTGCTAAGTTATTATTGTTTACGTATCTTTTTAAAAGAACTGACTTCAATATATTTTTGGCATTTATGGACGCATAAATGGGAACACAAATGTGCACTCTTTACGTAAAACAGCACGCCTGTCTTTCGTTAATACCTCCATTGACACAAAGCAATATTGAAGGCAATTCTTGAATCAATACAAGTTGTCAGGACAGACCCTCACGTCGCTGCTTCGCCACCCGGCTCCACCCTGTCCAATAGGACCTCGGACACGTCTAGCAGGAATCCAAATTAGAACAAGTTTCTTGCACATTACTATCACATGACACAACGCAAACTGGCAGCAGTCTTTACATAACTAATATTTCAGTTTCCGTTACAAATCATTTCCGTTTGCTGTTGTCTTTAAATAAAAGCATGTACTAAATGTACGTAAAGCACGGAATAACCTGTCTTCCAACACGGCCGCCATGTTTTTATATGCGGCGGGATCTGTCATTTGTGAAACGGACGTGTAAGGAGCTTAAAGAAAACGAAGACTGGTTATTGCTAATTGGTGCGTCACATGTACGACGAAATTGGCGTCGTTGCAATCGTCTTATAATTAGCGGTACGATCGCTTTGTTAAATTGGGTCCTTATCCTTAATACAAATCGATATTTTAATTACGCGAACACAAGCAGTTTTGATCTTGCATTTTCACAGCTGATTTGAGTGAGTATTGATTTTCGCGAATTTTGGCAATATTTCAGCGTTACCATTGCGGGGGACGCCAGAAATAGGTTTCACTTAGTGAGTGAGTGAGTTTGATATTACGCTGCTTTTAGCAATATTCAAGCAATATCACGGCCCACCAGAAATGGGCTTCACATAATGTACCCAAGTCGGGAATCGAACCCGGGTCTTCGACGTGACGAGCGAACGCTTTAACCACTAGGCTACCCTACCACCCCAGCTTCGCATAGCGTACTCGTGTGGGGAATAGTATTTCAGTTCAGGCGTGTCAGGTCAACGAACACAGATACGGTGCTGACAGAAGAAAGGCCCTTAATTACCGTTTCCTCCCCCGTCCTACTTTTTCCCCTACCTACTTATTATTTTCAGGAAATAAAACAATGGAAAAGGAATATAATATTTTCAATTTCTTGACCTATCGACCACCCCCCCCCCCCCCCCAAGACTTGCCTCAGCTTGCAAACAAGAGGTTTTGCTAGTTTTCTGTGTCAAGGAGTCTCACTGACAAAGATAGGGTATGTCGCTGCGCCCATTCTCCACTCGGTCAAATCAAACATTTATTGCCCTTTTATTGCCTTTTGTTTCGATGTCGGTGGTCACCATATATTTATTTCTATGTGCATTGAAGACATATATATTACATCGAGGAACACGATCCCTTAGATTTATGGCATCATCTCTCAAACATTGCCGGATTGAGAACTGTGTCAAAGTCTAGACTCTCGTTATACTCAAGTGTTGATTTTTTAGAAAACGTAGTTATTCTAGAAAAGAACAGATTCTCTTCGTGATTTTAACCATGTGCAGTCGTCTATCTTTTTGTGATTGCAAACAGATATGCAGAAAACCATTTAGCTGCCACCAGTCACAGCTCCTCACAGCGATAGCCCATTCGCGAAGCCCTCTGTATGCTTTTGCTGCCACCAGTCACAGCTCCTCACAGCGATAGCCCATTCGCGAAGCCCTCTGTATGCTATTGCTGCCATCAGCCACAGCTCCTCACAGCGATAGCCCATTCGCGAAGCCCTCTATATGCTAGTGCTGCCACCAGTCACAGCTCCTCACAGCGATAGCCCATTCGCGAAGCCCTCTGTATGCTTTTGCTGCCACCAGTCACAGCTCCTCACAGCGATAGCCCATTCGCGAAGCCCTCTGTATGCTTTTGCTGCCACCAGTCACAGCTCCTCACAGCGATAGCCCATTCGCGAAGCCCTCTGTATGCTATTGCTGCAATCAGCCACAGCTCCTCACAGCGATAGCCCATTCGCGAAGCCCTCTGTATGCTATTGCTGCCACAATCCTCACATCCTACTGACACCGAATACTCTTCCCCAAGCTAAACTGTTTTGTTTGTCAGTTTGAATTTCTATCATGTGTCGTAGTCAGTTCCCAATTTACTGTTATGACATTCCCGCTAAACAATTATCAGTACAATTTTCGTTGAAACCACAGATAAACTTCGTGTCGAGGTGAAATGTAGTTTAACGTCGCGTTCAAGATTATTGCACTTATATAGCGACGTGCATGCACGTGTGTGTGTGTCTGCTTGTGCTAGTCCGGACAAATGCCGGTTTCATAGTGCTAGCCAACTGAGATACCATGCCACAGTTAAGCATGACATCCTATTTAGACAGAGTACACTAACTTTCTTCCCGGTCAGTCTTGAGTAACAAGTACATGTATCATGTTTCAACGTCTTCTGGTCTGGCGAACCGCGGACCTTCTGGGCTCTGGTCAACTCACTACACCACGGAGGCGGTTACCTTGGATACGGAGTTGTAATACTTACAGATCTCATCCCCTTCGCCATCTTGGATGATGTCAATGCACATGGCTCTTAACGCCTCTGGACTGGGGGTGACGGGGGCCGGGGTCATCCCCACCCCGCCACACTGACACACAACGTCCCGTGACCCTGCAAAAAATACAATTATCCCAACTCCAACAGAAATCGCCAGGGACAGCAGGATTAAGATGAATCCAGTTACTATGGAGACACGGCATCCTTTGCTGCCCCCGTCACCTCCATCAAAAGTAGGGAACGTATCTCCGTTCATGCTGTACTTCGGGCTCATGGCGAACTGGGGCGCTATTCCGTCCTCTCCGTGCCAAGCCTCACCTGGACTGATTCCGGGTTATATGAGATACTTTAGCTGTTGTAAATATCTGGAAGCATCAATAGTTGCTTAGCACTAAATGTGTCACAGGCAAGTGGGGTTAAAGTGGTTCCAACTATTTTATCACGATGAGCGTGAAGGTATATATGTGTACACTGAGACGTATTTAAAATGATCTATTAATTTGTCATGAAATACTTTGGTGAGGTGAGGTTAAGCTTGGTTTAAGTCCCGTCCAAGATTATTGCACCAATATAGTGACCCCGGACCTTCCGCTCGTCTGAAATAGGACAGGTAAGCAAAGGAAACTACACCTCTCAGTTGAAATTGTCATATGTTTAGTTTCAATTGAGAATACCTTCAGTTAGTGATGTTATATCCCCAAACATGAACTGAACTTGCACTGAGTCACACTCGAAGGATACTTCAATATAGTTTTTTGAAATGAAAAATAATTTGATGTGAAACTTTTAAAAATTAAAACAAAATCGCTTAATACACAACTGCCGACTTGTATCTCCGACATCCAACCTTTGCAAACAAATAAATTTGCTTTTTCGGCACAAAAGTAAAATATTTCATTGAACCAGTATACTTTTACCCAGCCACAGATTACATTTTACAAACTGCTGCAGGAATGGGTGATGGTTAAATGGACATAATCAAATTTAACAACGATTCTGTCAATTTTCAATTACATAAAACACAAACTTGGTACACCTTATTTTGTCCCTCAGTATATATTTATCTGAAACATATTATATGGAGAGAGAAGAAACGCGATTAATAACCCCAGACTGTTAGGTTTTTAGTCTAAAATTATGAGAAAATACATAATTCATACTGCTGAAAACAAGTTAAAGAACATCAAAAAATGGATGTCTGTTTATTGCAATGCCCATCATATTAACTATAATCATACAAACAATCGGGTGCTCTTTAACCTTTTTCGAGTGGTATACATAACAAACTAACAGGTTTATCTCACATCTGAACCTGAAAAAGTGACAATTTCAATTGTGGATGAAAAACATGAAAGCATCGATTTATTTACGACGAGTTTCTGATGAGATACTTGTTTTTCTGAACAAATCAATCTCACACGAGTAAAATAACATCACAGTCAAACACCCTTGTGTCAAAGTTTGATGTGTCGAACTTACGTATTGCTTCATTTTTTTATCATTTTTCGTTTGTGTCGAACCTCGAATAACTCGAAGTTTGTACGACGGTCCCTTCAACTTCGACACAGCGGTGTTTGACTGTACATTTAATCCACCTCAATCACACTATGGTTTTTCAGAGTAATGAAGATCACTGACACTAAACAATTCTCTTCAATCAGAGACAACATTCCTCCTGTCTTTTCATTTCTTATTTTCTTGGCATATCTGTGTTGCTTTTGTTTCAGACTCCGCTGCCCCACGACAGCAAACCATCCTTGTCGTAGGAGGCGACTAACGGGATCGGGTCCTTAAGCAACCCATCCTTGTCGTAGGAGGCGACTCACGCGATCGGGTGGTCAGGCTCGCTGTCTTGGTTGATGCATGTCATCGTATCCAAATTGCGTGGATCGATGCGAGTGATGTCAATCACTGTATCGTCTGGTCCAGACTAGATTAGTGACAGACAGCCGTCAAATAGCTGGACTATTGCTGAGTGCGACGTCGAAGAACAAGCAAACAAAAAACACAAAGTTGCACCCATTTTTAACCCAAAACCTTGACAGTGATAATAATCTAATTCCTTAAATACAGATTGAAAACCCTCAAGACAGCCCTCGGAACCGTTTATATTCTGTTGTTGCAGGAATTGTGATTTCAACCTTTGTAGTGTAGAATGTGGTTCAGCCAGGTGTGGACATCCCTACATTTGGTTTTCATGTTTACTGCTCAAGGATATTTTAAATAATGTTTCGTTATTACTGTAGACAATTACATTTAATGTGGCGCCATTGCGACAGCCTGTTCGGCGGTGGGGTAGGTGGAGCGTTGGGGTAGCCCAGTGGTTAAAGCGTTCGCTTGTCGCGCCGAAGGCCCAGGATCGATTCCCCAAATGGGTACAATGTGTGAAGCCCATTTCTGGTGTACCCCGCCGTGATATTGCTGGCATATCTCTAGAAGGGGTGTAAATCATACTCACTCACTCGTTGAAGTCGTATGCAGACAGGTATGAAGTTTGTAGGAGACAACCTCAATCTTTCCTCTTGATATTCCTTGCCCCTGAACCTATATTTGGTAAACTTAGCCATGATGAGTGAGTGACTGAGTGAGTGAGTGAGTGAGTGAGTGAATATGTAGCGTTTAATGAATGCAATGTATATACCTTTATTCTTCCATGAGTTGCACATATCGTTTAGGTGGGTTATCAGTTTTTGAACAGTTCTTTGTCCTCATTAGACAAAGAAACAGGAGGCTGACAGGATTGGATACTGCAGACAAGATGCGGATCTGCCTCGGATTTGTACACTGATAACCACGGGACCAATGCTGATGATATACATTCACAGCATGTCTCGATTCGCCCAAGTCCCTCATTGGCACAGGACGTGTGTCAGAAGATTGACATGGCGTGGACTACAGAGAAAGCACTTTCTCTGAACAATAGGGCGTAACATTTTACGTTTGCTGTATTGATGTAAACATTTTAAGGAAGCACATATATTATATTCTAACACGGAATATGACTCAGGAAAAGTCTACGTATTTAGCAACCGTGCTTTCGGCACATGCATTTTAGCAAATTACCCTGACACCATATTGTCACCAGATGAGGAAGAGAGTATATCGACATGAAACCTCAAACGGCAGGAAAGAGGGGGAAATGTTTACAAGAACTTGTTGCCCACTCACCGCCTTTTGTGAAAGTCCCCAAAATATTACATACCGCAACGCATTCCCAGAATAGTAAAATTACCCTGTTTCTTGCGAAGTGCAAGTCAACATATAACCTTCCCTGGAAATCTTAACATAATGCTGTAGCTGAAGGCTGAACTTGAAACATAATAACGACTTATGTGGTTTGGGAAACACATGGTCAGCGCTTCGTCCCATGCCTCCAGCTACCTTAATAAGAAGGATGTACATACTTTCGGTATCATGAAATCTATTCCGGTTGGTGAAAATACATTCATTTACAATGCGACTTTAACACAAAAAGTCCCATGCTTCCAGTTACCTTAATAAGAAGGTTAATACGCACTTCCGGTTCAATGAAAACACATTTTACATGCAGCGCGACTTTAACATGGGTAGTACCAAGCCTCTAATAGCATTCAGAAGAAAATTATACGCACTTCCGGGCAAATGTCTAATTTTCCGGTTAAGGAAAATATTGCAGTGAACATTCAAATAGAAACTTAACTGCCTTAGTTTAATATGATTTTTTTAACTCTTCCGGTTGGGGAATAGGTCCCAAGCCTATGTTTGTTGTAAGAGCGACTACACGAGTCGACCAGCTTTGGTTGCGTGTCACAGTACCCCAACGTCGCTGCTTATAATATCCATCATTGGTTTGTCTGGTCCAGATTCGATTATTTCGAAGTCGCCGCATATAACTTGAATGTTACTGGGTGCGGCGTCATACAACAAACAAACAATGTGCTTAAGTCAACAATCCTAGCACAACCTTAACTTGGCTCACCCACAGAACGACAGGTCTCCCAACATAATGTAGTAGACTGTGTTGACAGTTAATATCGTCACGCCCAGTTTTAGTCAATAATGATCGCTAAGGCGTTTCGCGTTCAATATAACTATATATCCAAATATACATGTCCAAAGAAATGTATATACGGCTAATTGTGTATTATCATACTCTCTCTCTCTCTCTCTCTCTCTCTCTCTCTCTCTCTCTCTCTCTCTCTCTCTCTCTCTCTCTCTCTCTCTCTCTCTCTCTCTCTCTCTCTCTCTCTCTCTCTCTCTCTCTCTCTCTCTCTCATATCATGACAGAGGCTCTGGCTATGGTGTTCGTAGTCCTATATGTGCCGAGTGCAGCGTTAAACTCAAAATAAACAAACAAACATAAATTAAACAGTTCTGGTGTGATGTTTAATGACAAGAATGCTTACATTGGTAAATCGTTTTAACTATTCCAATAACATAAGACAACACATAAGATCATGGAAAGGACCTCCAACACTGTCCCCATGTACAACCTCGCGCCTGGTTATAAGGGAATGCTTTAGCCACCAGGTTACGCTTGGACTAAAACATAAATAAAAATAGGTTTACTCAGTGGGTGAGTGTGGGAGTTGGGTTTAACGCCGCTTTGAACAGTATTCCAGTTATATCGCGGCGTGTCAGCTTAATGTTGGAGGAAAGCCCGAAGTGACGCAGGTCTCAGACGTCTACTACTTTGGCGAAGCCCACGAGCGCGGGGAAGGTGGTGACAAACCTAGAAACATAATCGGGGATAAATGGGATTCAAACCCACAATCAAGGGACGCAACTCTACATAGTGAATTGCAGCGCCTTAGACGACTGGGCCACCCGTGCCCCCTTTACTCAGTGAACTAAACACATGATCATACTGACAGATTCCTCAAAGATTCGAACCTTCACTTCACTTACCTTTCGTACAGCTTTAAAGTCAATCAAATATATATCCCCCTTCCCACTGTGTGTGTAGACTGCTCGCGTCTCCTCATAGAACAGAAGGCTGATCATAGGGGAGACCAAAATCATAATTTTAGTCTTCTTGTTCGAAACCAAAGACAATTTATACAAAGATGTATGTGTTAGAAACGTGTAGGTAACGGTATAATACAGGCTCTCCTCGGCTGGGTCGAAGGTTAATCCGTGACTCGGGCCGATATATTTCAGTACAGTTTGTAAATTCCGTCCTTCATAATCAGAAGACTTTATCATCAGCCCGACCGTGAAGAAGAAGCGTCTTTGGGAGGAATTAATAACCAAGGAGGTCATTTTGTATCCCTCCAGGATTGATTTGACTTGCTTACCTTCAACAGAAACACGGGCCACGGAGTAATTTGCATTTTGTTGTCGAATTATAAACAATAGTTGTCGGTCCTGATCTAACGCCATGGATCGTATGCCGGGCAGGTGGAGGTGAAGCATGATTGTGTATTCGTCTATTAAGCGGGACAGGAGTGCCGTGTGTGTGGATACTAGCAGCATCCTCAGTGACGACACGTACACCATGTCCCTGACGGCGATGCTGAAACCATGGTCCTTGGTCGTTGTGAAGTCGTTGAGGTGAAGCTGGTAGAGGTTACCATCGGTGGAATTGCCGTCGAGAACAGGTGCGATCAGAACACGTGACATCCGGGCAGCATGGCCAGGGCGTGCATGTTCAGATGCTGAAAGAGGATTAACATTTGTGTCAAGGCCAGATTCCCTGAATCCCGATTACCATGATACCTTTCACCCGCAGTCCCATTGCTCAGCCCTGAATCCCGAATACCATGTAAACTTTCATCCGCAGTCTCATTGCTCAGCCCTGAATCCCGCATACCATAACTTTCACTCGCAGTCTCATTCCTCAGCCCTGAATCTCGCATACCATGTAAACTTTCACTCGCAGTCCCATTGCTCAGCTCTGAGTCCCGAATACCATGTAAACTTTCACTCGCAGTCCCATTGCTCAGCCCTGAATCTCGCATACCATGTAAACTTTCACTCGCAGTCCCATTCCTCAGCCCTGAATCTCGCATACCATGTAAACTTTCACTCGCAGTCCCATTCCTCAGCCCTGAATCTCGCATACCATGTAAACTTTCACTAACAGTCTCATTGCTCAGCCCTGAATCCCGAATACCATGATAACTTTCACTCGCAGTCTCATTGCTCAGCTCTGAATCCCGAATATCATAACAACTTTCACTCGCAGTCTCATTGCTCAGCTCTGAATCCCGAATACCATAACAACTTTCACCCGCAGTCTCATTGCTCAGCTCTGAATCCCGAATACCATGAAAACTTTCACTCGCAGTCTCATTGCTCAGCCCTGAATCCCGAATACCATGTAAACTTTCACTCGCAGTCTCATTGCTCAGCCCTGAATCCCGAATACCATGTAAACTTTCATTCGCAGTCTCATTGCTCAGCCCTGAATCCCGAATAACATGTAAACTTTCACTCGCAGTCTCATTGCTCAGCCCTGAATCCCGAATACCATGTAAACTTTCACTCGCAGTCTCATTGCTAAGCCCTGAATCCCGAATACCATGTATACTTTCACTCGCAGTCTCATCGCTCAGCCCTGAATCCCAAATACCATGAAAATTGTCACTAGGATGTTCTTTGTTTATCCGGAATGCAATGTACATTTTCACTCGGTTTTTCACTCGGTTTTTCACTCGGTTTTTCACTGTTTATCCGGAATGCCATGTACATTTTCACTCGGTTTTTCACTGTTTATCCAGAATGCAATGTACATTTTCACTCGGTTTTTCATTGTTTTATTCTAAATACCATGTAAATTTTCACTCGGTTTTTCAGTGTTTATCCTGAATACCATGTAAGTTTTCAGTCGTATTTTCAGTGTTTATTCTGAATACCACGCATTTTTCCACTCGTGAGTCTCATTGCTCACCCTTGGATTCCCAGTACTACGTCACACACATCGCAAAGGAACTGAGCAAAGGAGGCGATTGGAAGCTAATTAACTGAATAATATCGAGAACATCTAATACTCAATACATTTTACATAAACTATTATTTTTTATTTTATTTAAATGTTGAATGCGCATATCACATACGATTATATTGTCGTCCGGCTACCAGAATGCTGAGTCACCACTACCCCCTAAATAGACCCCAAATCCCACGGAACAAAAGGGGCTCGACAGCTTCTTTTGTTTGTTGTTTAACGCCGCATGAAGCACTATTCCAGCTATATGACGGTGGTCTGAAAATAATTGAGTCTGGGCCAGACAATCCAGTGATAAGCACTAAACATCCAGTCTTCGATACACTCACCAACCGCCTCCAGGGTCTTGTCGATAGAGCGTCTGTCCGGAGATTGGGCGGTCGGTGGTTCGATCCCCGGTCAAACTATAAGACGTTAAAAGATGGTACTTGTTTTTACCCTGCCTGGCGCTCGGCATTAAGGGTCTAAAACACTGGTCGGCTCCGAGTCTGTGTCTGAGTGAGATAACCATGATAAACTACCGCATGGTATCTCAGTGGCTAGCCACACATACAAACATACACACACGCACACACAAACACGCACACACACATGCACAGACGTGCATACAAGCCTGTATATAAGGTCAACAATGTTTAACGCGACGTGACACCCCATTTCACCTCACCGATCTACTCACATTTCGCACATTGAAGGATCCGGGAAGCCTTGTCTAGCACCAGGGAGAACGTTGCACATGAGTTATGCATGATCTCGGACCACTTGCCCTGTGAATGTACAGGTGCGTGGATTGTCAGTGCGTACCTATATATGCCACGTGTAACAAATGTTATATTTGGGATAACACTTTCTTAGTAAAGTACAGATTCTCGTACTTTTTGGTCCCGTCCCGTCCAGGATTCGAACCCACACTGCCAGAGTGTGGCACCAAAAGGCACTCAACGTACGTGATCTACACTACCAGTCACTTTGTGGAAGCCTCGTTGGCTGAGAGGGTTAGATCGCTGACTCTGTGTGCTGGAGATTAGGTGCCTCACTCTGGCAGTGTTGGTTCGAATCCCGGACGGAACTCAACCCAAAAAAGTACGAGAATCTGTACATTACTAAGAAAGTGTTGTCCAAAATATAACATTTGTAAAATTCGACCACTTTCTAAATGTCAGTGTGTATTTATAGGCCACATGTTGATTCAGTGGTGATGTCACGTGATTGGTGACGTCAGTGGGTCAGGACACGCCTACCTTTTGGCGAACATCTGTATCTGTACTATTTGTTATTGTTATTTCTATTAAGAATCTTGCCATTCCATTGGTTAATCCGTATCACGTGACCAAACAAAAATCATGTGCCTGACACTGACGTCGAATACTGACTCGTCACATGATCAGTATTGACCTGTCTCGTGATGAATATTGACTCGTCTGCAAGAAAACAAGATGGCGTCTGGCACTAACAAATTACAATCAAGGTTCGCAGCTTAGTAAATGTCAGGAAACAGAGGACGGTTTCAAGACTTCGTAAACTTTAAAGGGAATAACTGTACAACATACGGAATGATTACTCTTCACGAGGTAATTACTGGTAGGCGAAAAGAACGACCGGAGGACCCGACACGTCCAAGTTTTCGCATATTGACCTCGTCAAATGTAATTATTTGTATTGTGATTCATAAACACATGTCATGATATAGTCAAGTATGTTTTTATATGGAGGCCACTGACCCATGCACAGAGAATGTACATATATACATATTACACTGGTACATGAAATAATACTTAACCTATATTACGTCATAGTTTTCCTGTATTTGCAAAACTTTGTCTCATTTCAAAACATTAACATATACTAACGGACAAAAGAAACGCCACCAAACAATTTTCTGGTCTAAATCAAAACAGACGCAAAGTTTAGTGACAGTTGATGTTGTATTTTAAAAAAACAAACAATTCTTCAAATACGGTATTTGAAAATGACAAGATAAAAAACCATGTACTTAAAGTTCTGCATACACGTTCATCATGCTGGGTGCACTGTCCAGTATTACATCACACCCGCAGAATCAACGTCGATCTCTTTTAAAGTCCCGTGCTACACACATCGGATGTGACCCCCTCCAGCAACGATGCAGGCCCTAACACGACGTCGAACTGAGTACACGATTCTCCTGACATCCTGATTAGGACCCTATCCTACGCCATGCCAATGACGGCTGTTGACGTTTCCGAATCCTGCGTCCAAGTTGGACCCAGAGGTGATCTATGGGCGACAGGTCCGGTGATCTGATTGGCCACTGTAATAGCGTTTCAGCGTTCAGAAAGTCGCTAGTGACTCGAGCTGTGGGAGGGGTGGCGTTGTCCTGCTGAAACAGCGTCCGTGGATGTCGTTGCAGGAAAGGCAGTAGCACAAGCCGCAAAACCTCATCAATGTAACGACGTGCAGTGAGATTTCCTTCGACGATGACCAGTTCTGGTCCCCCCAGATGCCACCCAGTCTATGACACTACCACCTCCATAAGGCTCCACTTCTTTGACGCAGCAACGTGACGTCCGTTCACCACGTCGTCAGTAGATTCGAACCCGCCCATTAGACTTGCAGAGCTGGCACCTACACTCGTCGCTGAAGAGCTTTCTTCGCCAATTTCTCTGCTGCCACTGCTGTATAGTCCTTGCCCATCTCAGTCTGTGACGTCGGTTCACGTTCACGTCACGCCATTGAAAGGTCTATAGGCACGGAGACCATACAGGCAGAGTCGTCTCGCAACGGTCCTTCTGCTGACTGGATGTCCAAGGCTGTTTGCGGATGATGACGTCACAGTTAGGTGGACATTAGGTGAAGGTCTTCCTATTGGGTCGTGACCTTGGGTCTTCCACTCCTCGGCCTGCCTGCAGTACTGCCAGTTTGCCTGTGACGTGTGACAAGTCAGGCGATGGTGCACTTGAAGCAGCCCATGATCCTGGCAACGTGCTCCTGCGTCGCTCCCATTTGCAACATACCGATGGCTCTCTCCCTCTGCTCTGCGGTTAGTCGAGGCATGTTCGTTGTATTTAACGGTTTCAAGTGATGAGAGAGTACAATCCTTCTCATGTTTCATACCAGAATTTCATACGGGAAACTTTGTGCACATTTTTTTGTGATTAAATTTACTTTTCTCGCAAATCACGTGAAGCACGTGACATGTTCACAGGGAATAGGTAAGTTGCATTCCAGCTATATGTTCCAAACTGTTTTCGTGCTTTTGGCAAATGTGTTGAAACTGACGACCATTGTTTATTTGGTGGCGTTTCTTTTGCACCTCAGTATAGATATTTACATACGTTTCAAGACGGAAGTGTTCTAAATTTACACATATTCGGATTATGGCAGTGCATTTCAGGCAGATAGAGGTGTCTAGTGTTCTTATAGGAGTTACATATTAAAGTAGAATGATATTCGTCTTCTATCCCTAGATTACAAAGAGAACATATACGTAAACTTAAATGGACCCAAACTCTCGTTAACGTTCGAACAACAACCACATCCTAAGGTTTATCGACATATTACGTTGATTTCTATCTGTTAGAAGGGTGAAGAAGGGCGGGGCGTAGGGCACGGGTGGCCCAGTCGTCTAAGGCGCAGCGATTCGCTGTGCAGAGGTTCGCCCCGATTATGTTTCTAGGTTTGTCAGCACCATTCCCGTGCTCATGGGTTTCGCCGAAGTGGTAAACGTCTGAGACCTGCATCTTTTCAGGCTTTCCTCCTACATTAAGCTGACACGCTGTGATTTTACTGGAATACTGTTAAAGACGGCGTTAAACACAACTCACTCACTATTTCTTGAGCTATGTCCTACCATACAATTCCGATTAGTCGGGAAAAAAGCCGCACCCAGTGCATTAACAAAAGAGCCATGCAGTACTCCACGTGCCACAGCACTGTATAAGGGTGCAGAGTTTTTGATTGCCTGGCATCTGCGTCAATCGAACAATGACGGCTCAATAACATGCCACGATTAACAGAGAATCAACGTCATAGGCCGTTTGTGGGCAGGGTAATCCCGATCAGCTGTAGCCGGGGTTTTCACTGTAGCACCCAGCATCAACATAAGGCTATGGGACCGGTTTCAACAGCATGGGTCAACACCGTGATCGGCCAGGGTCGGGACGACCAAGAGTAACCACACCGCCCAAGATCGCTCCATCCGACTGCGCCACCTATGTGAAAGGACGACCACGGTCACCTCAACCGCGTCCCAGATACCCGGACTGTGCAGAATCTCCGATCAGACCGTACGAAACCGTTTAAGAGCAGCATGTGTACGAGCAAGACGTCCTGTTCGATGGTCATATTTAGTCGACAACCTCGACAACAACGCCTGTATTAGTGTTGTCAACACAGGGTATGCCCTCAACTGCGATGTCTGGTTCAGCGACGAATCAAGATCTCTCCTCCGTCGAGGGGGTGGAAGAACACGGGTCTACAGACGTCGGGGAGAACGTTACGCCGGAGACTGCGTACAGGAAGTGGACAGGTTTGGTGGGGGCAGCATTATGATGTAGGCGGCTATCTCTCATCATTGCAAGACAGGATTTGTCCATATCCAGGGCAATCTTAGGTCTCAACGATACATCAACGAAATTCTCCTACCACACGTCCTCCCAATTGCAGCCAACGGCAACGGTGTATTCCAGGAGGACAACGCTCGACCGCATACAGCACGGATCACAAGAGCCTGTGTACACAGCAACAACGTTGATGTTCTTCCCTGGCCCCCCGGATCCCCGGATTTGTTATTTATGAATGTCAGATGGCATGTCCCGCATCAGGTGAACAAATTGTAATATCAAGGGAGTCGAATATAAAGGACAGCCTCCGTGGTCTAGAGGAAGAGCCTCCGCCCAGAGAGCGGAAGGTCCTGGGTTCCATTCCCGGGCCGCATCATACCACGAAATGTTAAAAGATTATACTTGTTATTACCTTGTCTGGCGCTCCTCATTAAGGGGATAAAACAAGGACTGGTCGGCTCGAAGTCAGTATACTGTGTCTGAGTGGGGTATTCATGTTAAACTGCATGGTATCTCAGTAAGCTGGCACTTTAAATCGGCATCAGTCCGGACTAGTACAAGCAGCATCACACACGTGCATACACGTCGCTATATTAGTGCAATAATCTTGGACACGACGTTAAGCCTCATCTCAACGAATTTAAAGCGTGAACGCCAGAGAATAAACAGTTTCCTTACACCGGAACAGATTCCATTGGGCGAAAAAGACGAAATAGCGCTGGAAATGATATGAATAGATTAAACTAAAAATCAGTAATCACATCACTTTTGGTAAGGGGAAGCAGGTGCTACGCTGCCGGCGGCACCGTCAGTGTTTGCTGCCTGCCGCTACACAGACATACCCGCCATGTGACGGCACACTATTACAAGGCCAATCTTACCGACATGGGAAAGGTCTCAGAAGCTGGTGAGTTGTTGATTCTGGTCAGGATACTGTGCGGATCTTGGTGTATTGAACAGCATCTGGCTATCTGGTCACACGCCACCCCACACACGTCTGTGCTGTGTAGCTCTGGAGGGGGTAATGACGCTACTATGTGTGTCAGACACAGACCAATGAATACTAGTCCCTCCACATTGCCACATAAAGGTCCCTTCATTCTGAAACAAGACTATTATAGAGCGTAGTGAAACTTCACTCGATATTTTAATTACTGCTACAGTTTGCTTTTTGGCCGTTCAACATTGGTAAACAATCGGTACTTGGTCAGACAATCCAGTGATTGACATCATGAGCATTTGTTTACGCCACTGTATGAGTCTACGCCATTGGGTGAGTGAGTTGAAATGTAACGTCGCATCGGAATTATTTCATCCATATAGCGACTACACAGTTGACATACGATGACAGGCATCAACCACATCAGCAAGCCTCAACACCCGATCCCGTCAGTCGCCTCTTGTAACAATCAAAGGTCGCTGGGAATCTATCTTTTACTCGTAATGTCCGTGGAATTACAGTAGTGCGGAACATGCAGCTTTATCACGAGGGTCTGGAAATAATTGAGCTTTGTCTAGTGGTCAATAGTAAAAGTCAACAGTCAATGGTCAATAGTCAATAGTAAAAGTCAATAGTCAATAGGCATAATCAATAGTCAATAGTCATAGTCAATAGTCATAGTCAATAGTCAATAGTCATCGTCAATAGTCATCGTCAATACTCATCGTCAATAGGCATAGTCAATAGTCAATAGTCATAGTCAATAGTCAATAGGCAATAGTCAATAGCACCATCAATACACAATGAACCAAGTCTTGTGTTGCAGCCACCAGATCTGTATTTCTACTGTCACTATATACGGCATCTTTAGAGACCTTCATTTTCAAAGAAATATGAGTGAGAAATCAAGGCCGTTTTGAACAGAATACCAGAGAGTTAATTCAAGTTGAGCTATTTCTCGAAAACCTGGCGCACCTGCGATGCCCTCCTGCGTACAAAGAATAATATACCATGTATACAACTCACAATATATGTAGTAAAACGATTCGTTAAAATTACAAAAGTAACAATCAAGACATGGCAGATTAACTGTAGTTATATAATTTATTTGTTTGCTTTCTAACGCCGCACTCAGCAATATTCCAGCTATATGATGGCGGTCTGTAATTAATCGAGTCTGGACCAGACAATCCAGTGATTGATATCATAAGCATCCATCCACGCAATTGGGATACGCTGACATGCATCAACCAAGTCAGCGAGCCTGACCACCCGATCCCGTTATTCGCCTCTTACGACAAGCATAGTCGCCATTTACGGCAAGCATGGGTTACTGAAGACCTTTTCTACGACGGATCTTCACGGGTCACAAAAGTAACAATCAAGACATGTCAATTACTTTAGTTATATGAGAGAATCGGGCGTTCTTTTACTTCATTTGAGTAGTTCCTTCACATTGGTGTTTTGTGACATTGTATTTTGCCATAAACAGAACATCAGAACGTCAAATCTGATGTAACAAATGTTATATTTGGGATAAAACTTTCTGACTAAAGTACAGATTCTCGTACTTTTTGGGGTTGAGTCCCGTCTGGGATTTGAACCCACACTGCCAGAGAGAGGCACCTAATCGCCAGCACACAAAGACAGTACTCAACCACCGAGTTTTAAACAAAAATGAAAGTCTGACAACTGGTAGTCTAGATCACGTACTTAGTGTACCCCTCGGACAAGTGTAGATTGGCACAGCCCCATATGCATGGCGGAAAGTTATGAACACACGATGCAATTTAGAAAGTGGTCAAATAGAACAAATGTTATATTTGGGATAACATTTTCTGAGTAAAGTACAGATTCTCGTACTTCTTTGAGTCCTGTCCGGAAAGTGTTATACCAAATATAACATTTGTTACATTTTACCACTTTCTAAATTGCATCGTGTGTTCACATCAAATCTATTATTTAACTGATGTAGATAACCTTACGGGGATTGGGGATCGGGTGGCTCAATGTACAGAGATACGTCCCACGGGTGTGCCAGGAAGCTATCATCACGGGTTCCTATCTGAGATTCGCGCTGATTTTATTTCTGGGTTTGTCAGCATCATACCCGTACTCGTGGGTTTCAAAAACATGTGCCCATTTCTTGTGTCCCCGCCGTGATATTGCGCGAATATTGCTAAAAGCGGCGTAAAACTAAACTCACTCACTCATAAAAATGTAAAAGGACCTACTGCAATAATGTTCAAAGCGGCGTTAAACCAAACCGCATTCACTGATAATGTTCCCCTGTGAAGATCTAGGTCAGATCTTCAGCAACCCATGCTTGTCGTAAGAGGTGACTGACGGGCTCCGGTGGTCAGACTCGCTGACTTGGTTGATGCATGTCATCGTATACCAGTTGCCTCGATCGAAGCTCATGATGTCAATCACTCAATTATTTGACCGCCATCATATAGCTAAGTGCGTTGTTAGGTGACCAACAATTATATTAAAAATAGTCATTGAAATAACTCACCTGTTTGGCTAAGTCAAATACGCCGGACTGAGTATAAAACAGCAAACCCCGACAATGTTACTTCCAGGACGAAGCTGAAGAAAGTAGAGCATAAAATCGAAGTTTGAAAGGGTCCGATCACCTGACGTAGCTCATCTCTGATATTGATTAGGACGTCCTTAAAACATTCTGCGATGAGGAAAGTTGATAGCATTATTACTTGCTGAATCTGTCATAAATACTTGACACTGAAATATACTGACGGCCAAAAGAAACTGTACCACTTAAAAAAATTAAATTACAAAAAATATAAAATCACATGTTTAATCTAAATCAAATGACAAACACATCGCCCAAACATAACATTGCTCAATGCAGAAAGCGATACACGCCCGCGAGACAGTTTCTTTCGAAAATAAGAATAAGAAAAAATGAAAAACACCTGTCGCTTGGGCAACCGGAACTACACGTGCTATAAGGGTATATACGTGATACGGATAGCATGTCAGAAACTCACACTGATACAAAACCCACGACAGAAATGCCACGACTGACACCCGAAAACCGCGGGCGGGCCCTGGGTATGATACAGATCGGATCCATCCCTGCCCACATTGCCAGAACCTTGGGTTACTCCCGTCTTGCTGTAACTAACCTGATAACCGTTACAGACAGATCGGTCAACAGAAAGGCCCAGGGTAACTACGCCCAATGAAGGCCTTTACTTGCGTACTTTGTACACCGGAATCGATTCCTAACAGTGATGTCATCAGCGACGAATTCCTTAGGGCATATAGTTAGTCGACAGACAGTGGCCAGTCGACTCAGGGCTCAAGGAATTAGGGCTTACAGACCTAACAGTTATTGGCATCTCAACATCCTCGTCGGAGATTGAGATGGGCCCGAACTGCACATCGTTTGCGGCGACGTGACTGGCAGAGGCTCGCATTCACTGTTGAAAGCCCGTTCACTCTGTTTAGAGCTGATAGAAGACAGCGTGTTTACCGCCGAGGGGGGGGGGGGGGGGGGGGGGGGGGGGGGGGAACACACGGCGGCATGTTGTGTTCATGAGATGTGTGGTGGTGGGGGCGTTATAGTTTTGGGAGGAATTTGTGGGGAGGAGAGAACAACAGTGGTCATAATTGGGAATTGGACAGCTCAGAGTTACCTGGATGACATTATTCGTCCGATTGTCCTACCATTTCTACAAAAGCAGTCACGTGGTGTGCTTTGTCAGCATGACAACGCTAGACCCGATACACCCCGAATCGTACAGTTGGTTGGTTGGTTTGTTGTTTAACGCCGCACTCAGCAATATTCCAGCTATATGACGGCGGTCTCTAAATAATCGAGTCTGGACCAGATAATCCAGTGATTAATATCATGAGCATCGATCCACGCAATTGGGATCGATAACATGCATCAACCAAGTCAGCGAGACTGACCACCCGATCCCGTTAGTGGCCTTTTACGACAAGCATGGGTCTTCACGGGTCCGAATCGTACAGAACTTCCTTGCAGATAAAAACATCAACTGTACGCACCCCAGACATGTCCCCCCCCAGAAAACCTCTGGGATATCATGGCTCGTGTTCGACAACGACCACATCCTCCACCCAACCCACAAGAACTGATCCATGCCCGCCAAGAAGAATGACGACGTACCCCACGTGCAGTCTTCAAACGACTTACTTTTTCTATGCGCCGGCGAGTTTTTGCGAGACTTGTAGCAGGGGTGGTCATACACGATATTAATGTGAGGTTTTGTGAGTTTTAAACTGGAGTGATTTAAAACTATGGGAAAGTTTCTTTTGGTCTACCTCCTTCTATTGACGAATGATATAAGTTATAGCTAACACAAGTGAAATTAGCCTTAATGAAATGGAACCGTTTTATACATTATTAAACGCACGAGGTGATTTGAAAACGAATAACGCGCCGCATCGACTTGGAACGAGCAATTCCCATGTACAAACTTGGCTGATTAAAACACAATGTGCAGTTTGAAAACGAATAACGCTCCGAATCGACATGGAATGGCCAGGTCTCATCTACAGACTTTGAATATTAAAACACAATGTGTAATTTGAAAACGAATAACGCTCCACACCGGCTTTGAATGAGCCTTCCACGTGTAAGAACGTGGAACATGCCGATCCCTGCGTGTATATGGACCTTTTCCTTATGATTAAAGCATGCATAGTGAAATATTACAATTTTGTAGAGTGACCCTTCATTCTAAGACGGTAATTTCAAAATAAAAATGGGATGAAATGTTACAAGTTTATTAAAATAAATAAACAATGTAAGGATGTCTTTCATACATAATCTCAAAAAAGGAACAGGAATGCACAAGAATGTCTCCCAATCAGTGGTTCAACCTGATTACTCGAGTCATGGAGAGGAGTGAGTGAGTGTGTATGGTTTTACGCCGCTTTTAGCAATATTCCAGCAATATCACGGCGGGGGACACCAGAAATGGGCTTCACACATTGTACCCATGTCGGGAATCGAACCCGGGTCTTCGGCGTGACGAGCGAACGCTTTAACCACTAGGCTACCCGACCGCCCCTCATGGAGAGGAGGAAGGCCGGGTCAGGGGTGGCGAGGCCAGCTCAGCCAGTTCATTTTACGTGTACAGAAAGTGAAACACACCAACCCAAGTCCCGCGCCAAATGTCACCTGCTCGGAAACATCCGTGCAGGGTCATGGTCACAATTAGGATTAGTCATCCTGTTCAAAAAGACAACCCTAAATATTGAAAAGACCTTGGTCACTTTTAATTTACTCAATAGATGTACATTTGAAAACATCAACAAATCTCACACAGGTTCATCCAATCACAGCTGCCACATCTCTCAATCTAAATTCAATCTTTCTTTGCGAAAAGCTGCTGGCCGCACGACTGATTCTATGGTGTAGTGGTAGAACATGTAGACTGGCACCAGCACTCTCAGAGTTACAGAGTGGTTCCTTCTGAAACCAGTTTACACTTCACATAATATATTTACTGCAATGAAAGTAGTGAATATATTGTGAACAAGAGAAGTAAATACTTTACCCAAGCGTCTTACCAGTGTTCATGGAAGTGATTTGTACTTGTTTGATAACTCAGGCTTACCCTTCTAACGATTTGTCTAAATTACACCCCACTTTACCATTCTTCTAAACAGTCATCATTTCGCCTGATAATGCCGACGCGCCGTCAAATTTTAACTCACTCACATTTTGCCTGACCCAAGCCAAGCCGGCGAGGGCCCTCTCTGTCCGACCGGCGTTCTCCCGTCTGGCCCGACCCAAACTGAGGCGACGAGGCCCCTGGGGGAACGAACGGCGACTGGCGGTCCAGCGTCTGCCCCAAGCCAAGTCGAGCCGGCGAAACCCGTCTTCGTCCGAGCAGGCGCATCCGTCGTTTGGGGTTACGGGAAAAGCAAATGTTTTCCCATGGACTTCTTTTTCCCCCTCTCTCTTTTAGTACTCGATAACAACCATCGGTGGTACATGAGTTGTACAGCAACAAAAACAGCAATAGATGTACAGCTGTATGACATATATTTTAGAATATAAATGTAAATATTCGCTGTATCTTTTCCCACGGTTTTCAACTGGAAACCATTGGTGAACTTTAAAACAACAGACGGTGACGATACGTGCGCTGAAGCCGACATCACAGTCGCGCCGTTTCTGTGTGTAGTCGTAATTGGGGGTCCACCCAGCCCCTATCTCCCCGGGCTGCTGGGTTTGCTGTGTTACGGGGTACGCCAAGAAACAGACCATGCTTTATTCTGTCTGGCGAACAAGCTCACGGTTACTGTTGTTGGAACTGGTAACCACAAACTATCAACAGAAACAGGCCGCTAGGGAACTATATCACGAGAACCAAGGATATGTACACTGTGTGACTCCCAAGAAATTGGTGACGAGTTCCTATATTTATTCAGCTGTAATTCACCTTTAACATTACGCACTGAATGAGTCAATGAATACTACACACTGGCCAAGCGTGATTACATATCATAAACTGTCAAAGTTCCTCAGACATTTGAATGCTATACTGTGACGTATTCTACCATGTAGTTTTTTGTTATTGTACAACTCATGTACCAATATGGTTCTTATCGAGTAATGAAAGTGAACAATAAAAAGAAGTTGATCGGAAAACATTGGCTTTTCGCATTACCCCAAACAACGGATGCGCCTGGCTGGGGGCAGACGCGCCACCGCCAGCTTCCGTTCCTGGCGCAAATCAGCGTCCGTCGACTCAGCTTGGGTCGGGCCAGACGGGAGAACGCTGGTCAGACAGAGACGGACCTCGCCGGCTTGGCTTGGGTCAGGCAAAAAGTGAGTGAGTTAAAATTTGACTGCGCGTCGGCATGATCAGGCGAAAAGATGACGTTCAGCTGAAATTGTTCAATATAATATTTCATACCAGTAATACACCAGAAGAATGCTTAAATGGGGTGCAATTGAGTTAATTTATAAGGAGGGTAAGCCTTAGCTACCACATAAACTACAAACCACTTCCATTAACACTTGTAAGATGCTTTGGTTACTCTTTTACTTTTCTTGTTGACAATATATTCACTACTTTCATTGAAGTAAATGGATATTATTTTATCCGAAGTCTGAACTGGTTTCAGAAAGAACTACTTTGCAACTCTGAGAGTGCTGGCGCCAGCCTACAGGATGTCAACAACCACACCAAATCAGAATCAGTCGTTCAGCCAGCAGCTTTCGTAGAGGAAGATTGAATGTAGATTGAGAGATGTGGCAGCTGTGATTGGATGAACTTGTGGGAGATTTGTTGATGTTTTCACATGTACATCTATTGAGTAAGTTAAAAGTGACCAAGTTTTTCCAATATTTAGTGTTGTCTTTTTGAACAGGATGACTAATCCTGATTGTGACCATGACCATGCACGGATGTTTCCGAGCAGGTGACATTTGGCGCGGGACTTGGGTTGGTGTGTTTCACTTCCTATACTCGTAAAATGAACTGGCTGAGCCCAATTTAACCATTCTTCTGGTGTCTTACCAGTATCAAATATTATATTGAACAATTTCAGCTGAACGGTCATCTTTTCGCCTGATCATGCCGAAGCGCAGTCAAATTTTAATTCACTCACTTTTTGCCTGACCCAAGCCAAGCCGTCTCTGTCCGACAAGCGTTCTCTCGTCATTCACAAGAAGAATGGTCAGCACTATCAGTGACGACTCACAAGAGGCATGGTCAGCGCTATCAGTGACGACTCACAAGAGGCATGGTCAGCGCTATCAGTGACGACTCACAAGAGGCATGGTCAGCGCTATCAGTGACGACTCACAAGAGGCATGGTCAGCGCTATCAGTGACGACTCACAAGAGGCATGGTCAGCGCTATCAGTGACGACTCACAAGAGGCATGGTCAGCGCTATCAGTGACGACTCACAAGAGGCATGGTCAGCGCTATCAGTGACGACTCACAAGAGGCATGGTCAGCGCTATCAGTGACGACTCACAAGAGGCATGGTCAGCGCTATCAGTGACGACTCACAAGAGGCATAGTCAGCGCTATCAGTGACGACTCACAAGAGGCATGGTCAGCGCTATCAGTGACGACTCACAAGAGGCATGGTCAGCGCTATCAGAGACGACTCACAAGAAGCATGGTCAGCGCTATCAGTGACGACTCACAAGAGGCATGTTCAGCGCTATCAGTGACGACTCACAAGAAGCATGGTCAGCGCTATCAGTGACGACTCACAAGAGGCATGGTCAGCACTATCAGTGACGACTCACAAGAGGCATGGTCAGCGCTATCAGTGACGACTCACAAGAGGCATGGTCAGCGCTATCAGTGACGACTCACAAGAGGCATGGTCAGCGCTATCAGTGACGACTCACAAGAAGCATGGTCAGCGCTATCAGTGACGACTCACAAGAGGCATGGTCAGCGCTATCAGTGACGACTCACAAGAGGCATGGTCAGCGCTATCAGTGACGACTCACAAGAGGCATGGTCAGCGCTATCAGTGACGACTCACAAGAGGCATGGTCAGCGCTATCAGTGACGACTCACAAGAGGCATGTTCAGCGCTATCAGTGACGACTCACAAGAAGCATGGTCAGCGCTATCAGTGACGACTCACAAGAAGCATGGTCAGCGCTATCAGTGACGGCTCACAAGAAGAATGGTCAGCGCTATCAGTGACGACTCGCAAGAGGCATGGTCAGCGCTATCAGTGACGACTCACAAGAGGCATGGTCAGCGCTATCAGTGACGACTCACAAGAGGCATGGTCAGCGCTATCAGTGACGACTCACAAGAGGCATGGTCAGCGCTATCAGTGACGACTCACAAGAAGCATGGTCAGCGCTATCAGTGACGACTCACAAGAGGCATGGTCAGCGCTATCAGTGACGACTCACAAGAGGCATGGTCAGCGCTATCAGTGACGACTCACAAGAAGCATGGTCAGCGCTATCAGTGACGACTCACAAGAGGCATGTTCAGCGCTATCAGTGACGACTCACAAGAAGCATGGTCAGCGCTATCAGTGACGACTCACAAGAAGCATGGTCAGCGCTATCAGTGACGGCTCACAAGAAGAATGGTCAGCGCTATCAGTGACGACTCACAAGAGGCATGGTCAGCGCTATCAGTGACGACTCACAAGAGGCATGGTCAGCGCTATCAGTGACGACTCACAAGAGGCATGGTCAGCGCTATCAGTGACAACTCACAAGAAGAATGGTCAGCGCTATCAGTGAAGACTCACAAGAGGCATGGTCAGCGCTATCAGTGACGACTCACAAGAGGCATGGTCAGCGCTATCAGTGACGACTCACAAGAAGCATGGTAAGCGCTATCAGTGACGACTCACAAGAGGCATGGTCAGGACTATCAGTGACGACTCACAAGAGGCATGATCAGCGCTATCAGTGACGACTCACAAGAGGCATGGTCAGCGCTATCAGTGACGACTCACAAGAGGCATGGTCAGCGCTATCAGTGACGACTCACAAGAGGCATGGTCAGCGCTATCAGTGACGCCTCACAAGAGGCATGGTCAGCGCTATCAGTGACAACTCACAAGAAGAATGGTCAGCGCTATCAGTGACAACTCACAAGAGGCATGGTCAGCGCTATCAGTGACGACTCACAAGAGGCATGGTCAGCGCTATCAGTGACAACTCACAAGAAGCATGGTAAGCGCTATCAGTGACAACTCACAAGAAGCATGGTCAGCGCTATCAGTGACAACTCACAAGAAGCATGGTAAGCGCTATCAGTGACGACTCACAAGAGGCATGGTCAGCGCTATCAGTGACGACTCACAAGAGGCATGGTCAGCGCTATCAGTGATGACTCACAAGAGGCATGGTCAGCGCTATCAGTGACGCCTCACAAGAGGCATGGTCAGCGCTATCAGTGACGCCTCACAAGAGGCATGGTCAGAGCTATCAGTGACGACTCACAAGAGGCATGGTCAGCGCTATCAGTGACGACTCACAAGAGGCATGGTCAGCGCTATCAGTGACGACTCACAAGAGGCATGGTCAGAGCTATCAGTGATGACTCACAAGACGCATGGTCAGCGCTATCAGTGACGACTAACAAGAGGCATGGTCAGCGCTATCAGTGACGACTCACAAGAGGCATGGTCAGCGCTATCAGTGACGACTCACAAGAGGCATGGTCAGCGCTCTCAGTGACGACTCACAAGAGGCATGGTCAGCACTATCAGTGACGACTCACAAGAGGCATGGTCAGCACTATCAGTGATGCCTCACAAGAGGCATGGTCAGCGCTATCAGTGACGACTCACAAGAGGCATGGTCAGCGCTATCAGTGACGACTCACAAGAGGCATGAACAAACCAATCTTTAATGACTCACATAACATCTTTACAGCACTTATCAAAATAGCAACTAACAGTTCCTGATATATCAGGTCAGATGGCTGCTTACATGATCAACTATTAAAAAGTCTTCAAATTTATCAACAAATGAGTCGGGTTTAACGCCGCTTTTAACAGTATTGCAGTTATATCACTTCGTGTGATTTTAATGTGGGAGGAAAGCCCGAAGTGATGCAGGTGTCAGACGTTCACCACTTCAGTTAAACCCACGAGTACGGATATGGTGCTGTCAAACCTAGAAACATAATCGGGGTGAACCTGGACTCAACCCACAATCATAGGTTTCTGGCGTACCCAAGTGCCACAACTCTGCGCATTTTATCATGGCACCTTAGATGACTGGGCCACCCGTGCCCCCAAATGACTTCAGGGGCAAGCAATACATAAACATCTGGTGTTATCACTGATTTTCAGTGATCCATTCGTATAATGTTTAAGGCTGTTTTGCCTGGCATTGACGTTATATATCATATACATCAAATAAATAACATTTACAGAATACATTACTGTCTGTCTGATACCGTTAGTCGCCTCTTTTGACAAGCATAGTCACCTCTTAGTGCAAGAATCGGTTGCTGAAAACGTACATGTATTCTACTCCGGATCACCTCCAATGTAGACCAGAAAAGGAAACCATGTGACCTTCACACTGGAAGTATCAAAGAGCCATTGCTGTCATACATGGGTTTGTTTAAATGCAACATGAAGTGATTGGAATAACTCATACAAATGGCTTCTGATAATTCTTGGATATGGAGGTGAATAGATTGCAAATACGATATTATACACATATGAACGTGCTCAATACATACCACTCCCAAATCTACAAACTATGTTACTTTTTCCTCTGGGTTATATTAAGTGAGTGCGTGAGTATATTAAGTGAGTGCGTGAGTATATTAAGTGAGTGTGTGAGTATTTTTTACGCCGCTTTTAGCAATATTCTAGCAATATCATGGCGGGGGACACCAGAAATGGGTTTCACACATTGTACCCATGTCGGGAATGGAATCCGGGTCTTAGGCGTGATGAGCGAATGCTTTAACCACTGGGCTACCCGACCGCCCCTGATTATAGTAAATGTTGAAGTAGATACAAATAGCGGTTCAGAATGACAAACACTTGAAGGTCAGTCATGCAGAGATATATCACTTGATGATTGAAATATGCATAGGCTGAAAGATGTACGAAGACATACATCAACAGGTCTACTTCGAAACACCAGGGCTGTCAGGTAGACTAGTGGTTAAAGCGTTCGCTTGTTACGCTGTTCGATATCCGACATGGGCACAATGTGTGAAGCTCATTTAGGGTGTCCCCTGGCAGGATATTGCTGGAATATTCCTAAAAGTGGCGAAAACCCATTCTCACTCACTCACTTGGAGCTCCAGATAAGCTCCGAATTTGCATAATACTAGTATATGCCAAATAAATCACCATATCCAAATTAATTTTGAGTTGCATGAACCAACTGATAACCCAATAGCACAACTACCCCTAGTGGTACTGCCTATGTGTCCTCAACAGGCATACCAGTATAAAGAGCTTTATTTACAGACATCACACACACATGATCTCTACTGCAGTGAATAAGGTATTAGAAAGGTCTCACTTATTCTTTACTGGATATACATGTTGCTGTTGAGTTTGGGTGACATGTTACACACAGAGGGCAGTCCATGAAGAGATACATATTCAAAGTCACCTGAAACTAGTGCTGGCTAAAGAGATCGATAAACGGAAATATCGATGATGGGAAGAAATATTAACGATTAACAATATGAAAATTGTGTCATCGATAATACCTTTCAGAAACTACTGTGATTAAATAAAGTTTTAATTTACCAAAGCAGACTAGTTTTTTAACCTTGCCGCAGACAGCCAGCAACTGATTTTGTTATATCTTAAATGTCCACACAGTATTCCATGCAAAAATGTGTCACTCAGAGCTTTTTGCATATTAGCTCAAAGTTACTTCTCCGCTATTAATTGATAATTGATCTTTATTTAGTTAACGATTATCAAGCTGTAAGATTTATCTCGATAGCCAGCCCCACCAGAAACAGCATTATGAGCAGACATATATTTACAAAAGATTCACTTGGTGTTGTAAAAATGCCCAACAGACAAGGGAGTAAAAACATATTGAATACCCAGAGAAAACTCTCAAGACTTGTGAGTACATACTCAATGGCTCCCAGTGTAATCTAGAGCCCTGCTACATAGCCATTGGTTGTCACATCACACATATTATGCAGAAATCATAAAAATACCACAAAATATACCAAATAATGCCAAACAATGTTTCAAACATAAACATTCTGCAAAGACACTCTATGCTCAACAACAGACTCTTGTGAACGTCCTTCCTTCTTTCCTACAGAACTAAACCTTAACAAACAAGTGTCAGGCCTTGTGAGGTCATCACAACTCACACTAACAGTTGAACAACTCAACACAGCAGCTGTAGACCTGTCAACTCACTACTCCCATGACAATTTATTTCCATCTGTAAAAAAATAACACCACATGGGAACTGTTTTACTGCAGCCCTGGCAAACACTTTTTAGATACACGTATAGAATGATCTCATCATGCATACTGAAGTTGATAGACGCTTTATCCTTACTCGAACATATAATAGTCAGAACGAAAGCTTGCATAGTCAGAAAGAATTGTGAACAGTAGCTACTTGTAGTGTAACCATGGAGATTTATTGTTAATGTCATTCAACAATATATCACGTGACTAGCCACGGGTCCGGGTAGTCCTGTATAACCATAGAGTTTTATTGTTAATGTCATTCAACAATATATCACGTGACTAGCCACGGGTCCGGGTAGTCCCGTGAGTATCTAGGTGCTACTCAGTACCCACCCAACCCGAGTACCTGAGTTACCCTTCCCAGCCCACTGTGTTGTCATCAGTGAGAAATGAGTAAGATCTTAGTGCTCACTACTGTTACACAAAGACCTGAGGAAGGTCAGAACGACCTGAGGAAGGTCAGAATGACCTGACACAAACTTTGATAAACCAATGAACTTAATAACAGGAAATTGACATTGGCCAATCAGAAAGCAGCTTTCTTGAGTTTTATGGCAAAAATACTTCCACAAACTTCTTGATTCAAAATTTGAAAACAAAGGAAAATTCTGGAATGTCTAATACATGTCCGAGATTGTATTGCCGTACTTCCCACGGTCTATGCAGGCTCCATTCATATGTTTGTTTTACCTTCATGCAGAAAGCCTCATGTCAACATTTTCTAGAAAACACATTCAGGCTTTCACTGTCACGAACTCAGTAGCGAAAGTCTGATTGGTCGGATGAGTGGTGTTTCTGACGTGAACTGTAATGGGATGTCCTGAGATTTTTGTGTCAAAGGCAGCACTAAGATCTGATTTTAATGACATTAAATATTATTGCAATTGTTTCAGTTCCACAGCATCAATAAAGCTTCATCTAGTTCAGATCCAATATCAAACACCTAGCATATCCCACTCCCATCACACAGAGACCATCAGGACTTGGCGCCAAGTTTGAGTTGCTCGTCTTCAGCTCGCAGCGCGTCTAGCAGTCCCTGCTGATCATGGAAGAACTCCTTGGCGAGACCGCACGTAGCGTTGGTGCACATGGGACAGCGTAGTCGCAGCTGGGTGGAGCACACCTTCTGCGTGGACAAGTGCTGCTTCACGATGTCCGCTATCGCCTGGAACAAGATTATGATTATGAGGTGAGGTGAGGTGAAATGGGGTTTAACGTTGCGTCCAAGATTATTGCACTTATATAGTGACGTGCATGCACGTGTGTGTGTGTATGGCTGCTTGTACTAGTCCAGACTGATGCCGATTTAAAGTGCTAGCTCACTGAGATACCATGCTGCAGTTTAACATGAATACCCCACTCAGACACAGTACACTGACACCGAGCCGACCAGTTCTTGTTTTAGCCCCTTAATGCCGAGCGCCAGACAGGGTAACAACAAGTACCATCTTTTAACGTCTTTTGGTATGAAGCGGTCGGGGATCAAACCCCGGACCTTCCGCCCCCCGGGCGGACGCTCTACCATTAGACCACGGAGGCAGTCTGATTATTATTATGATTAATATGTTGTTGTTGTTTGTCTGCTAACTAAATTATTATGTTACCTTTGTTGTTTTGTTGTTGGACAACTCTGTAGAGATAGAGAGGGAGTGAAAACAAACTTTCACTCCTCACATAATTGTCATGACACTACATGCTATATTCACTGCTTAGAGTGATGTCACAATACTAATTGTGTTTGTTTGTTGTTCAGAAATATTCTAGCTGTATGACGGCAGTACATAATCGAATCTGAGAAAGACAATCCAGTGATTGACATCATGAGCATCGATCCACACATTTGGAATACGATGACATGCATCAACCAAGTCAGCGAGTCTGACCACCTGATCTTGGTAGTTGCCTCTTACCACAAGCAAAGTCGCCTTTTACAGCAAGCATGGTTTGCAGACGACCTATCCTACCCCGGATCTTCATGGGTCTTGAGATGAGGTGAGCACTGATCTAGGCCGTGTGGTCAATATGACACACAATCAACCAAGTCACAGTCTCGCCACCTTATCCTCCATGTGGCCTATCATGACAAGCACCTGCTGATGGGGACCTTAGTTCGTGTGTCGTATAAGGCTGCACTCAGCAATATTCCTTGGACTGAAAATAATGACCCAAACAATCCAGTGATTGACGTCATGAGCATCCATCCAAACAATTGGAATACGATGACATGCGTCAACCAAGTCAGCGAGCCTGACCACCTGATCTTGGTAGTTGCCTCTTACCACAAGCCCGGTCGCCTTTTACAGCAAGCATGGGTTGCAGACGACCTATTCTATCCTGGATCTTCATGGGTCTTGAGATGAGGTGAGCAACGATCTAGGCCGTGTGGTCAATATGACACACAATCAACCAAGTCACCGTCTCGCCACCTTATCCACCATGTGGCCTATCATGACAAGCACCTGCTGCTGGGGACCTTAGTACGTGTGTCGTATAAGGCTGCACTCAGCAATATTCCAGTGGACTGTAAATAATGACCCAAACAATCAAGTGATTGATATTGTGAGCAATGGTCCACGTCATCTGAGTACAATGAAACACAATCAAGTCAGTCGATGAGCTTGTCCACACAGACCATCTGGTCATCTGTAACCATGGTAACGACCAACACAGATCGCCAGGTGCCTAGTAACCCGGAATCTCCACTAGCCCTGACGGGCGGTTGAATCAGGAGAGCTTATCAAGGCCTGGGTTCCATTCCCGACATGAGCACAATGTATCACGCCCATTTCTGGTGTCCCCTGCCGTGATATTGCTGGAAAAGCAAAGTCAAGCCAAACTCACTTGCGTGTAACGGCTTCATAATGATCTACATACCTCGATGAAGATTGGGTTGTCATTCAAGGATGCTGCCCGCCGAATGTTCTTCACTCCCACCTGGCAACACAAGGAGGCCCATCAGCAAACAACGACAACAAATTAGGCTAAAAAAAATAGTCGTGATTCACAGGCACCATGTGCATCATCATAAAATCTGCCGCACGTTTTGTTTTTGTTTCCGTTTTCAAAAAAATATAAACATCCTAATACTTGAACACAATGCATAAAAAAAATTGAAAATGGAAACAAAAACGAAATGTGCAGTGAATTTTATAATGATGTGGGCAGTGCCTCAGAACCAAGACTATTATATTTTTAGCCTTAAGCAGGGATGGAAACCTACAAAGCACATCTAGTAGCCCATATAGACACAGTGGACAAAAGTAGGATTACAACTTCTGTATTATACAGTAACAGTGTTAAATAGACCACAGTAAAAGGATCTATACTGAAAATGTTGCTATTACAGAATAAGAAAGAAGTTGTTATTCATAAACTTTTGCCTACTTTGTCTTCTCTCACCTTCTAAGAAATGCCTATCATAATAGTCAGTGTTTTTTAGCCTTATCAAGGTTGGTTAGTCAGCAAAACCAAACCATGTTCTTCCTGGTTGTTTTCAATACATGACACTTCTTATGGATAGGAACAAGTTACTTTCCATAAAATGTAGGGAGGCCCTTTCCCAGGATGATTGTACACAATTGTTTATTTGGTTACATATTCATTTTAACAACGAATAAAACAAAAAACCCACTGCCTCATGCACTATGTTTTCAAAAGCCATTGCCTGAAAACCAATTCTTTTATGTTTTCAAGCTCAATGCAGTAAACAGGAGTGTGGAGTCTGAAATCGCTGCTTGCATCTCTACTTAGTATCTCCAAATAGTAAACAAATGACTGTTTGACTGGCTGTTGTAGAAGATGGCAAATAATTTTGAAAAATGACAACTTAATGGATAACAACTTCTGGTTTATTGCACAAAGTGACATTTGATGCAGATTCTGACAATGTTAATCTGCTGTTTATCACAACATGTCATGCATACCTCACATCACTTGGTTGTTGTCCCTCCAGCTTGGTAAGAATCTACATCAAATGTCGCTGTATTCAATAAACCAGAAGTTGTTCATTTTCCTTAAACAAATTACTGTTTAAGTCTATACTGTGAAAGTTTCTCACCAGAATATCAGTAACATAGGTACACAAGCTTGTGAGGTGAGGTGAAATCGGTTTTAACGTCGCGTCCAAGATTATTGCACTTATATATCGACGTGCATGCATGTGTGTGTGTGTGTGTGTGTGTGTGTGGCTGCTTGTACTAGACCAGACTGATGCCGATTTATAGTGCTAGACCACTGAGATACCATGCCGCAGTTTAACATGAATACCCCACTCAGACATCAGACACAGCACACTGACTCCGAGCTGACCAGTCCTTGCTTTAACCCCTTAATGCCGAGCGCCAGACAGGGTAACAACAAGTACCATCTTTTAACGTCTTTTGGTATGATGCGGTCAGGGATCGAACCCCGCACCTTCCACTCTCCGGGCGGACGCTCTACCACTAGACCATGGAGGCGGTCCACAAGCTTGTGTGACTGGAAGACTGTGTACATCCCCTCACTGAGCCTACCTCTCCTCCCAGCTCCTGGGCGTACTCCAGGTCCAGCTCGTACAGGGTCTCTATGTGGTCGCTGGTGAAGGCGATGGGCACCAGCAGCAGGTTCTTCCGGCCCCTCGTCACCAGCCCCTTAATGGCCTCGTCCGTCTGCGGACTCAACCACGGCAACGGCCCCACCTGCAGATTAGGATCTCACAACTACAGGCGTTCACTGGTAGACTGTGTGATGGGCTAGATTTGTTACTATATGAGGAGTCTGTATGCAATCGTGTCAGGGCCTGCCAATCCAGGGATTGCCATCATGAACATCAATCTACACAATTGGGATACGATGACAAGCAACAACAAAGTCAGCGAGTCCGATCACTCAATGCCATTAGTTGCCTCTTAAGACAAGCATGGGTTGCTGAAGACAAATTCGAACCCTGATCTTTACAGGACCCTGTTTGACTGTATACTATTCAAAGAAAATGTGTTATATTTTTGGATGAAAAAGAGGCTTATGTTGAAATCATAATTTTTGGGTGACCTTGGACTGCCACACCAGTTTGTAGATGTGACAACGACCAAGCTCCCTTACCTTGGACTGCTACACCAGTCTGTAGGCGTGACTGTGACCAAGCTCCCCTACCTTGGACTGCCACACCAGTCTGTAGGCATGACTGTGACCAAGCTCCCCTACCTTGGACTGCCACACCAGTCTGTAGGCGTGACTGTGACCAAGCTCCCCTACCTTGGACTGCCACACCAGTCTGTAGGCGTGACTGTGACCAAGCTCCCTTACCTTGGACTGCCACACCAGTCTGTAGGCGTGACTGTGACCAAGCTCCCCTACCTTGGACTGCCACACCAGTCTGTAGGCGTGACTGTGACCAAGCTCCCCTACCTTGGACTGCCACACCAGTCTGTAGGCATGACTGTGGCCCAGCTCCTCCATGACACTCTGTACCGTGGCTGCTACTTCAGTGCTGTAGGGGTCTCCACGATTCACGACCTGTACAACACCAGAGATGGTTATGTTGGACATATTGTCACAAAACAATATACAACAATTACTGAAATGTCAAAACTCCCCCAAAAGTGTGCTAAGTGTACTCAGGAAATGTGAGTTTGTGACTCTAGCACACAGAGTGAGCCTTTCCCACCTGTGCATCAGGAAGACTAGTATACACTGTTTCATGGTTCGTGTTGTTTAACGCAGCACTCAGCAATATTTCAGCTATATGACGGCGGTCTGTGAATAATCCAGTCTGGACCAGACAATCCAGTAATTGACATCATGAACATCAATCCACGCAATTGGGATCGATGACATGCATCAAGCACGTCAGAGAGCCTGACCACCCGATCCTGTTAGTCGCCTCTTACGACAAGCATTGTCGCCTTTTACGGTTACTATACACACAACTACACTACATATTATACACACAACTAGGGCCACTAGCTGACTCGTCTCACATCAAATCATGGGCACGTGTACACATGGCAGATGATCATGGAGTAAGCTGATCACTGTGTCGGATTAACGAGACTAATGAGTGATTGGATTGTCGCGTTCAAATAGCACTGATATAATTGTTTTCCATCATAAGAGTCGTATAAAGCCAAATGTCAGATTTACAAGTGTCGGATGAACAGGACAAGTCTGTACTCAGGGTCAGCTGATGATGGAGAGGACTTCTGTGGAAAATCTAAAAGATTGTTATAGTGTGATGACAGCCAAAATACAGCAAGTGAGTATGGTTTTACACCGTTTTAGTAATATTCCACAAACATCACAGCAGGGGACACCAGAAATGGTCTTCTCATATTATACCCATGTTGGGAATCGAACCCAGGTCTTTGGCATGACGAGCGAACAGGATAATGGCAATGATATAACAGAGGTATGGTACTTGCAGGAATTATGTCTTCTTAATAATCTGTTAGAGTAGTAACCTCTGAAATTAGAAAGGATCACATGACCTATCACAATGTCGTCCCTGACCCGTGAAGTTCCGGGGTAGAATCGGTCTTCAGCAACCCATGCTTACCTTAAAAGGTGATTTAGCTTGTTGACTTACGGGACCGGGTGGTCAGGCTCGCTGACTTGGTTGATGCATGTCATCGTATCCCAATTGTGTGGACTTATGCTCATGATGTCAGTCACTGGATTATCTGGTCCAGACTGGACTATTTACAGACCGCCGTCATATAGCTGGAATATTGCTGAGTGCGGCGTAAAACAAACAAACACAACCCTCACCTTGAGGGGCAGTGAGTGCGCAGAGAACAGGATCACAATGTCGTCCCTGTCTTCCTCCGGGAACTTGGCAATCTCGTCTCTTATGTTTTCAGCAAATGCCTGGAAAAAGAAAGTAAACAAATCACAAAAATACAGTAAACATCGCACCTAAATTTCATTGAAATCATCTATGTCACTCTATACATCTCTGCATCAAGATCTGACAAATACTTCAGGTGGCCTTTAATCAGCCAATCAGCATGAAGACTTCCAAATTCTCCATTCAAGCGAGTGAACCATTACAGTATGTATCATTTCTGTATCTCAAAAGGGGCGGTTGGTAGCCTAGAGGTTAAAGCGTTCGCTTGTCACACTGAAGACCCGGGTTCGATTCCCGACATGGGTATAATGTGTGAAGCCCATTTCTGGTGCCCACCGCCGTTATATTGCTGGAATATTGCTGAAAGCGGCATAAAACTAAACTCACTCACTGTATCTAAAAATGAATGTAAATGGGCAGTTCCAAAGGCAGAATATCAATAGTGTGTGGGTGACTATGGTTTTACATTGCTTTTAGCAATATTCCACCAATATCACGTCGGGGGACACCAGAAATGGGCTTCACACATTGTACCCATGTGGAGAATTGAACCTGGGTCTTCAGCATGACGAGCAAGCGCTCTAACCACTAGGCTACCGCACCACCCACAGAATAGCAATAGTATAACAATCCTTGTTGTGGATATTGCTTCCTGTAGTTTCGAAGCACCACAGCATCTACACCAACAAGTGTGTACCATTGAGGGAACTTGAATGTTAAAGTTAATGTGGACTTTTTCTTGTTGAGACAAACTTTCAGAAACTCTAACTGAGGTTGTGAAGGACTGAAGCACCACTAAGACACAGTATACTGACTCTGCGGAGACCAGTCCTTGTTTTATCCCCTTTTAATGTCAAGCAACAGGCAGGGAAACAACAAGTTCCATCTTGTAATGTCTTTTGGTATAAAATGTATGGGAATCGAACCACAAAAATTCCTCCCAAATTCTCCATTTACACACCTCACTTTTTCATGGTCTACTGATGCAGTTAGTTCACCCCCAAAAAGCGGCGGTAGGGTGGCCTAGTGGTTAAAGCATTTGCTCGTCACACCGAAGGCCCGGGTTCAATTCCCCACATGGGTACAATGTGTGAACCTCATTTCGGATGTCGTGATATCGCTGGAACATTGCTAAAAGCAGCGTAAAACCATACTCACTCAGTCACTCACCAACAAAAATATACCTGGTTACCTTAACAAGACCTTTGTGTGTTGGCCAGCGATCGATGACACTCCACACAAGGTTGCTAGGGGTGCGTCGGCTCATGTAGTGGCGGTAAATGGCGTTCAGGCTACTTCCTGTTGTAGAACAGCTGTATTGTGGGTACTGGGTGAAGGCGATAGCTCGTTCTATGCCATCCCTGTTTGAAACATAACATTATGTTTGTACATAACATAACATCAACTATGTGAAGTTGCTTTAGGCCACACTCAACTATTTTCCAGCTACATGATGGCAATGTCTGAACCAGATAAATCAGGGATTGAAAAAGTGCATATTCAACCTTTTTAATAGGTATGACAAAAAATTAATGGCAAAGGAATCATTATCTTCAAGAGTTCCCGGACGGTGGAGTAGCCTGTGGTTAAAGCATTCCCTCTTCACTCCAAAGTCTCGCGTTTGATTTCCCATGTGGATGGAAAACATGAAGCCATTTCTGGTGTCCCCAGCCATGATATTGCTCGATTATTGCTAAAAGTGACAAAAAGCCACTCATTTTCTTGAATTCAAAAATATGAAAATAAATACTGGGTACACCAGCATCCCTCATTCACCCAGCAAGCTACATCTATATTTCACAGTATTATTTGGAAATACATTCTTCTCTATTCCATATTCGCCTAATTAAGCTGCCCCGACCAACTCCAAAACCAATCTGTAAGTAATTGTTTTATGTGGCCCAACTAAGACCTCCAGTCTTTATTTTCTTTTTTTATATTTCAGATCATCTTCCCGAGTCTATTATTTCTGGACAATGAGTGAGTGACCATGGTTTTACACTTCTTTTAGCAATAGTCCAACAATATCATGGCGGGGGATACCAGAAATGGGATTCACACACTGTACCTATGATGGGAATCGAACCTGGCCTTCGGTATGACGAGTGAACACTTTAACCACAAGGTTTCCCCACCAGCCCTATTTCTGGACAAGACAGACTTAGTGACTTACTCCTCCATCTGTTCAATGGCGTCTTCCGTCAAAGGGTTGGCGTATCGAAAACCCACATAGAACTTGTGAGGAGCTGAAAGACGTCAGACATTTCAATTCCAGGTGAGCTTCTATTTTACAGTAAACTAGGGTTATAACGAACTCAAAGGGTGCACGGGAATCACACACGCGCGAATACGGTGTTAGCGTTGGGCGTCTTAACGTGCGTGATTCCTGTGCACCCTTTCGAGTTGAGTTGATTGGTTCAACTGTGTCATATGGCCCTGTGACGCAGGGGTAGCATTATGCAGATGGATGTTTCAATGAATGCTAGTTCCTACCGTGACGAACAGGTCTGGTTGTTGATGAAATATAGTGATAGCTAAATAGACAGATTTTTTATTCATGCACCGATTGTTTTTAAATGTAATATCCAGTTATGTATGACTGTTTAATAATCTCATACCAACTTTGACCGGAGTAGGTCTGATAGTTTTTCAGATATTGTAGTAAACGTCGGTACCTTAAATTACCTTCCAGACTATACACATGCTGAAAGAGCTTCATTGGGTATTTACGTGAGCTGTTTTTATACATTTGAGTTTTTCATTTAATGCATGTGTTTCTGTACACAAGTTAATTGAAAGTTACTGGATTTTGAATATTTGGGGGGGGGGGGGGGGGGTATTTTACGCAAATACGGTGTTTATCTGTAGCTCTGAACTCACCTGTTTCTGGACTGATTTTGTCGAGGAGTTCCACCATGCCTCGTCCCTGTGTCTCCGTCCATCGCTTGATGGGAGAACCCCCGCCAATCTTGCGGTACTGAGTCTGTATGCTGGGCGTCCGCCGCCTGGCGATGTAGGGAGCCAGCTTACTACAACACATCAAACACAACTACTGAAACCTTTATCATGTTTATAACTTATTCTAGTGTCTGCCGCCTGGCGATGTAGGGAGCCAGCTTACTACAACACATCCAACATAACTACTGAAACGTTCATACCTCGTACTCATTTTAACATATTTAGCCTCACTGGCTTATGAAAATACCGCTCCTTGTTACATAGCTACATGTGTAGACATCAAAACTTTAAGGTCAAGAAGGAATACAAATTTCATAATAAGATTTGGTTGGTTGGTTGGTTTGTTGTTTAACGCCGCACTCAGCAATATTCCAGCTATATGACGACGGTCTGTAAATAATCGAGTCTGGACCAGACAATCCGGTGATTAATATCATGAGCATCGATCCACGCAATTGGGATCAATGACATGCATCAACCAAGTCAGAGAGCCTGACCACCTGATCCCGTTAGTCGCCTTTTACGACAAGCATAGCCACCTTTTACAGCAAGCATGGGTTGCTGAAGATCTATTCTACCCCGGATCTTCACGGGTCTTCATAATAAGAAGACCACTCATGTTACCAACACTACAGTCATATGGGTATATACTTATTTATACTCAATGTACAAACCTACCACTACTTTCAATAAAATCATGGATGGACATACATATGCTGTGGTTGACATGTCTTGTTAAATTCCTGTTACCATACAACGCTGTTTTCAGATCATAACCCTTTATGAAGAAGTACATGGTGTGTCTGATGCTATGATAAGAAGGAGGAGAGGCACTGAGGTGGAGAGTCCAAATAAAAAACGCACATGGTTTAATATATGAAATACAGTAAACTACGGTTATAACGAACACGCTAATAACGAACTGACCGATATAACAAACTTATTTTTTAGTCCCGGACATTTGTTGTATATGCTGTATATATGCTTATAACGAACTACGGTTATAACGAACTAAAATTAGTGGTCCCTTTGAGTTTGTTATAACCGTAGTTTACTGTACGTCTTTTAACTCTATGACTATTGAGATCACTGCATCCAATTCACATAACTCTTTCTTTAAGAAAATGAAGATAAGACTTAATATCCTCAGGGAAATTTCATATTGCACAGCTAATTAGCACTAGAATAAGAAAAAAAAGAAAATATATGACATTAAAATATGTACGTAAATAAAACACTAACTAATACAACCACAGGCAAAAACATGTTTCGTTTGTTTGTTTGTTTGTTGTTTAACGTCACACTTAACAATATTCCAGCTATATGACAGCACTCTGTAATTAATTGAGTCTGGACCAGACAATCCAGTGATTGACAGCATGAGCATCGATCCACGCAATAGGGATACTATGACATGCAAGAACCAAGTCAGCAAGCCTGACCACCCGGTCCTGTTAGTCGCCTCTTATGTTGTTTAACAGTGAAAGAATGGCATCTTCTACCGCTCTCCTGGCCATGTAGGCACACTCATGTGGGTCAAGTAAATATTCTGTCTGTCCTGGCATTTCATAAGTACAGGTCTCAAAGTGTAAATTTTTACCAAGTAGTCATATAGCTACAAGTATTTTTTTCCAGGTAGCCAGTGGCAAAATCAAAAAGTCAAGCAAATATTGTAGGTAGCCAAAAGCATTTGAAATTATCTTTTATCAAATAACTATTATAATATGTACAAGTCATAGCACTAGTCTTGGAATTGTAGATTAGTGGAAACTGTACTTGATTTTTGTTACTTGTGACTCAAACAATGATGTAATTTATGTTTCTAGATTATGTAGGTATATCCTTGCTTATCCGTTGAGCATTGTCAACTAAAATAAAGTACTGATCACATTAATATTTATGTACTTCGGTTCTTTGTCGACTTTAGGAGGAATTATTTGCAAGTACAAATATTAGCAGACATGTTTTCCAAGATCAGCTGTTATTTATTTTTGTGTCTACATACGTGTAGCAATAGAATTTAGTCGCCACAAGATATTTTTCAAGGTAGTCATTTGGCTGACAGTAGACAAACTGAAATTTAGGTCGCATTGGCGACCATTTTAGTTGCAACTTTGAGGCCAGAGGTATGGATGTCAAAGCAACGCGTCGGTAATTGTTATTAACTGAAGGATTTGAAAATTTTGGAAGAGGGATAACATTAGATGTCCTCCAAAGTAAAGGAATAACATTAATATGGATAGAAGTCTAAAATATGTTGTTGAAAACATGACAGAGTTGATCACGACATTCCTTCAACACCATACTGCATAGATTATCAGACCTGAAGCTTTTTCGTTGTTACTTTTGTAAAAGAATGTCCACCCATGAAGTCTGTTAACAAATTGGACTGATTAATATTTTCTTTATCATAATAGGTGTGTGTGTGTGTGTGTTAGCATGGTTAGTTTGTGTGTGTGTGTGTGTGTGTGTGTGTGTGTGTGTGTGTGTGTGTGTGAGAGTGAGTGAGTGAGTGAGTGAGTGTGTGAGTGTGTGTGTGTGTGCGTGTGTGTGTGTGTGTGTGTGTTAGCATGGTTAGTGTGTGTGTGTGTGTGTTAGTGTGCAGGTTTTGAGGTGAAAGTGGGTTTAACGTCACGACCAGGATTATTGCACTTATATAGCGACGTGCATGCATCCATGCGTGCATGTGTACGTGCGTGCGGGAGGACTGCTGCCGATTTATAGTGCTAGCTCACTGAGATACCATGCCGCAATTTAACATGAATTCCCCACATTATACTTACTCCAAGCCGACCAGTCTGTGTGTATGTGTGTGTGTAGGTGTGTGTGTAGGTGTGTGTGTAGGGATGTGTAGGTGTGAGTGAGTGAGTGAGTGAGTGAGTGAGTGAGTGAGTGAGTGAGTGTGTGTAGGTGCGTGTGTCAGTGCGTGCGTTCACCAAGTTACCTCTGTGCAGGCAGGGGAATGAGATCCTTGTCCAGGAAGAGTCGCAGCAGAAAGTCGTGGACATCTTCCGTCTTCTCCGGACCTCCCAGGTTCAACATGAGGATACCTGTCTTGGGCTTGCCACTGAAAATGAGGAAATTGGAACTAAAATAATGCTTCATTCCACATATGATGCACACTGGATTAGGGCCGGCTAGCAATTTACATCTTAGAGATCGATAATCGTTAACTATATAACAATCAATTATCGATAAATAACAGAGAAAGTAACTTTGAGCAAATATGAAAAAAGGTCAGAGGCAAAACAACATATTTCACGTCACTGGTGACACATTTTTGCATGGATTACTTTGATGACATTTAAGATATAATGAAATCCATTGCTGCCGTCTTCGGTAATGGTGAAAAACAAGTCTGCTTCGGTAAATAAAGGCAATGTTTCGGTATAGATCGGTATACCGTTGTCAAGCAAGACCTACGTCATCAGGTACGATGACACGCACTCAGCCTCGCCACCCAGCATAACACCGGTAATACATTGTAGTTGACTCTAAAGCAAGCTTGGAGTCCTCAGGACCTGTACTGCCACGGAATCTACCCAGGCCAGGGAATATTCCACATGTGTATTACCCCGATGCAAAACATTTATGTGTTAGGATCTGAGCATTTTTCCACAGAGGGTTGCATCAGGACAACCATAAACAAGCTTTGACTGCCCAATCTAAACTAAGGATCGGTTCTTGAGCTTAGATGTCAGCTTCTAAAACAAATCATTCACCTTCATTTCCTTAAATTTCAATTTTAACAACAGAAAACCGACAGTAAGCCAGTGTTTAAAATACCCGCCCGACAGTCCAAGATGGTCTATTTTGCTGACGGACGATCAGTTTTGAAAAAGTTTTGTTAAAGTTACAAAGTTGACAATCCACAAGATTATTGTTACTTTCTGAGAACTAACATTAAACAGTATTATTCTCATGTTTACTTTATTTGTTAGTCTAGAAATGTCAGAACAGACATTTTATCTGGTCTTGGAACTTTGCAATGTTGCCAGTCCGGTTGTCTGACTGTTTTGGAGAATTTGATACACTGACAGAGCACAAACATTCCTTGATGCACTCCATTGGGGAATCCTCCAGCGGAGGTGTGACATCAGAGGACTGCTTGTCATGGCTGACAGGGAGGAAACTGATGACACAACCAGTATCTTTGTAAACATGGTACATGATTTCAATTCTTCTTCACAAAGGTTACAATTTCAATCCAGAACATAATTATTCAGTTAAAATAATCTTCATGAGTGAGTTTGGTTTAACACCACATAGAACAGTATTTCAGTCATATGAAGGTCTTGGACATTAACCACTTTCAATTTTCGAAATTGAGCAGGAAAGTCAGAAGGTCCTTGCCAACTAAAGGAGCAAACTTCAAGGTCTCGGGAACCCCCTTAATTTCTGACGTGGACTTTGGTAGGGCTGGCCATCGATGCAGATCATAGAGATCGATAATTGTTAACCAAATATCAATCAATTATCGATAAATATCAGAGAAGTATCTTTGAGTAAATGCACAAAAAAAACCTGAAGGAAATCAACATGTTTCACTCCACTGGTATGTGGTGGCACATTTATGCAGGGATTACTTTGTGGACATTTGAGACATAACATATTCAGCAATTGACATTATTGACAATAACAAGTCAGTTATGGTGAATCTAAACTTAATTTCATCACCTTAGTTTATGTAAGGTATTATCAATGACACAATTTTCATATCAATAATCGTTAAGATTTCTTTCCATTGATGAAAATTCTGGTTATCAATCTTTTTTGCCAGCCCTAAATTTTGGTGAAGCCAACAAGCAAGGGTATGACACTAACCAACCCAGACACATAATCAGGGCGAAAGAGAGATTCGAACCAATGATCACAGAACCATGCACACCTGAACCAACTGGGCTACCTGTCTCCACCATAATCTACTGTTTAGGTAATGAATAAAGTGCAAAATAAACCAACACAATCTATTTGTTCACTGTTTAATGCTGCACTCAGCAATATTCCCGCTATATTGTGTGGTTGCCTGTAAATGATCAAATCTGGACGAGGCAACCATTGTGAACCAAGCCATCAGGTCACGTTGACCAAGTCACCGAGCGTGACCACTCACCAATTGATGACAATCACAGGCTGCTAGGGACCTGGACTAACCTAGACTGAGTGAGGATGGTTTAACGCATATTTTAGCAATACTCCAGCGATACCATGGTGGGGCCAGTGTTCAAAATAATGATAAAACCCACCATAACAGTAGGGCAGGTGAACCATAAGTGTTGACTACCATCTTCAAAGTTGCCTGCCCACATTATTAATATTAAAAAAAATCGCAAAAACTAAAAGACACAATCACTTCTTGATTCAGCTGACATAAAGCAAACAATTAGGAGTTAAAAAAAACTGGATATGTAACTAAATACAGCGTTGGCACTAGTCCTATAGCCCTTGTCAAACTGCCCAATAGTAAAGGTATCATAAGGACTAGTAGAAATTTGCCATTTTTAGAGGTTTTGCTATATGTTATCATTATAAGGACTAGTGGGCCTAAACTGTTAGTTTCTATCGCTGAAATAGTCTTAAAATTACCTGCCAGGCAGTCGGGCAGGTGGTGAACATTTCAGGCTGCCGGACAGAAAGGCTACCACACAGGAAGGCAGTTATTTTTGACACTGGGGGGAGCACACGAGAAATGGGCTTCATGCAGTGTACCATGTGGGGAGTAGAACCCGGGTCTTTGGCGAGATCAGCAAATGCTGTAAACAGAGGGCTACCCCCCCACCCCTTATCTTAACCTGGACTCCCCAGGAGGGCTGCTATACAGGTAGGCTTCCCCAGATGTAATACAAGCAGTGCTGCATTAGTGAGTGAGTGAGTGAGTGAGTGAGTTGGGTTTAACGCCACTTTTAATGGTATTCCAGGTATATCACGGATTGTCAGCTTAATGTGGGAGGAAAGCCCGACGTGATGGATGCAGGTCTCAGATGTTTACCAGTTCGGTGAAACCCACGAGCATGGGTATGGTGCTGACAAACCTAGAAACATAATCAAATCAGGAATCGAACCCACAATCATAGATTTCTGGCGTGCCCAAGGGACGCAACCCTGCACAGCGAATCGTGGTGCCTTAGATGACGTGGCCGCCCGTGCCCCCGCATTAGAGAAGGGAGGCCACCTCATATCATGATAACAATGTACCAGTATTTTATTTATGTTGATACTGTATTAATACAAATTTATCAATGTTAATACAAAAGCAATATTTCACTGACACAGAAATGCTTATGTTTATTAATATTACCACAGCTAAGATGGACAATGAGAAAGCAGAAAATTCAATATTAAACATTTAATAGATGAGACTAGTTTCATAGAGAGCATTTAATAGCAGATCTCCAATGGTAATTGATCAATAGACATGCAGACTAATAAAAACATGTTCTTAATTGATATATCGGGATACTTCTGAGTCGATATACTGTAAATCTGGGAATTAATGCATCTCCAAATTAATATGACTGCTGCCCCCTTGCCAAAAATGCAACTCAATATCAATGCGACTCCCCGACCCCATCCCCAGTGGAATGATGCATAGCCTGTACTTAATCCAATCAAACAGCAAATAGCAACACTTATTAGCACTTCCGTAAAAACAGTAAACAGTGTTTTCCTAAAAACAACACACAGCATATATGTTTACTCTGTTGACTGGCATTAAGGAAGTTCAAAGGCAATAAAATAATTGAACCAACAGTTCACTGATTGGTATGCAGATAAGGTGTCAACAAGCTTGACACGAGTGGGTAGAACTTTTGACCCCGGATGCCTATTGTGTAATTCCTATTCTTTGTCTGACATTGCGATATACTTGTTACAACTACTGCTCAATAAACCATGTTTGTGTTGGTATTTCCGCTATCCAGAGTGTGCAGTGAGGCCGTCTTGTTGTTGCTAGTCATGTGGAGACATAAATGCGAAGTTAATTAATGCGAGCAAAGAACACCTGCATTTATCGCATTTAATTCACGCTCGCGTTAATTTCAAGATTTAGAGTATATACCAAGACCATAATTTCCATGAATGCCACATGCATTACCTGTGTGAGCTGGAGTGCCTCCTGGTGTCGCCAACTTGGAGGGTGGGGGCACACAGAGCCGGGGACACGCCCACATTCCTCCCACCCCCACTCTTCTGAAGCCATCCTGCAACCAACAAGAGTCAACTTATCCCTGTGCTCAACATAGATTTTTCAATATGTTTGCAAAGCGGAGCAAAACCATTCTCTTGATGGTGACAATTTGAACAAATAAGTTGGTAAATGACTACTACTACTACTACTACTACTACTACTACTACTACTACTTTATATGGCACTGTCCTCCATGCATAAGCACGCTCTAAGCGCTTGGACGTTTATTACCCCGGTCAATGGAGAACTACTACTACTACTACTACTACTACTACTACTACTACTACTACTTTATATGGCACTGTCCTCCATGCATAAGCACGCTCTAAGCGCTTAGACGTTTATTACCCCGGTCAATGGAGAACAATCATTCTCAGCTCCCTGGGGAGTACATAATGCATTTCAACTTCTTTATTCTTTCCTAGTTCCTGGTTAATCTTCATCAGCATTTAATCACAGCTACATTAATATATATACTGCATACATATTATATTGGGTATTTTTTTTTCTAAGGAGTCATTTGGATCGAGCAAGACGGCGGTCTGTAAATAATTGAGTCTGGACCAGACAATCCAGTGATTGACATCAAGAGCATCTATCCACGCAATTGGAATATGATGACATGCATCAACCAAGTCAGCAAGCCTGACCACCCAATCCCGTTAATCGCCTCTTACGACAAGCATAGTCGCCTTTTAGGGCAAGCATGGGTTGCTGAAGACCTATTTTACCCCACATCTTCACGGGTCCGGTATGTTTAGAAACCAGTGATGTCGTGAGATACTGAATACTTCCCCAAACTAAGTTGTTTTGTTTGTTTGCCCGTTTGAATTTTTATTTCATTTCAACTATCATGTAATTGTCCAGTGAAAATGCAAAGTTTGTCAGCAATCTTTATTAATCTGATTAAACAAACAATCATCAATACATAACCACTACCAGTCACTAAATGTTTCATCTCTTGTTTCCAATTTTTTAAACAAAAACTTGCCACCCCAAAAAATAAATATACTCTTCAAAAAAAGAAACTTGACACTGACTTTCAAAATGTAATTATAATACGATTGTTTCAAAATAGGACACAGAAACCATAATTGAAACACTGTTTGAAGATCAATGTACACAATGTTCAAAACATTAATCGTGTCACCTAGACAGACACACGTACACGATACAGTTAATGTCACAGGGGTACAGAAAATGTCAGTATCGGTTGTGCCCACCACGTGCATCAATCACCGCTTGACACCCGACGATCCATAGATGCAATCAAGTTGTCAATAACACGCTGTTGGATGTGCTGCCATTCATGCTGAAGCGCATCAAGAAGCGCTGGAAGTGTTTGGGGCGTTGGATTCCTTCTGCGAACGTGTCGATCCAACTCATCCCACAGATGCTCAATGGGGGACAAATCTGGTCACCGGGCTGGCCAAGGTAATGTTGGATGTTGTTGTGCTGTAAGAAGTCCTGACAAACACATGCAGTATGCAGTTGAGCATTGTCCTGCTGGAACTGGTCGCCATGAACGTTGACGTGAGGAAGAACGTAAGGCTGTAGGATCAAGTTTCTGTAACGCACACCTGTCAATGCACGAGGCGTCCTACCACTGTGATGAATTCCGGCCCATACCATGACACTCCCGCTGCCAAATGGGACAACCTGCAGCACACAGTTGGGGGCGTAACGTTCACCCCGACGTCTGTAGACACGTGTGCACCCATCAGCACGTGTGAGTAGGAAATGGGACTTGTCAGTAAACAGTACATTTCTCCACCTTGCACGTGCTCATCTAACCCTCTGTTGGCACCAAAGCAGATGGTCCGCCAGATGACGTGGGGCCAATACATGACGTCGAACAGGTCTTTGTGCAAAAAGTCCAGCCTCCCTCAGTCTGTTGCGTACTGTTTGATCTCATATTCTGCGTACCCCAGGGATCTGTGTGGTTGTAGACGTGGCAGTGGTAGTGCAGTCTCGGAGGTGTCGCAGCCGGATGTATCGATCTTGTGCTTGGGTTGTCACCCTTGGTCTTCCTGACCTTGGTCTGTCGTCAACTCTGTTGGTGTTGTTGTATCGGGTCCACAGTGCGGAGATTGTCTGTCTGGATACGCCAAAGTGCCTGGCCACTTCTTGCTGAGTTGCTCCAGCTTGTAATCTCCAAATGGCCTTGTTCCATTGAGCTGCATTCAGTCTTGGCATTCTGTCACCGCCTCTACTGCCGTTATAAGGACTGTATGAACAGCCATGATGTGGATTTTTATACCCATTCAGCAGGGGGGCCTGCATGCCTAAATGCAGGATCCTGTGCTGCACGTTTTTTACAGGCGGTTGCGTTTGCATGGTTTGGATGAAGCTGTAAAATAGCCTGCATGCCTAAATGCAGGATCCTGTGCTGCACGTTTTTTACAGGCGGTTGCGTTTGGATGAAGCTGTAAAATTGATCCCCAAACGCTACGTTTATGTGCCTTGCATGTGTTTTTGCGAATTATAGACACATCATCTTTCTGTTTGACTTATTTGGTTCTCATTTAATGTAATTATTTTAGATATTTGGCAAAAAGTGGTTTTACATCTATGTCAAGTTTCTTTTTTTGAAGAGTATATATTTGTCAGTGGATTTGAAGATACTTTTCCCAAGATATCACCAACATAGTGTACACGGTTGAAGTATAAGAAATAAAGTATGTCTAAGATAAATTATTTTCAATTAAAACAGCATTATAATTTTCTTTAAAGTATAGATTTTTCATCTTTACGAAACCACAAAAAATGGAACTGTCGAGGTATAGCAAAAACATCACTGAACTTTACACACAACATATAAATAGGCAATTCTAGATTTTGATTTATTTAATACAGGTATGTTACAAATATATGACTCAAATGTACCATGTGACCTCTCTTGGCCACGCCCACTGCAGCTTAAAGTCTTAAGAAATGGTGTCCAAGGCCCTGGTGATTACTGCTAAGTTTTGCTGAATATAATGAACGGCATGGTATCAGATGCAAATTGGAATCGGGTGCAAAAACTAAATTTGACCTGAAAAAGGCATTTCTGAACAGTGCTTAAAATTACAAAAATATTAGAAGTGGGACAAATTTAACATATTTAAGGGATTGCGGGTCATGCAAAGCCAGAATTTTATTTCAACGTGTCCAAGCTTGTTAGTGAGTATTAATACCTGTGTGATATATTTTATTAACACATGTCACTCAAATTGACAACACACTGGAAACAATGGATGAACAGCTGCTGAGGCTGTGATACGGCTGACAATAGGTCTACTGCATCACTCGACAAACGTCCCAAGTGCTGAATGTACAGATAAACTGCCTGATGAAATCTTTACTGCTGCTAATAAAGACACCACATTATATTTTCCTGATTGAAAATTAGATAGCATTGATAAAAAGTAATATCAGAACATGAATGACGTTGAAATATACAATGTAAAAGTAATATGCTTTGGACATAACTCCAGATTTTCAGAATCAATACTTATCAGATTGAAACATGTGATCAATTGTTGTCCTTTTATGAAATCCAGTACAGAGTTTAGCCTATATTGAATTGAAACTTAGAAGCTGAACAAGTCATGCTTGAAGCAACATGTGCTGGTAATTTGAAACCTGAGTATAGATTTTCAGGTACGCTTTCTGGTCCTTTTATGCAACATATCGTTAAATAGTTACATACATATCAAAATATTTACAAACAAATATAAAGCTAAAGACAGAATTACAGCAAACCACGTCTCAGATTTATGTGGGATCAAAGACACGTGAAACCGAGGAGGATAGGTCTGGTGCTCACAAACCTAGAAACATAATTAGGGTGAATCTGGGATTTGAACCAACAATAACAGGATGGAATGTTTCAGAAACGCAACTCCTCACAATTAGTACCATCAGTTAACAATAGCAGCGTTAGAAATTAGCACTAGTCCTGTAGTCCTTGTCGAACTGCCCAATAGTTAAGGTATCACAAGGACTAGTAGAAACTTGCCACTTTAAAGGGGTTTGCTATGTGTTATTATTATAAGGACTAGTGGACTAAAACGGTTAGTTTCTACCACTGAATAGCCCATTTGTTAACACTAAATTGTCAAAAACTGGATTCTAAGAGCCAAGTCCGGCCTTGTAGACTCAAAAGCTTTTTGGCACAGATTGTAATCCTAAAGACTAGTGCTGTGACGGGTTCCAGGGTGGGTCCTAATTAGCACCCGGGTACCCACAGGACTTCCCAGACCCTGGTTAGTCATGTGATACATTGTTTAAGACAAAAACTCACTACAGCTCAGTGGTTTCACTAGAAGTCGTTAATGTTTGCATTTCTCTCTGACAATGCACATGTAGCGGCCATAAAATTTCCGAGTCCCATGATGTGATTTGAACCACGGACCTTCTGATCTGAGGTCGGACGCCTTGTCCACATGACCAAAGAGGTTAACTACGTCAGCAAGCTGACAAGGTAAGGATGTCATCTGTGGGATGACTCCACGCCCCCTGCTAAATACTCCCTCGTCAACAGAAGGCACGTCTTGGGCCGCATCGTAGGGTACTGAGGCTTATTTTGCTCAAATTTAATATGAATGTGCTCAGCCCCACGTTGGGCGCCAATGTAGCAGCCATAAAATTTCCGAGTCCCGTGATGGGATTCGAACCACGGACCTTCTGATCAGAGGTCGGACGCCTTGTCGACATGACCAAAGAGGTTAACCCCTTCTGACTTGTATATGTTTGAGTGAAGACAAAGCTTCAGTCAACTTCAGTGAAAGCATGATCTCATCGTTTGTATCTGAATAGTTTGGGCCAGGGTTACAGTAAAAAAAATCCTAATCAGACATTTTGTCTCAAACTCCTGACACCTACAGCAAGTACCAGGGTAGGGTCAGGTAATAGGGGTTTGGGTTTGTTGTTTAACGCCGCACTCAGCAATATTCGAGCTATATGACGGCGGTCTGTAAATATTTGAGCCTGGACCAGACAATCCAGTGAGTGATATCATGAGGATGGATCCACGCAATTTGGATCGATGACATGCTTCAACCAAGTCAGTGAGCCTGACCACCCGATCCCGTTAGTCGCCTCTTATGGGAGGCACAGTTGCGTTTTAAGGCAAGCATGGGTAGCTGAAGACCTATTCTACCCCAGATCTTCACGGGATATAGGGGGTCGGGTACCTGGGTTGTAAATTTGGACTCGTCCCAGCCCTACTAAAGACCATAATCATCAGGCCTTGAAAAATTATTTTGAGTTGATCATCCCTGCCGGCATCACTAGAAAACACATCACATTACTGCCTGTCCCCAAGAACCTACAGACAAAGAGTATCCCTTCTTTCTTTATATACTTGCACACCGTAATTTTGAACAGTTGACATATTTTGAGGGATGAAAGAATCCAATCATAAATTTGTCTTCAACAACAGAATTTAGTTAGAAAAATAATCCTTGATAAACAGGACAAAGGCATGATCTCACTGCCTCCTCTGTAAACTTTCGCTGCACAGGAGTCACATTACCGTATTCGACGTAATAAGCGCCCCGCTCTAATAAGCGCCCACAGCGATATTTGCTGATATATTGGATAGTGAACTATCCCAATAAGCACTCCTTCAGATTGATCAATGTACACAAGACTTATTTATTCGTTGAATACGGTACCTGTTTTTAACAAGCTGGATGGGTGAAATCTCGGCAGCTTTCATAATGTCATACCTAACTGTAACCTCATATAACCAGATATATCAGTATCAATATGGTTGTTCGAAAACATGTGTCATTCAAAACAGGGTAATCAACGATATAGAAGTGCTATGAAACATTCATGCTTCATGTGAAGGGCATGCTTCGACATCTGGTGCAGTTTGTTTGTTGTTTTTTAATGTAGCACTCAGCAAAATGTCTGCTGTAAATAATCAAGTCCAGACCAGCTATCCAGTGATTTACATCATGAGCAATGATCCATCCCTTCGTTGTTTGATGACTTGCAAGTCACTGAGCCGAGTTGTCGTGACGAGTTCTAACCCGGAATCTCCATGGTATGTACCATCTATACACCGATACTATGAACATTAGTTTAAAAAAAAGTATTTCTGAAAAATATGGATGAAACTCGAATAAAACATATTTATTGTGACCCTATAGAGATCTATTTCAGCGATAGAAATTAAGTTTTAGTCCACTAGACATTATAATGATGACATAGATCTATAGCAAAACCCTAAGAAGGGCAAATTTCTACTAGTCCCGTGATACCTAACTATTGTGCAGTTTGGCAAGGACTACAGGACTAGTGCCAATTTCTAACGCTGTATTTCATAACAAAATTAATATTCAACATCTATCACAGATGAACGTTATGTGCATGACCTTCCAACTTGTCTGGGTACAGAATCTACAATACGATAGATCGTTTGGGTCGTAAAGTAGGACTGTTACATATAACGCTCTTCACTTGAACACATCATCAAATTCCGCACTGCGAGGTCGTATTGTGGAACTTGTTTGCTCGACCGTGACGGAGTTGCATGTGACGTTGCCGTCGTTGGTCTCTGTTAGTGTTAATATGTTGACACATAAATGGCCATGCATTGACTGACTTATCTTCAATTCGCTGTCAAATCCTAAATGAGTGTATCCTCAGATCACAAACAGACACATTTTAAATTTTGCAAAGTCATTTTTTAACAAACTTACCTGTCAACCCCTGTCTCACAAACTTCGCCATGCTGAGCCGGTGTTTATGTCAACAGTGCGCCCTCTGCTGAGTGTGCAAGAGAAGATAATCTTAGATTCACACAGAGTTAGTTCCCCTACACCATTACGTGAAAGTAATATTATTCTTGGGAAGGATTTTACGCTGCATTTAGTAGTTAAACAGTTTGCTGATATAAGTCGAAATAAAATCACAAAATATGTAAATCTAAAGGATTTGTGAGCGAAAATCGCCAAATCTAACCCCTTGTCGATTAATTGGAGATACATTTGGAAGCCTATAATGTATAATATATAACTTTTAATTCATTATGATTGTGAAAAACGTCTTGAAATTCTTGATTCTATTTTCACCCTGGACTATCCAGTGTATTATATATCCATACCATTATATTTGTCAAAATGGAGATATGTTACAGTCAATGAGCAAACTGAGTGTAATTTTCACTTAGGCAATTTACAAAACGGCACACTATTTCAATCAGTTTAGAGTTATTTCCCGTCAGACTGACTTAAAGTTATTAAGACGTCCAAAAGGGGTTAAAAGTCACAATAGACTGGGATAAAAAGCTCGAAACATATAAAAAATATACATTGACTTTCGTTTTCCTTTAATCCTATCATTTTCAGTCACTGAGTGATGAAATAGAGCATAAACATGTTTGGTATTCGTTACCTGAATATAATAAATGGAAAACTAATCGTAAAATGTCTGACATATTTTGGACTGTTGTAAATTGCCAAAGTGAAAACTTCAGCCATTTTACACATTGACTGTGGGTATCATGTTAAATATAATAATACACTGGATATTTTAGGATTGTAAATATACCATCGTGCAACAAAACGGAGATAAAATGGCAAAATAATAGTGTTTTTTTTATCTATTATTTGTGTTTGTTTTATTTAATATCCCTTATGAACATAGGTGGGTTTTATGCCACAAGGGACCGTCTCTTATTAATGACTCAACTATACAAACATAATAACTTTCGGGACTCCACAACATGTAGGTGGTGCGTCGTGTATCATATATATTTATCAAACGGTCACTCCGTTTTCGAATATTTAATACACATTTAAGGTAAAATAAAATAAGCGCCAATTACTTGAAAACGTTTATTCCATAAAATACCTGTATGACGTCATCGAGAAAATGACGTCATGAATTGAACATCATGGAGGCACTGCCGAGTCGGCTGTCGAGCTACAACCTTTGAATACAAAGAAGGTACGGTTGTATACTGATCGTAAATTATGTGTATTCTGCCGACATTACTTTGCCACTAAGATCATTGTAGAGAGATTTATTTCGACGTTTCGTTATATTTCATTTGTTTCAGTTGATTACGTCACATTTCCATGGCTAATACAGTATTCCCGCCAAATGACGATTGTGCCATATGTGTCTTCTGACTGTCGTATGGTTTGCATCGAGTAAGTATAAGAATGTGACTCAAAACGAGATATACAATTGTATACGTAAGTTATTGTAGATCTATTATTAGGTGTAAGTACCCCGAACAGTCTCTAATTGCCCCATTTAGCATACCATGGTTTTCGATCTGGATCAACTTATAAAATCGCGACTCGTGTGTGTAATCCGGAAGGGATATTATAGTCCTTACAACCCAAACAAACAACGACAAACCTAACCAACGTGCGACATTGGCACTCGGCGACAACGCGACATTTTGACCAATTATAACATTGTTGTATTTTGGTATTGTCGTGTTTTAAATATTTTGGGCTTTGTATAATATATTTTTTGTTTTATACCAAAGGGCGACAATGCTCTTTCTGGGATTCCATACCCGTGTCCCTAATTTTCTTGCCGGTATGAAAAATACACTTTTAGAAGTTTTTATAGTGATGGGCGGTGGGGTAGCCTAGTGGTTAACGCGTTCGCTCGTCACGCCGAAGACCACGGAGCGATTCTCGACATGGATACAATGAGTGAAGCCTATTCCTGGTGTTCCCGCCATGATATTGCTGGAATATTGCTAAAGGCGGTGTAAAACAAAACTCAATCACTCACTCTTATAGTGTCAGGAAATATACATTTTATTTTAAAAACAACCCAAAATATTATTGTATCATAATAATTATATAACACTCAAATAATAGAATGTGACCACCATGGTGTGTCCTGGGTAACGTCGCACTCATCACGCTATTCCAGTCACATGACAGCCGCCTGTAAAGAATCAAGTCTGGACCAGGCAATCCAATGATCGATAATATATTATTATAATTGGATTTCTGTTATCAATGTTGTGAGCCGCGATCCATGCCGTCTGGGTACGATGACACACTCAACCAAGTCTGACCATTCGAGCCATTTGGTCGTCTTTTACGATCAGCATATTGTTGCTGGGATACCAATTCTAAACCGAAATCCCCGCGTCTTTCTTTTAATGACGAAATGGGAATTAATTCTTTCGCCTGCATGCTTGTTTGTTGTTGAACGCCGCATTTAGCAATATTACAGCCTTACCATTAGTTATAACACCCCCTCTTCCAAATATTGTAAGGTTTTATCTTTTAGACAGACACAGGAAATTGACAACCAAAGTGATGGATCTCGTTGTCTGTGCAATAATAGAAACGACATCCCACAATATCGAACATATTTTTCATTACAGCTGTTACTCCGATCTTCTTTGTATTTAGCATCTTAACGAAAAGCGTTCAGCAAATACGCTTTTCTTCGATTACTCTTACAAAATCAACTAACGGGATCGGTGGTCAGGCTCACTTGGTTGATGCATGTCATCGTATCCCAATTGCGTGGATCGATACTCATGTTATCAATCAATGGATTGTCTGGTCCAGACTCGATTATTACACAGACCGCCGTCACAGAGCTGGGATATTGCTGAGTACGGCGTTAAACAACAAACAAAGAAAGTGCGAAGTCAAATATCTGAAGTAGAGCTCGTGCAAAACATGTCGTGAAAATCCTATTTTGCAATGTGTGTATTTCAATGACCCGGGCCCACTTGCACAAAGCGATCTTAGCGCTAAGATTATCTTAAGCCTATGTTAAAGTATGGGAGTTACAATCATCTTAGCGATAAGATCGCTTTGTGCAAGTGGGCCCAGGTAGTGAACAGGTGTACCTGTTAGCTGGTTCCCGACTCTATATGTGCGTCGTCAACTTATGATATCAAGAGACAGGACCCAGCTTAGACACCATTGGAAGAAATATTTTGTACCGTATCACGTTTAATTTTAATCCACGTGTTTCCATTCGTGCGTGCGCGCATAATATCAGAATTACAACAAAAAGCAGCTTGACAACAATGGTCAATGACATCACATAGGCGGATTCAGACAAACATTGCCATTTCACCTACCGCCTGTTTCAAAATACTGAATGTGGTGATAATTTCAATTTATTTCCGGGTTTCTTTGCACGTGATAAGCAGGTGTTGACATTGACATCGTTTTATCTTGTTCTTTTCTCCCCGTGGGATTCCGGGTCGGGCCCCAGCAACCGAAGCTGGTTGTAAGAGGCGACTACTGGATCGGGCGGTCTGATCCAATCACTGGATTGTCTGGTCTAAATTATTTACAGACCGCCGTCAATTAGCTGGAATATTGCTGAGCGCGGCGTTAAACAGCAGACAATAAACAACAACAATTAATGTAGTTATCAAGGTAACTGTTTGACTTCAACAGGCGTCTATCTCTGCTTCGCTGTTACCAGACCACCACTGAAGAAGCTGCTTGGTAAGTGAGTGAAAAGGTTTAACACCGCTTTCAGTGAGTGAGTTAAAATGTAACGTCGCATCGGCGTTATTTCAGCCACATAGCGACTACACCGCTTTGAACAATATTTCAGTTATATCACAGCGTGTCAGCTTGACGTTGGAGGAGAGCCTGTTGGGATGCAGGTCTCAGACGTTTACCACCCTCAGTGAAACCCACGAGCATGGGTATGGCGCTGACAAACCTAGAAAAATAATCAGGGCGAATCGGGATTCGAAACCACGATTTTCATGCTGCCTTAAACCACTCGGCCACCATGTGCCCTGCTAGGGTTAGAACAGGTCTTCAGCAACCCATGCTCGCCGCAAAAGGCGACTAACGGGATTGGGTGGTCAGGCTCGGTGACTTGGTTGATGCATGTCATCGTGTCCCAAATGTTTAGATCGATGCTCATGATGTCAATCACGAAATTGTCTGGTTCAGACTCTATTATTTACAGACCGCCGTCATATAGCTGCAATATTGGAAATAACAAACAAACAAACAAGGATAAGCCACCTTATGTGTGTTGGTTTTATTCACGCATGCCACTTCGAAAACAATATTCATTTTTCGGAATATCTTTTCCAAAGTGAGACGTACTCTAGTTTGAAACACATTTTGTTTGATCGATTTAATTATCATGGCAATGAGGTCTTCTTTCCTCGTGCTCAGCGTTTTTTATGTAAAAGAGTCTCAGTTCGGAGCTGAGGCAAGGGGTGTGATTAAGTATGTCAATAGATAACCAGTTCTCTCATGCCTTTGGCGATATCAGACTTCTGGGTACACAGTTGACTCCCTAAATCTCGAATGACATGCCGACCTTGAACCAAATCGTCGGTTACAAACGTCTCCTAATACAAGTCTCATTATAGCTGTAAAATGGAAATTGTCAATTTGTCTCTCATTCGGTTTGCCGTGATCTGATGGAATCTATTTAAGATAGCTGGCAAGTATATTTTTAAGACTTCATTTCAAGCGTTTCGAATTCTGCGGGATATTTCGCTACAATATTGAGAGGGACACTTTCTTTACAGCCATTTCCCGAATATATTTTACGTGCGCTTCAGTTACTACAGTGTGCCTATGTTGGCCTCATGAAGATCGTCGAAGAAAAGGTCGTCAGCAACCCATGCTTGCCGTGAATGGCGACGATGCTTGTCGTAAGAGGTGACTAACGGGATCGGGTGGTCAAGGCCCGCTGACTTGGTTGATGCATGTCATCGTATCCCAATTGTGTGGATCGATGCTCATGATGTCAATCACTGGATTCTCTGGTCCGGACTCGATTAGTTACAGACCGCCGCCATATAGCTCGAATATTGCTAAATGCGGCGTTAAACAACACACAAACATATCATAGGTTGTACATCACTCTAAACACTGAATATAGTATGTAGTGTCATTTAAATTATGAGAGGAGCGAAAGTTTGTTTTCAGTGATCACCCTCTCTCTAGCACTACAAAGTTGTCCAGGTTTTTCTAAGTTACCAAACAGAGCGTTTCGGCGCCGTGTTGGTTTTTGTAACGTTTCCTGTTTTGGTTGTCTAAAAAAGGCAGCATACGGGACTCGTGAACATTTTTCGTAAGGTCATTTGTCCCCGTCTTTATTTAAGTCAGGCGTTGATTTGACTTTTGAATAGGATCAGTTATTTACACCTTCATATTGTGAGAATGGGTTTATATTTAAACGTGTATAGGTTTTCATTCGCCGGCATTTCTGTCAAAACCATCTGCATTGCTTCGGGAGGATTTGCCAAACTATCGGCTACAATGCTTTCTGTGTACTATCAAACTAGTAAGGATGGGGCCAAATGGTTGCCTTGTGACGTCTACATGGGTTTAGTGATACCAGCTGGCACTGTCGCGAGTATGGTGCTGACAAACCAACTATACTAATCAGGGCGAATCCACGACCAGCTGTTCGTCGCTGTTTTAGGGACGTATTCATGTGAATACTGATATACACCTTCAACTGTTTACGACATTAAGAGAACCACATCCATAAAGCGATCTTGGGATGTGGTGAGGTTAAATGGTGTTAAACGTCGCGTCCAGGATTATTGCACTTATATAGTGTTTGTTTGTTTGTTTGTTGTTTAACGCCTCAGTCAGCAATATTCCAGCAATATGACGGCGGACTTATATAGTGACGTACATGCACATGTGTGTGCGTGCGCGTGTGTGGCTGCTTGTGCTAGTCCGGACTGATGCCGATTTCTAGTGCTAGCCCACTGAGATACCATGACGCAGTTTAACATGAATACCCAGCTCAGACACAGAATACTGACTCCGAGCAGATCAGGGCCCACTTGCACAAAGCGATCTTAGCGCTAAGATGATCGTAACTCCCATACTTTAGCACAGGCTTACAATAGTCTTAGCGCTAAGATCGCTTTGTGCAAGTGGGCCCAGTGCTTGTTTTAGCCCCTTAATGTCGAGCGCCAGACAGGGTAACAACAATTTAAGTACGATCTTTTAACGTCGTTTGGTATGGCGCGGCCTGGGATGGAACACCTGACCTTGCGCTCTCCGGGCGGGCGCTCTACCGCTAGACCACGGAGGCGGTCAAAGGCGACTGTAACTCCCACACTTTAAAACTGTTTGTTTGTTTGGTTGGTTGTTTGTTTGAACGGGTTATGAACGAAAAGGGGTATGGTTTGGCAGACTCAGACATAATCTGGGTGAATGTGGGATTTTAACCTTCCATCACCGGATCCTGAGGCGATTGAGAGACGCAACCTTATTAGCGAAAACAATTTGTAAGCCCGTGTCTCTGCATGATCTATTGCTGCTGTGAAGAGCCTAACTATCTGCATCGGATCAAAGCTCATCCCGAAATTATCATGTAAAAGTGGACCCCGTTATTACGAATCTCGTGCAGCCGAGCATCACCTCAGTCGTTTGGACGCATTAATTGGCCGTTGCCACATATATTCGTCCCCAACGTCGTCTCAGCGCTATGATTGCTGTAGGTTTATGTTAAAGTATGGGAGTAACGATCGTTCAAGCGCTCAGGGGGCCGTTGTACAAAACAACCTTGGCGCTACGACTGTCGTAAGTCTATGTTAGTGTATGGTAGTTAGTGTATGGTAGTTAGTGCTAAGGTCGCTTTGCACAACGACACCGAGATTACTTTGTGGGCCAAGGAAGCAGATGCAGGGACCACGTGAAAATCCGGGTTACAATAGGTCTTCAGCAACCTGTGCTTGTCGTAAGGGGCGACTAACGGGAACGGGTGGTCAGGCTCGCTGACTCAGTTGCGTAGATGTTTGCTCATGATGTCAATCACTGGTTTGTATGGTGCAGACTCGATTATTTACAGACCACACTCATATAGCTGGGATGTTACTGAATGCGGCGTTAAACAACACAAACAACAACATATGCATGTTTATGAATTATTCAGAGATTTAATGTCCAAGCGTTAACATTTATCCAATAAATGATTGACCTTAGGGCTTACTGACCAATCAGGCAGACATGAAAAGCCACGAATATCAGCCAATCAACTCACACGGCAGCCGGAGAGCATCCGCAATAAGAGGAGTGTGCATCTGCAGGGTTTGGCCAACAAAGACTGGAAGGTGTCGTGGACATCGCCGACGCCTAAAGTGGGAACAGATTCATACGACGTTGACGACTTTCAGGTTCGATTTATGATTTACGCCCACGCCCACGCCCACGCCCACGCCCACGCCCACATCTAAGGATAGCACGGAAATAATGGTTATGATGCATAAACGTTACCTATACCAAGTCACTGGATTGTCTTGTCCAGACTCGATTATTTACAGACCGGAGTTATATAGCTGGAATATTGTTTAGTGCGGCGTAAAACAACAAACCAACCAACCATCATAGTCCAAATTGTGGAGCCCAGCATGAGACAAAAAGATGTTTGTAAACTGATGCCATCTTCCTTTCACCATCCACGAAACAAATGATGATGATACAGTAACTGCTTCATTAAGGTATTTATTGATTTTAGTTGGAAACCTCAAGAAAAGTTTAATTAGTTGGATGGAAATCTGCATACCTGTTAACACTACCCGAGAGGATCCGGGGTAGAATAGGTCTACAGTAACCCATGCTTGCCGTGAAACCCGTGAAGATCCGGTGTAGAATATGTCTACAGCAACCATGGCCGTGAAACCCGTGAACATCCGGGGTAGTATAGTTCTTCAGCAATCAATTCCTGCCGTAAAAAGCGACCATGCTTAAAAATAGCTTGTAAGGTGCGGATAACGGGATCGGGAGGTCAGACTCGCTGACTTGGTTGATGTATGTCGTCTAATCCCAGTTGCATGGATCGATGCTCATGTCAATCACTGGATTGTCTGGCCCAGAATCGATTATTTACAGACCTCCGTCATATAGCTGCAATATTGCTGAGTGTGAGGCATATGAGGAATTTAGATGTTAACATCGACAACGAATTGCCGCCGTAGCTGTAACAGAGAGCATGAAATTGACATACGGAATACTTAAGTTAATCGTCAACATTAATCTGTCCTTGCAACATATCTCGAATCTCCTGTTTAGTTTGCCTTAGGCATATTGGCCTTGAAAATCCGCAAAGAAAAAGTAAACTCTGCCTCAAAACTATATGAGTATTGTTTTACGCCACTTTCATCAATGTTCCACTAATTTCGGGGGTGGGGACACAAAAACCGGGCTTGACACATTTTACTCACGTGGGTTATCAAACTTTGACTTTCGGCGGGATGATCGTACTCTTGAAACCCCTACAATGACGAGTTGAAACGTTTTGTGTTTATGGATGTGATGTACGAGATGTCATTGCAGTTTTAGACAACGTGATTTCATTGACAGGTCATCAACCAGGAGGAGATTCTACGCGCCAAGCACCTGTACATGAAGAACATTCTGACCTATGTTGGAATAACGCTGGGCGCTGTCTTTCTATTTGTCATCATCGCTTTCTGCTTCCTTGTCAACCCCAAACAGTGCATTATCGCCTTCGGAACAGGGAGCCCTTGCTGCCTGATTATCTCCCCTTGTATTTTGAAATGTGTGGAAAAATTTCTTGACCCTGGAAAAATAGTTCAGGGTCAAATGAATCGATACGTGCCAGGGGTTGTTATCGATGAGACGGGCAAGGTTGCGGAGACATACGAGCCTACACCGGAGGAACTACAAGCGCTGCAGGAGTTAGTTGAAGAGGTCATGGAAATGGTTTAGGTTAACGTCGTAGCATGACACGACTTGTAGATCAGATTCTTATATGTACGTGAAATGTACCTATCTATTTAAGAAATATACGACTCGTGGTCGTTGTTTATCGTAAATAAAACACTGCATGGAGAATAAACCATGAGGGGCGCGGCCCCTCGAGTCGTTAATCACTTACATGCGATATCAACATGATGTACAGCCTCTTTAAGGATGATGATAAAATGTTCGAGCTTAAGAATATGTACCCAAATTTTAATAATGATGACTCCCTCAATAGAGACCTCGGCAATGTCGGACAAGTCCATTTATGGACAGGTGGATATTTCACGCATAAACTCACAATCCTCACGTCAATTACCTGTATCTTTTCTCCCAATACTGATTGTCATATCTCTCCGGCATTTGGATGCGATCGTTCGGCCATCGCGTTTATCTGCGTTGCACAGATTCATCTATGGGAAATAACTCACTAGACATTTCCCTCTCAAAAAGAACGTTGTCCAATATACGACGTCGCCAAGTTGCTAGCGCACGTTCGAATCTCCAGAAATGACATGATAGAACAATGTTTTATCGTGAAATAAACCACGCTTCGTTCTACATCGTTCTCTGCGATTTATCAATGTCAATGTCAATGTCAAGGTCCTCGCTTTGAGATCAGTCAGCAATTTGTCTTTTTCTCTTTGTGATTTACAGAAAAGAAATATAATTTGAGAACATCTGATTGTATTTGTGTTGGGTTAAATGTACATTGCCGTATATATATGGGCCGTCGCGAATTGTTTGTTGAGTGAGTGAGTGGGTTTAAGGCCGCTTCGAACAGTATTCAAGATATATGCCGGTCTGTGAGCTTCGTGTGGGAGGAAGGCCCGAAGAGATGCAGGTTTTACACACTAACAAGATTGGGGAAACCCACGAGCGCGGGTATCGTGTCTAAACATAATCAGCTCACATCTGGGATTCGAACCGACAATCATTGGATTCTGGCGCCTTGAGGAAGCAACTCTGCACAGCGAATTGTGGCGCCTAAATGCAGACCCACATTGAAACAGCCTCAGTCACGTGAGAGATCTTTTGTCATCAGCAACGCATTCATGATTTTTTTTTCGAGCACTCAAAAAGTGATTTGTGGTGCTTGCTGCCCTCTCGCATCGGGGACATGGACTTTCATTGTTATTTGTCTTCTCCGACGGAGATAAATCATCATTAATGCATTTCCTCACACGTTCTACCCTTTCCATCATGCGCTGCAAGGCTCTCAGTGAGTCTACTGTAACGAAAATTAGCATTCATTAAAAATACAATATTAATGGCCAATAAAATTGTTAGACCTTCTTTTGTATTTAAAGATTTCCAATTGAACTGCTGCTGTGACGCCCTGCCCGAATGTGGGTTAAGAATACATTTTGACGTGCATCTACCCGGAGGGCGGAAGGTCAGGGTTTTTAAAGATGGTACTTGTTGTTACCCTGCCTAGTGCACGGCCTTAAAATTAAGGGAACAACACAAGGACAGGTCGGCTTGGAGTCAATATACCGTGTTTGATTGGGTGTGTTATACGCTGGCATGGTATCTTAGTGGGCTAGCTCTATAAAACCATCATTAGTCCGGACTATAGCACACGCACACAGACACACACACACAGACACACCTAGACACACACATACACACACACACCTAGACACACACACACACAAACACACCTTACCTCACGTGCACCTCACCTCATACGCCGGCTTCTCTGAATGGGCTTCCAGGAAACACCCCTGGGCACCAGCAGGTAGTCTTCTATTCTTTAGGAGATTCTCAATCCGTGTTTGTAAATACATGTATAGGTCAAAATCCCTTAGCTATTTTTAATGTATGACCCTTAGGCTACATGGAAGAAAATTGTTTTTGCGTATACCCGTGAAGATCCGGTTTAGAACTGGACTTCAGTAATCCGCACTTGTCAATTAAATTAAGGGAAACAGACGAGGACAGGTCGGCTCAGAGTCAGTACACTGTGTTTGATTGGGTATGTTATACTGTGGCATGGTTTCTTAGTGGGCTAGCACTATAAAACCCATTAGTCCGTACTATAGTAGATCCGTGACCCGTGAAGATCCGGTTTAGAACAGGGCCCACTTGCACAAAGCGATCTTAGCGCTACGACTATTGTAAGCCTATGTTAATGTATGGGAGTTACGATCATCTTAGCGCTAAGATCGCTTTGTGCAAGTGGGCCCTGGTCTTCACCAATCCATACTTGTCAAAAGAGGCGATTAGCGGGATCGGGTGGACAGGCTCACTGAAGTGGTTGACGTTTCTTAATTGCTCATGATGTCAGTCACTGGATTGTGTTGACCAGACTTGGTTATATAACAGACCGCAGTCATATAGCTGGAACATTTGTGAATGCAGCGTTAAACAACAATCAATCAATCAATCAATCAATCAATCAATCAAAATGGGTTGGTAAGTTAGATTTTTTATCTCCTCACCTCTCTAGCCTATACTCATAACTGCAGTTACGTGGTGATTTTATTTTGTTGCACATATTAATATAGACACATAAGGAACTGGTCTCGGGTCAGTAGGCAGGTGACTGAAACAGCGTATGCACCTGCTGACTCATCTGTGGGATCTAAACTGCCGGACAAATGAAACACGTGGAAAGTGGATCATCACAACCGTTACAGAGCTGAAAACAATTGCCTGTTGTGAGAAACTCATTGATATGATGCATGTCATATTGCCTGTTGTGAGAAACTCATTGATATGATGCATGTCATATTGCCTGTTGTGAGAAACTCATTGATATGATGCATGTCATATTGCCTGTTGTGAGAAACTCATTGATATGATGCATGTCATATTGCCTGTTGTGAGAAACTCATTGATATGATGCATGTCATATTGCCTGTTGTGAGAAACTCACTGATATGATGCATGTCATATTGCCTGTTGTGAGAAACTCCTTGATATGATGCATGTCATATTGCCTGTTGTGAGAAACTCACTGATATGATGCATGTCATATTGCCTGTTGTGAGAAACTCACTGATATGATGCATGTCATATTGCCTGTTGTGAGAAACTCACTGATATGATGCATGTCATATTGCCTGTTGTGAGAAACTCACTGATATGATGCATGTCATATTGCCTGTTGTGAGAAACTCACTGATATGATGCATGTCATATTGCCTGTTGTGAGAAACTCACTGATATGATGCATGTCATATTGCCTGTTGTGAGAAACTCACTGATATGATGCATGTCATATTGCCTGTTGTGAGAAACTCATTGATATGATGCATGTCATATTGCCTGTTGTGAGAAACTCATTGATATGATGCATGTCATATTGCCTGTTGTGAGAAACTCACTGATATGATGCATGTCATATTGCCTGTTGTGAGAAACTCCTTGATATGATGCATGTCATATTGCCTGTTGTGAGAAACTCATTGATATGATGCATGTCATATTGCCTGTTGTGAGAAACTCACTGATATGATGCATGTCATATTGCCTGTTGTGAGACACACATTGATATGATGCATGTCATATTGCCTGTTGTGAGAAACTCATTGATATGATGCATGTCATATTGCCTGTTGTGAGAAACTCATTGATATGATGCATGTCATATCGCCTATGATACCAGTAACCAATACATCTCCATCGAATAACCATTTCTTGTTTGTTACATGTTTAGCCACCATCAAAAATGGGTGTCTACTTTCTTTTCTCCGGCAGTTTAGAAGACACTGGCAATACAATGTTACACTATAAAAACATTAATTAAAGGGTTGTTTTAATTTCACAGGCACTATTTGGAATACTCTAAATAAATACCTTATCTTCGACAGCTCAGAAATGTTTAATACTATCTTGTACGTATATTGTGAGGAGGTGAATTCCAAATTGAATCCAGGAGTTTAACCAGGAAATTCATAGGCCTCGAATCGGCAATATGAAGTTACAGCCAACCTATTCTCGAACCATCAAGCCTTGGTCAACAACCAGGGGATGTAAATCCAGATTTCAGAAAAGAATCTGAAAACAATAGCATTGACGGTATATAAATCATATAGCAGGAGTATAGTTTCATGCAGCTTTCAGCAATATTTCAGCAATATCACTACGTGGGACTCCAGATTACCGGCTTCACTTGCATCCATGTTGGGAATTGAATCAGGGCCTTCGGCATGACGAGCGAACGCTTATACCACTAGGCTTCCCCATTGCCCCCTTATGGCGGAAAACGTTCATACAAAGCCAGTTGTAATCAGCCGTGATTAACTCAAACATATATGCGAGGTGTCATCACACGCTCTTTCAATGTTTACTTACAGGAACAAGCGGGCTGGGATTCTTAATTGTAATCGGTAAAACTGTCGACAGAATACTTGATTTGAATGATTGTTTCACGCAGCCAACACTACAAGTGTCCAATGACACAGACCACTCGCTCAGACAAGTGTTAGCTAAATACTATCATGTTGGACCGTATTAGCTTGTATTATTCCGAGTGTCTCTTGAGAACATGTTGACAGACACTTGAGAGGACCAATTAGCATCTGGCCACTGTGATGGACAAGAGAGGTAAGTAGGTGGACACGACAGTGTTGTTATTTCACACTGTCCAGGGAAACAGTCTGTCTTACAGACCTTGATACAAATATATCAAATACAGCCCATGCAAGTCTATAATATTTGGCAAGACTAGATTACTACAGTATCTGAAAATAAAGAGATTCTCTGGGCTCCTTTTTATTAATTTTTTACTAAGATAATTTAACAACTGTTTTTTTCTGTACAATATGTTCATCTCAGAGGCGAGATGTTAGTCTTGGGGAAACGGCGCCACGGTCATTATATTAATCGATATGTTGATCGATTGGCGCTGCTCCAAATACCGACTGATATAACTCACCCACTCTTGGATGTAATCGTTTGGCCACTGCGTTTATCTTCGTTGCCGTGCTACATCTTTGAGGAACAAGTCACTGGACATTTCCCTCTTAAAAATAATGTCTTCCAATTTATGACGTCATCAAGTTGCGAGCGCATGTTCGAATCTCCAGAAATGACATGATAATAGAACAATAAACAACACGTTGCTCTTCATTGCTCTTTGCATATATACTTATTAGATTGCACTTTTTAATAATGGTTGCACTGGTGCATTATTATATAGCTAAATCGAGCCCTGTTTTCCTCAACACTACCCTCTTGTCTGTCAGTTTCCCAATCCTTTCCCTCCCTTTCACTCCAACATCTCTCTCTTGTCTGTCGGCTTAAACTGTGTGATATTCTTCCTCAACACTACCCTCTTGTCTGTCGGTAGAAACTATGTGGTATTCTTCAACATCATCATCAATCCATTCCTGCCAAGCACTTTCACAACACAGGAATCCAAGCTTGTCTGACCTTTAAGTTTTTGCAAGTTAAGGAGGCAAAAACCTATATCATCGCATCTTTCCACAAGCTTTTTATTTACGTTTTTGTCTTAATCTCTTTACTGTTTGACAAGGAGCAATTGGAAGGCAAAACCCTACAAGGAGGACTTTCCCCCCGTATCAATCATTATAATCTCCTTACATGCAATCGATTATGTAAAGCCTTGATGTGCTCGG